GACAGAACGGACAGAATCAACTTTCTCTCGCTGGGAATGGGGACAGTGATTGACCCGTCCCTCACCAGCCCCAGCATTGGCAGGAAAAGAACACTCGCCCGACGTCTCTACGGATACGTCACAGGCGACCACGTCCCGCTTCCAAACCCTCCCGACACGGCCTTGAAGCCCTGGGACGGCGTCGGGGACTGTTGGTGCAGTGTGCCCTCCAACGCAGGACTGGCACAGATGGCGATCCTGCTTGGCCAGCGGGCCGTGCCCGAGGAGGTCGTGGTCGAACATATTCCGAAGGGGGCCTCTCCCGACCCTGACATCGCGCCGCGGGAGATGGAGCTCTGGGCGCAGTTCAAGCCCCATCATGGTCCTGTAGCCGCTACTACCGCGGTGACCTCGGACTCCTCCCCAGTCGCCTCTCCTCCGCCATCGCGGTTCCGCCCTTCGTTCTTGGGCCGTTTCTTCTCATCTTCTAGGTCCTCTCCCACAAATTCAACACCATCGCCGTCCGCAACTCTCGCCTCCTCGCCGTTGTCGCTGTCCTCACTACACGACACCATCCTGGAAACCCTGCACCGGGCGTACCCAAACGAGCCCGAAGCGGCGTATTCGAACGACGCGCTCCTCGGACCGTCCTTCTTCCGCGTAGGCAAGTGGCAGTACGATCGCGACGGTGAGCCCGTTCAGCGCTTCACGTTGAACGCCATTGTCGACCAGCCCACGCTGCGTGTGGACAAGGTCGTGTTCCGCGTGAAGTCTAGTTGGGGGGCGCCGCATACGTGTCTCTATAGGTTGAAGCTGTATGGGCATGTGTAGTTGGCATTCTGCCGAGTCAAGACTGGTTTGCTTCGATCGCAGGTGGCGTTCCTACTTTGTGTACTCTGTACTCTTTTTTCAATTTCAAGGACTGGACTACTGTGGACTGGACTGCTGGCTTCTGGCGTCAAGGATGGCGTTTCTCTGTAGGTAGTTACCTAGGTAGTTAGTTAGGTCATCTCATCACGTGCATAGCATATATCTGGCGTGGTTCATAATAAGGATTTGGGAATTTTTTTCTTTTTTTAATCCTCAGACAGATCGATCGATCAATACCTATCGATTATAATGTGCATGGTCTGGGATTGTGGATTTCTATTCTTCATTTTTTTTTTGCCTTTTCTTTTTGCATCCGCTGTAACTTAGCTAATAGCTAAAGATCCTTTGTTGTTGGATTCATATGGTGTTCTGTTCATCCAGGATAAGATATTTAATAGTTGGAGTAGTATGTCTGGTACCTATTCTAATTCTAAAAAAAGCTTACTTCTTCCAGTAATGGATGGTGCTTTTTTTTCTTTTGCCCCTATTATTAGCTCTATTTCTGTGGCTTCCAACATTCAGGCAATTAATAAGAGTGATACGTAGGTAGAGAAATTGGTGTGCATTTGGCAATTCTTTTTTTTTTACCTCGACTCCAGAAGGAGAGAGGGGGTTTGATGTAAACGCCCCGAAACACTCCGAGAAACAAACAGAAATATACAGAGTAATGGCTTTTTGTCAATACCTCACAGGATGATCATATAAATATTAATGAATGATCAATGATGGCAGCTAGTAGAGTACCACATAGAGACAGCGTGTGCGGTACGTACGGTATGCACCGGAACAGTATCTTGATTTTCTAAGTAATAACCTCGACTAAGAGATTCTCGTTCGGAACCTGCACGCATCCACAGCCGATGATCGATAGATAGATAGATCTCCCGATAACGAGCGCCCCCGCCAAAATGATATGATAGCGATAGCGATAGGGCTGCTGTTCGCGCTCTCTATGGTCAGTTTTGTTGAAGCGTTATTTATTATTATTGTTAATGTTATTATTTGACGAAATATGGAACTACCTAACCGTCCTGACGCCTCAATCTCACCGCTTGTTCGTTCGTTGGTTGTGTCCATGGACTGACCCGCTAGATACCTACCTAGGTAGGTAGATAGATAGAGATGGGAATAATGCCGGGAGATTCCTATACGGAGTATGTACATGTTTTGCTGTCTTAATCCCCCTGTCCGGTTGTTTTCTCATGCCGAACTGCCACTAATTATTAATGTTACTGCTGAGTGCAGATGCCCTTTCTAGGTGGTCCTGTCGACATGCCGTAAAAGACCGCGAATAATATGTATCCACTGCGGAGCGATACCACGCCTCGATAGGCATTGTTCCTTGGCTTGCCAATCTGCCGACTCTCTGAATTTGAAAATTTATATACATTAGGTACCGGAATTTCGACTACCTACTGTTTGACCACCTACTGGACTGGAGGTCCACCGTCAACCTACACATCGCCACACCATGGTGGCCGACACAATCGACCAGACGCAAGATGATATCCCCAACGAATACACACAGCTCCTCCCAAAGCCTCCGGACGATGAAATCGCTCGAGATCCAGCGGCAGTCCGCTCAACCAGCCGTCTTGTGGCCGCAGAGTTTCTGCTCCTGCTAAAGGCCTCCATCCCGGTCATTCTGGCCTACACGCTGCAGAACAGTCTGCAGACCATCTCCGTGCTGATCGTCGGCCGGCTGTCGCCCGAGCATCTCGCCGTGGCCGCCTTCTCGTACATGTTCGCCATGTGCACGGCATGGCTCATCGCCTTGGGAGGCACGACCGCCCTAGACACCCTGGCGTCGTCGACCTTCACCGGCAGCACGAACAAACACGACTTGGGTATCCTCCTGCAACGCGGGTTCGTCATTCTGGGTCTTTTCTACGTGCCCGTAGCGCTCCTGTGGGCGTGCGCAGAACCTGTCTTCATACTCCTGGGCCAAGACCCCGATTTGTCGAGACAGAGCGCCCGTTTCTTGACCTGTCTGATCCCTGGTGGCCTGGGTTATATCTACTTTGAGGCTATGAAGAAGTACCTCCAAGCTCAAGGTATGTATTTTTTTTCGGATGGGGTAGAGATGAGACTGCAGACCTGACAAATTTTTTCTCGACAGAAATCATGCGCCCTGGCACCTACGTCCTTCTGCTCACATCACCGATCAATGCCGGTCTCAACTATCTTTTCTGCTACACTTTCAAGATTGGATTGCTTGGAGCCCCCCTGGCGACCAGCGTCTCGTACTGGCTTTCCTTTGCTCTCCTCGTGCTCTACACGCGCTTCGTGGCCGGACACGAGTGCTGGGGCGGCTGGACACGCAAGGCATTCAGCAACATGGGCACGTTTGCCCGTCTGGCGATCATGGGCGTCATCCACGTCGGCACGGAGTGGTGGGCGTTTGAAATCGTCGCCCTCGCCGCCGGGAGGCTGGGCACGATCCCGCTCGCTGCGCAGAGCGTCATCATGACGGCCGACCAGGTCATGAACACGATCCCCTTTGGCGTCGGAGTAGCTGCCTCTGCGCGCGTGGGCAATCTGCTGGGCGCGCGAAACGCCAGGGGAGCAGCGCGGGCTGCCAACACGGCGGCCTGGCTGAGCATGGTCCTGGGCGGCGTGGTGCTGGCGGTCCTGATGGGCACGCGCAACCACTTCGCCAAGATCTTCAACGACGACGAGCGCGTCGTCCGCCTCGTCGCGGAGGTGCTGCCGTACGTCGCGCTCTTCCAGATCGCGGACGGCCTGAACGGCAGCTGCGGCGGTAGTCTGAGGGGCATGGGCCGCCAGCACATCGGGGCTGCGGTCAACATCGCCAGTTACTACTGCGGCGCGCTGCCGCTGGGGGTGTGGCTGGCGTTCCACGGCTGGGGGCTCAAGGGGCTCTGGGTCGGCCAGTGCATCGCGCTGTATCTGGTCGGGATGCTGGAATGGGCCATTGTCGCGCTGAGCGACTGGAAGAAGGAGGTGGAGAAGGCGTTTTTGCGGATGGACGGGCATCAGCGTGATCAGCACGATCAGCAGTAGATAAAGAATGGGATACGGAGTAGATAGATCATGTATGTTGTACATATATCTAACTATACAGATGGTTTAGCTAAGACAAAATAATCTCTACGGAAATTGCAGTTTATCAACAATGTGAACCGCATTGTCAGTACCTCTTGCAGCAAAACAAAAAGAACCTGCTAACCTCACATCCAGGATATTATCCATAATCCAACCCTCTAGGTAGGTAATAATTCCGACATTAAACCCGTCCTTGTTCTTCTCTCTCTCTCTCTCTTTCTTTTTTTTTCCCCTTTTCTCCTCAATTTTTCAGATTCATCCAAAATTTCACATACTAATAAAATAAAATAAATACCTACCTAATAACAGAAGTCATGTACAGTACAGTCATGTATGGAGTACAGAGTAGTCAGTAAGTGCTAGGAGAAACTGATATCGATAAGGTCAAGAGTCTCAAGACTTTGATAACAATAATAGGTTATTTAGGTATGCTCTTTGATAGTTATTTACCTAATCGAGGTATAAGATGCAAATGCGGGTCTTTCTTAGTTGAGTTTAGTTGAAGTTCCAAGGTTTGCGGGCATCGATCTCTTCCTCCTGCCTTTTTTGTCGAATCGGCGGAGAAGACAAAAAAAAATAATGAGGGTTCTAGATAGACGATAACTGCGGTCAGTAATTATTATTGAACTACCTAATCCAGTAGCTTTTTTTTTCTTTCTTATCTTTTATTTATTTATCGGAATACTCCGTACGGAGTAAATAAATTAATGGAATAGAATACGAGGTGTAGTAGTAGTTCCACGGAGTTGTCAGACAGAACCCGCTCTGCTCTGTTACTCTTATCCATGAGAATTACTTATCCTAGTTATCATCAGCAGCGTAGATCCCTTATTTTCTTTTGTTCTTTCTTGACTTCCGTCATGCTTTAGGTCCGGAGTAATGCATGCTATGTATGCAGGCATTGCAAGCCAGTGATCGTTCTCGGAATCCGCGATTACTTTAGTACAGTGCTTTCCCCACTGTTCCGATAAGCTTGCTGATAGACACCTACCTATCATTATCATTAATCATGATGGTCAGCTCGCGGACATGAGATAAGCACTGCACTGCTTAGTGAGTAGACGGGCAACTTGCGAGTTCTCGACGAGAAGGAGGTTTTAATTGAGACCGGATGGGGATGAGTTTGCGTTGTTCTGTTCCGAATTATCAACTGGTCTATCCAGTCTGGTCCGATAAGCTGTGTAATATGTAATCGATGCCATTGTGGGTAGCCACATCTCCAGATTCTCAACGACTTGAGTTGGTGAAATCATTAGCTAAATTATCATCACTTCGGCTCTCTCCCTGCGGGGTGTCCCTTGTAGATAGGTCCCTTGCGCAATTGCCTAGGTACTTTCTCCGCATTGATGGGCCCGACGCGTCTGCGATAACGGATAGATGACGAGCTCTGTGCCGAAAACTACCTCGTTTGCATGTGCCATTCCATGAGGGTATGTATTTCGTAAGAGAAACCATCCCTACTCTGTCGACGACTCGACGATCAGCATGGTAATCGATTTGAGTAAGAGGAATCAATCGTATCTCACCTTCCCCTCGTCAACCCTATCCTATCCTATCCTATCAACAGCGCTGGTCGACCGCATTCTTTCCTTTTCTTTTAGATAATAGGAACTGTGATTAATAGTAATGAACGGCGAGAACTGATCCCGACGAGCCTAGTAGTAGCTAGGGAATAATAATCTGGTCCTGGAAGTCAATCGGTCCACTCCACCAGCTGGATCCAGCTTCGGCTTTTCCCCCCGGCTGGAATCCTTCGGAGAAGTTCCAGTGTCTGTGTCCATATTTCAAATCTCAAAGCCCGTCGTCTTTCGTATTCTCCCTCTCAGGATTCAGTCTTCGACATTGTAGGCACGATGATCGTCTCAACGCTGTCTTTCGCTGCTCTGGTTGCCCTGGCCACTGCCCACGGCAATCATGGCCAAAAGCCCATTGCTGGGCCGCACAAGAGTCTGTGGTACAACACGCTGCCTGGGGATGGCGGTACTCAGGTATGGATGGCAATAGGATCATCATCTGCAGAAAGGTGCGACGCAATTGACTGACCTCTCTGCCTGGCAGGCGGACGCTGTCTTCTCTGGCATCTCCACGTTCGGGCGGCTGCCGTACTTTCCATGTCTTGCCAGCGACGAGGAGAAATATGACATTGCGTTCATCGGTATGTTTGCTTCTCTTCAATGACAAATCCGTGTTGTGTCGTGAGATGTGGACAGGTTTATATCTATTGGGAAGATTGTCCCATTCGGTCAGCTGACTGCTCTTCTTGACAGGCGCGCCCTTCGACACGGGCACTTCGTACAGACCAGGCGCCCGCTTTGGTCCCAGCGGCATCAGACAAGGTTCTCGCCGTCTCAATCTCTAGTATGTTCTGTTTACAAAAGGCAGAGGCTTATTTATTCGATCAAAAAGGCTCACGCAAGTTGGGATTCAGCGGCGGATACAACGTGCCTCTGGAGGCCAACCCTTTCCACAATGAGTTCAAGATCCTCGATTGCGGCGATATCCCTGTGACTTCGTATGTCTATGCAGGAGACAACAAGCAGTGAACGAACTCGACTGACGATCTGTTAGTTACGACAACACCTGGGCGCTCCAGCAGATCGAAGATGGACACAACACCCTCCTCATGCGCAAGCCTTACACAGACGCAGACAAGAAGGGTCTCTCGAAGACCGGCAAGGTGCTGCCACGGATCATCACCCTGGGAGGCGACCACACCATCACGCTTCCCCTGCTGCGCAGTATCAACAAGGCATATGGGCCGGTGACGGTCATTCACTTTGACAGCCATCTGTGAGGATTTTCTGATGTATGTACTGTACAGTGCAACAGTACCGCGCTAACACACAGCCTTTCTTCCAGGGACACATGGAAGCCCAAGGTCTTTGGCGGCTCGCCCAGCGAGGTCGCATCTATCAACCACGGAACCTACTTCTACCACGCTGCGCAGGAGGGCCTTCTCAGGAACGACACCAACATTCACGCGGGTATTCGCACCACACTTTCTGGGCCGTCTGACTACGAGAACGATGGTTACTGTGGATTCGAGATTGTGGAGGCCCGAGAGATCGACACGATTGGTATGATTTCGCCAGTCTTCTCTCTTTACGAGTCTTCTGTCTTTGAAAATTCGTTTCTAATGCTTTAAAGGAACCGACGGAATCATCAAGAAGATCCGCGACCGCGTTGGCGACAACCCTGTTTATCTGTCAATTGACATCGACACTCTTGACCCAGCTTGTGAGTATAAATACTGGTCTAGGACGTACTTGATTGGAGTTGCTAATTGGGTCCGGATAGTCGCCCCTGCTACTGGCACTCCTGAAACTGGTGGCTGGTCGACTCGTGAACTGCGGACTATCATCCGTGGACTGGATGGCATCAACTTTGTTGGTGCTGACATTGTCGAGGTGGCGCCGGCGTATGATACCAATGCAGAGCATACGACTATGTGAGTGGCAGTAGCAGGCTTTTCTTTTCTTCTTCTTTCTGCTAACCCACCTTAGGGCTGCCGCGGACGTCTTGTACGAGGTGTTGACGATTATGGTCAAGAATGGGCCGCTCACAGCTTAAGCTGCTGGCTTTGAGGGCAGATCTATGGGAAATTCGGAATTTCTCCGTGGTTGATTGTGTGAAATATATATCTATAGAGAGAGAAAGAGCGAAAGAGAGGGATCTAGGCACTTGAATGAGCTGGAGGGTAAAGATCTATTGTAAATATGCTAAATAGTTTGAATATATACCTATGTACAATACAGTACATACATATATACGACTATTTTATCTGCGAAGTGTTTAGTTCAGCGTTTTCCCTTCCGCATGAGATCTAAGACTTTCATACACACCCGAAGAACAAAGCTCCAATGGATATATTATCCGCTTATGTATTATCGGCGCTACCTTTCTTTTACGACCAATCAATTTCATCGGAAAAGAATTCCTCACTGGAAACGTCTGGAAAAAGCGTCCGACGAATTCCTCTTGCAATCTGATAGTTACATGCACATACCTATCTATCTCACTTATAAAAGAGGTAGCAAGGTCCTTCTACCATAAAGTGATTAATTGACTCCTTTGCAGCAGATAATCTGTGACTGATAAGATGAGATGACTGAATTTTGCCTCACTACCTAGACTAGAGCTCCTACAGTAGTATAACATAAACAACCAGTGACAACAAGCTGATTTTTTTTAAATCCAAGAACTACCTAGAGCGGCAAGGCCAGCTTCCATCTCCTAGGATCCTTAGTCTCAGGTATTTTAGGTACATATTTGGTTTCTCTTGGTGAAATGTCTCTTTTGATGTGATGCGATGCTATCAAAAACTGTATACAAGAATGTAGATCTATAACACAGCCCCCTTTTATCTCATTTACAGTGACTATAACATATACTTTTTTTTCCTCCTTAATGTTTGTTTTTATCTCCAGCAAATATACAAATAAATGCTCCTTCACAAACAGCGCTAGTGCTAGGATCTCTGCAATGCAAGCCCATCCCATTTTTTGCTCCAGACTTGAAACTAATTTCAAGTTCTCAAAATCCCCCACTCGACAGAGCTCATCCGCACTAAATCTAGGTAAACCATTCTCCATTCTGCCTTTTGTTTTTCGCGGTCTTGATCCTGGTCCAGGTTTGTTGCTTTGACCTATTTATTTCATTTTATTTCGGATACTCCGATTTAGCCTTCCTCGTCCTCGCTCGCATATGTTGACGTTGTCGTTGCCGCTGCCGCGAAAGGGATCGCAGTCGCGATGGAGGGTTTTTGTCCCGGTCCTCTGCAGGTTGGTCGGCAGAAGCCTCGGGAGGCTGGGTGTTATCATTTGAGGATGAGGAGGAGGAGGAGGAGGAGGAAGAGAGGGATTGAGGCGGTTGGTTGCTGGCTGAAATTTCGTCTTCTGGAGCCATGGTATAGTCGAAATAGGTACGAACAAATAGAGCCTAGGAAGGAAAGAAGGCAAGATAGGATAGATGTGTAACAGACTGCCTTTACACAGTTTATTTTTCAAGGTGGAGGAAGCTACCTCTAGGTACTTACCTAGGTAAGATAGCTAGGTATATTTACCTAGTTGAGATGTCTGTACCTGTGATGTGATGTGATAATGACCTCACCAATTAAGGAATTAAGGTCAGCGAATTAGGTATTTTGTACTGTGAGGTCCGCATGACCTCATGGGTAAATTTAACTTTCTGCTCTACCGTGAAAATGTCTTTTCAAATATGTACTGTACATACCTACATAGGTAAGTAGTTTACCTGACGTGGGATTAATCTACCTAGATCTGAGATCATTTGTTTTTCATTCAGCGGCTCATTCCCATTACTTGAGGCCTGCGGTATACAGCTATAATAGGACCCATGGAGCAAGTGAAATTGTCAATATTAAAGTATAGGTACATACATACCTCAAAAAGCAAACTTTGGAGCAGTCGCAGAAATGTTCTTCTGTACAACCTGATTAATGGCGATTGTTTCACTTTTCCCTTTAAACTGCTAGCTCCTTTTTACTTTTACTTTCATCTTCAATTTTTTTTTATTATAATTACTTGTTTTTTTTTGTCTACAAGAAGTTTAGACTAGAAGAGATGGTATGTTGTCCAGAGCACTCCGTACAAATAAAGTTATAGCTTTTCTCTTGTCTCCCTTAAATTTTACGTACGAGTAATAAATGCTGATTAAGAGAAATCGCCAAAATGACGGTAATAATAATAATGCCAGCTATCTACCTAATTTTTTACATGATGTCTGAGATAGATAAAAGGATATCGCCCAAAGAGTGTCGGACCTTGATGGAAACCAAATCAGGCAGGTAGTGCACGGACTTGAAGTCACAGGTCTGTCTGTCTCTACGGAGTATGTATATATGCAGATTCCAGCCTCGGTACGGAGTACCTCCCTTGCCTTTTCGAAGCTTGATATGAGCATGAGCACCGTTTCGAATCGACGGATTTGTTTGTTCTTCTGGATGATGATGATGATGATGTAAGGCTTTCTGCAGTCTAGTCTGCATGTTATTCTTCTTTCATCTGGACCACAGAGAAAGTACTCGTCCACAAGGTTTGTTTTTGTTTGCGTATAAGATGACTCCTTACTACTACAGTCGAAGAGAGACTCTTTATTTTTTTTATTTCTTCCCCTTCTATCTACATTTTAAGCCCTGCAGAGCAATAATGCGAGGAATAAAATAATACCCTGGTATGTATGTACTGTACTGTACAAACAGGAAGGAAATCGTAGTTCCATTTCTGGTTCTGGTTCTGGTTCTGCAAAATCCTGCAAAATCCTGCACGGATCGACGAGAATAGGGCTATGTATGTACTCCGGAAGTACTCCGTATGGGTGCAAAATAAATAATCCCTACCTACCGGATTATTGCCGAGAGAGAGTCTTGCATATGTACATAACGCGTCAGATCATAATCATAATCAATAATCAATCTTCGCCGTTAAGATTTAAGAATAAACTGGATCTTCCTCCGCTGCTTGAAAAAAAAAACGTGAAACGAGACGAAAGCTTCAGCAGATCGGTTCGAGTAAATCGAGTCCCCACATCCCGATCCCTCCTAACCTAACCCCCATCGCGAACGTGAGAATAATATATTAATGGACAGAAGCTGACACCACTTAGAACTAAGTGCTTCTTCTTCTTCAAGAAGGAAAATATCCCCGAGAAAAGCAGCAAAGCTTATTATTGCTTGCTTACTTCGTATTCTATCGTCGTCTACAGAGTAAGTTTCTTATCTTGGGGAAATAATAATGACAACAATAATACTCCGTAGAGGAATTGAATTTCGGGTCTTAAACGGATTATTATTAGCGTAATTACTTTTTGTTTCATTATTCGGGACGACAAGGCAAAAAAGCTTGTGAAGTGAAAGTCAGACCGATAATGATAAGAATCTACCTAGCTACTCCGTAGCGGCGTAGTCACTTCGTAAGGGGTCTAGATCCGGCACGGGATTTATCATCAAACGAGTCGACACACGACAGGTGCTGTCTCGCTTGCATAGCGAAGGGGTTCTTGCGAATGGCGAACAGTACTCCTGCACGGTTGTTAGCCCGATGATCTACAAACGTCTTTCCCGTTTGCTATCCCAAGTCTTGATCCCTCCTGCTGGCTGCTGCCCTGCATCACTCCCAGTTCATCCCAATTTCGAGTCCTCGTCCAAAGAGTCAGGACAGACGCAGAATTGAGCATTCTCGTCACGGATCCCTGCTGGAAATCCCCATATCAAGAGCTATTAAGATTAATATCGGTTTTATCGGTTTGCAAGGCGAATACGGAGTAGCTCAGTAGAGACCCACCAGCCTGCTCGTGCTTCCACCACCAGTTCCTTGAACAACAACATCTGAAACAAACCACTGGCAGCCGTGTTCGACTCCGAACTCTCAACGGCTCCTGCTCGTTTCAAGTCTCTGGAGAATACTCCGTAATTGATGGAGAACGGAGCTCCGAGAGCCTCTTGAGAACCTGTTCGTCCGGCAGCCAGCCACCCAACAGGGTTTGGCTGCCCTTCTCCACATTCTGCCCTTGCGCTAGCTCTTTCTGTGCAAACGCGAAAGGCTCTCCTGGAAGTTAACGCGCCTTGTTAAGTCTGTGCACTTGCTTGCTGCCGCGCCGTCCTGGGCCGAGAGCGAGGCTAAAAGCGTTTCCACGATTTTGAGTTTGGCACAGCCGTGGCAGTCCGGCTCAGGCACGCGGTCACGGGTCAGCACGCCAACCGCGCCTCCCGATCCCTGCTCGACTAACATCTCCGGAATGCCGCGGACAAACGAGTGGGATGTCATTTGGAAAAGACTCGTGCCTGCGGTGTCAACTTGTCGACTTGACCACTCATCTTTCTCGGCCCCAGGCTGCATTAGCTGGCCAGCCGCGCCTTACCGCGAGTGTATCTGGATCTGCGCCGTTGGCCTTGATCGCGCTCCCCCTTGGCTTTGCATGAGTCGCTCGTCACAAGCATACGGAAACGGAGTACACTCAGTACAGGCTGACGGAGAAATTTATCATCTGACGGACAAATCATATCTTCTTCCAGCGCCTTTTGTTGCTCCGTTCAGCCACGGTTTAGCAGGTATCATACCACTGCACGATCCTGATGCTTTGTCGATAGAACGTCTCCTTCGACTCCCTACTGCGTTTGTTTGACACGAGACTTTTGATTGCATTCACGTGGCGATGGCGTTTCCCTTGCTGGTTTGGATATTTTGCCACGAGGAATTGATATCATATCAATCTACGCGAGCAATTGGCATGGTGGGCATTGTCTTGGCCTCCACACGCTCAAGACACGGCGTATGGAGTCTTCTTCGTATGGATATCGACGAGACAGGGTTCAGCGGCACGGAGGGATGTCTATCACAATAACACAATTCAGGAAAGTATAAAGTAGCGCCTCTGTGCCTCGATCCTGAAGGCGCCAAGATTGCAGCTTGACGCTTATGATAAAAAAAAACAATACTAGCCAGGATCGTGATAAAGAGTAAGAGCGAGAATGACTCCATGCACGTGGTGTTCGACCGTAAAACCCGTTCCTGGCCCAGCAAAGCGTGGCCCACCAGGAACCATGGACCTGCCGTGACACGACGCCGTCAAACCGTTGGTGCTGTGGAAGAACATCAACACGAGAAAAAGCACAACGAGGAGCGAGAATGAGACTCATTTCAGCGATAATATTCAGTGACCAATGCCGGGGATATTTTCTTCCTGCGATGCAGCGATCGACGGACGGTCTATTGCGTGCTGTTTGCCGCAGCGGGTGGGCAAGGGGCAAGCAAGTGGATTTCCTAAGGCTGCGTAACGTGCGCATGTCGGACACGTCTCCGCCTTCCGAATAGGGCATCCCCAAACCATCGATTCGCATCAGGCGTGTCTTACTCTTGATCCAGCCTTAACGGTGTGGCGTGTAGGGAGAGACATGCGAGTACTCCGTATACTCCGTAGAGCATAGAGCAGTGATACCACTCCGTACTGCAGGCTGTCTGTGTCCGTACTCGACGGAATAGAGCTGTCCCGAGATGCCATCGTCAATTCTCTCCCTTTTGGTCGCGGCATCGTCGTCGGTCCGCGCCGGCCTCCAGCCGGGCGACGCCTGCCATGTGTAAGCAGCCAGGCTAGTCGCTTAGTGCCTAACCTTGTCACTCCCGACAGCCGTCTGCCTGCTTTCCCCTGAACCGGCTCCTGCGTGGCTCCTCTCGCCTCCAGACCGCTCGACCCATCCACGTCTCCAGCCAGCGCAGAGGCTGCTGCCGCCGCTGCTCTCTCCGATTCGGCCTTTCTGCCTCCCAGGCTCGCGGGACGGGCGACCTGGCGTCCTGGCCTCTGCGTCCTGCCGACAGTGTGGACCGGCCTCCAGCTAAGCTAAACTATCTCCAAACAGCCCACCCTCCCCTTCGGCCAGAAATTATTACGCTCCTAAGTCCTGACTAACTGCCTGCCTGCCCTGTCGTCCTCCCTCTTTATCCTGCGCTCACGCCCGAAGACGCTGGCCTTGAAGGCTGTCTCCTTCCCCCGTCCTGTCCCTGCTCCTTCTGTCTTCCTGTCCCTCCATCCACTTCTGCCATCCCCGGTAGCAAGTGCCGCTTCGTCTCGGTGGTGGATGACGTTTTCCTCTTCGATCCGTCCTTAAAGGCTGTTCTTATTGTTCCCTCTGTCGCGGAGCCGTCCGCGAATAGGGGTTGACGGACTAAACGTGACGCACGCGCAGGACGCAAAGTATTGCCTCTCTCTCTCCATATCACGACTGATGACTGCGACCATTCTCTCGTTTTCTTCGCTGCGAATCGTCTTCTAACAAAAGACCCTCTGTGGTTGGGATTTGTTTTCTCTGATACCTCGCCCATCAACGCGCCGGAGAAGAAGACATGACCATCTCACCGCCGGCTTCGCCTACGGGCGCTTCCCCCCGGCCCATGAGCGGCATGATTCGGCCTCCCAGGAGCAACAGTCGCATGAGCACAGGCAGCAGACAGGACAAAGGCAGTCGTGCCTCAGATGAGGATAGCAAGACTGCTGTCAAAGTTGGTATGTCTTGCGCATCTTCCGCGGCCAGACCCCAACCTATGGCCGCTCGAGTTACCCCGATTCAGAAGGCTGAGAGCAAGCGGCTGACGTGCAATCACAGCTGTCCGAGTGCGACCGCCCTTGAAACCCACCGATCCTGGTTACGAGTTGATCCCCCAGCGGTTTCAACGCTCGATGGTTCATGTCACCTCGCCAACCAGCCTGGCAGTGGATGTTCCGCAGGGCCGCAAGGTCTTCGTCTTCGACAGAGTCTTTCCGGAAACGACGGACCAAGAGGGCATATGGGAGTATCTGAGCGACAGCGTGAACTCGTTTCTGCAGGGTTACAATGTCTCCATCCTCGCCTACGGTCAATCAGGAGCGGGCAAATCTTATACCATGGGAACCTCCGGTCCTCGTGAACAAAATGACCCTCGCGCAATGGGTACGTGATGTGTTTCTCTTTTTTTTTTCTTTCGCCTGGAGGTCGTGCCATGCAGCATCTCGAGGGCGAAAATCAAGACAACCAGCACTGATCATCCTCTCTTAGGAATTATCCCACGTGCTGCCCAGATGCTGTTCGAGAAGCTCGAGGGCTCTAAACACAACCGTACGCAGTCGACCGGTCTGCGTACGCCAGCACGATATTCCATTGGCACCCCGCAGGGTTTGAATAAGCCTCCTGTGGACAGAAACTGGCAGTTGAAGGCCACCTATGTTGAGGTATGGCAGGGAACGCGCATTAAAAAATTTCCGTTGTTTCCGTTTCTAACGATGCTCGTAGATCTACAATGAACAACTTCGGGATTTACTCGTTCCCGAGTCGACGCCACCCAGCGAGCGGGCTAACGTTACGATTCGTGAAGATACCAAGGGACGGATTATCTTGACGGGTCTTAATCAGGTTAACATTAATTCGTTTGAAGATCTCATGGGCGCGCTGAATTTTGGATCCTCCATCAGACAAACAGACGCTACCGCAATCAACGCCAAGTCCTCCCGGTCTCATGCCGTCTTCAGTCTCAACCTTGTGCAACGCAAGTCCCCTGGATCGATGATGTCTCCCAAGGAGAAGAGGCACTCAATGCCCGTGGAATCCCTCTCATCCTCCGATGCCGTCGTGACTGTTGACAGCAAGCTTCATTTCGTGGATCTTGCAGGAAGCGAGCGACTCAAGAACACGGGCGCCTCCGGCGAACGCGCAAAGGAAGGTATCTCGATCAACGCTGGTTTGGCGAGCCTGGGGAAGGTCATCTCCCAGCTGTCTTCTCGTCAACCGGGGGCGCACGTCTCTTACCGCGATTCAAAACTCACCCGCCTGCTGCAAGACTCTTTGGGAGGGAATGCCATCACCTACATGGTTGCCTGTGTCACCCCCGCCGAGTTCCATCTGAGTGAGACTTTGAACACTGTGCAATATGCGCAGAGGGCCAGAGCCATTCAGAGCAAGCCTCGTATCCAGCAGGTAACGGACGAGAGTGACAAGCAAGCCGTCATCGACAGGCTCAAGGCGGAAATTGCCTTCCTGCGACAACAGATCCGTAACGCTGAAGCGGGTGAGAGAAAGAGTGCGGCACCGCAGGAACGAGGCGATCGCCCAACCGACCGAGAACTGGAGCTTCAGAACCACCTCCTTGACATGCAGGAGAGCTACAACGCATTGAGCCAGCGCCACGCCAAGCTGATATCCGAAATCACCAAGGCTTCCGAGCTCAACAGCGAAGACCCAGATGAGCTTGCCGCTGCCATCGGTAACAGTTCAGTGGAGCGGCTGAAGCGCTCCCACTCCTTTGCGGAGTCGGTGGAGCAGGTCGTTCTCGAGTATGAGAAGACGATTCAAAGCCTTGAGTCCTCGCTGTCGAGTACCAGGGCGTCATTGGCCAATACGGAGAGCGCTCTGCTGGAGCGTGAGACCAAGTGCGCCTACATCGAAACCATGAATGCACAGCTGCAGGCTCGAGTGCAGAAAATGATGGACCGCGAAGCCAGCACGGAGAAATACCTTCATGATCTTGAAGCGAAACTTGACGGACATACATCCGGCGAGGAAAAGAATGCTGCTATTATCGCTGAGCTGCGCAAGGAACTCGCTCGAGCCCGTGAAAATGAATCCAATTGCGAGGATTACATCTCAACCTTGGAAGAACGTCTTGCGGAGGCTGACCAGGACATGGAACTGATGCAGCGAGAGATAAACCGACTGGAGCATGTGATCGACCGCCAGAGGAGCCTCGGGAAGCTCGACAACTTGCTGTATGAACTCGATCACATTCAACAGAATGGCGTGAAATCCGAGAAGAAAGAGGATCAGCCAGTGTCGGAGCCTGCCCCTAACAAGGACATCAAGACGCCGCGGGCCAGAGGCATGTCTCTTGATATCTTGGCCGAGGCTGCGGAGACCGCTATTCCTGAGGATGATGACAGGGACCTAGGGGAAAATCCACCCGCAGTTGACGGAGACAAGCACGACGCTGATGCCGGAGCGTCCAAGGAAGCGTCGAAAGAGCAAGATCATCTTGAAACTAGTGCCGCGACCGCCAGGGATCTTGAGCAAAGTCCGGCTCAGTCGAAGTTCGTTGCCGAAAAATTGGAGAGTGTCACCCAGGAGCTCTTGGACCTTCGTATGCAGCACGAACAGACCCAGACCGAATACGAACTCCTCGCGGCCAAGTATGAGGAAGCCCTCCGTACCCTTGCCGAGTTGCAGGATGCTGTTGACGAGTCTCGGCACCCTCCCCCATCATTGAGTGCCGGCACACCGGCTTCTTCCTCTCGGCCGACGTCTTTTTTAGAGGATACGAAGGACCAGGAAGCGAAAGGTGGAGAACAACGCTCATCTTCGCGATCTCTCTCCTCGGAATTATCCTTGGTCGAGCAATCGGGTACTTCGCAGGAAGCGTCTGATGCGAATGGCGTCAAGAAAGAACCTGTCGAGTCTCATGAGGCCTCCGAGTCAGCGTCGCAGGAAATTGAAAACCTGCGTAAGCTGCTCCAGGAGCATGAGGAGGGTATGAACTTGGTAGCTCAAAAGTATGCCCAGCTGCAGGCAGAGCACGAGGAGACACTGGGCCTTGTGGAAGAGCTCAAGAAGGAGATTCAGAGATCCAAACCCGTACCATCGCCTACGTCTCCAACACCAGTCATCCGTCGGATGACTAGTCAGAGTTTGATGTCGGGACTGGATCGTGCCCACCGCTCGCTCGCTGCTCTCCGAAACATTGCCGTTGAAGAGTTCGAGGACCGCCCCGAGACCTTGCAGAACTTCGAACACAACCTCAATACGGCAATGCATGAGCTCCATACCCGCATGGAACGTATCCAGGCTCTCGAGGCCGAGAACGCGAGTGTCAGGAAGGAAATGGAGACAAAGGCCACCATCATCTCTGGGCTGACAAGGGAAAGATCTAGTTTGCAAGGTGCAAAGCCAATGGATATGGGCCTTGTCTCTCAATTGCAGGATCAAATCCTCCAGCAAGAGAATCAAATCAAGGAAATGCAGGAAGCCCATGGGAAACGGGAGCAAGAGTTGCGCGCTGAGATTGAAAGTCTGAACCAAGCTCTGGCCTCGAAGGAAGCCCCGGCCACCACCGACACCACTGAGACCTCGCGGGAACGAGAAATTAAAATTGAACAGCTTGAAGCTGAACTCTCCGACTGGAAGGGCAAGCACCAGACAGCCATTGAGTCCCTGGAGACTTCTGAGAAGCAGTTGCACGAGACCAAGGCCGAATTGGAAGCTGCATTGGCTTCGGTAGACACCTTGCGTTCTGAACAAGCCGCCGCAGCCAATGCCTTCGCGGAGGAAAAGGCCGCCGCTGCTCGGGACCTGGAAAACGAGAGGGCTAAGCACCAGGCTATTGTTGACAGCTTGCAGCAGGACATTGAGGAGCACAAGTCAACGATTGCCCGTCACCTGGAGACAATCGCTGGCCTGGAAGCGTCCCATGCTGCTGCGCAGGAGCAGCTAGCTCAACTCGCTTCGACACAGGCGACCAACGATGCTGATTCGGCGGCCTACGCCTCTCGCATATCCGAACTGGAGCGTGAGCTAGAGGAGCACAAGGCCCTCGTTGAGGAGCATAAGGCCCTCGTTGATTCTCAAAAGGCGGACTTGGTGTCCTTGAAAGAATCTCACAGGCGTGAATTAGAGGAGCTGGAAAGCAAAGCTGCAGCTGCGGCGCAGGCTGAGCAGGAATCGCGTCTGGCAGAGCAGAATGCTAAGCATGAAGAGGCCATGCTTGCTCTGAGATCTGAAATCTCCAACTCTAAGGATGAAGTATCCAAGTTACTGGATACTGTCTCTAACGTCCTCAAGACGGAGGTCACCCCCGTCACTCTGGCTGACCAACTGGAGGATATTGTGTCTGAGAAGCAGAACCTTGCCAGCAAATACGCTGAGCTGGTGGACGCAAATGAAGAGCTTCTCAAGCAGCTGGAGCTCAAGGGTGGTCTGGATGGCCAGGTGAAGGAGCTGACTGACAAGGCTGCCCAACAGGAAGCCAAAGTCAACGAACTCGCTCACTTGGTCGCTAATCTCGAGGAAAATCTGCGCCAGAAGGAGGAGTTGATCAAGAAGAAGGATGCCACGATTGAGGAGATCACGGCGGAGAAGCAGAAGAGCGTGCGTCTGGTTGAAGAACTGGAGGAGCAGATCACTACCACATTTGACCAGCATAACAACCGCCTCTCTGTCATCCAGCAAGAACGCGCTCAACAACTGGAGGAAGCGAACACGAAGATTTCAAACCTTGAAAAGGAGATTGAGACGTACCGTGTCCGTATCGAACAGCTTGAGGTGAGCCTTCATTCCCAAACTTTAATTTCATCGTGCGTTGCTAACGCCCATTGCAGCTTCAACTCAAGAACAGCGGAGCCCAAGACTCGTCCTTGGATCGTTCGAGCTCTTTGACCTCCAACTTGCGAAAGAGCTCTTCCACTGCTTCCTTGCCCTCCCCACCGCCTTCCGTACCCCTTCCACCCCTTCCTACAATTGCCTCTACTGCCAATGCTGGAAGCATCTCACCGCCTAGCTCTCGGCATGCCAGCAAAGAGCTTGTCAGCGCTCAGATCGTTGAGGACCAAGAAGCCCGCATCCGTACCATTGAGAAGCATCTCTACGCCGAGAAGCAGCTCACCGCCACCCTCGAAGAGGCACTTGGAGACTTGGAGGCCCAGAGCCAAAAGGTCAAGGCGGACATGGAGGCATGGAAGAAGAAGGCTTGGCAATACGAGGACGAGCTTAATGCCCTCCGCAAGGAACGCAACTCGACCCGGCTTTCTCTTCAGGCCGTCGAAGAAGAACGGAATGCAAGGCGGGAAGCCGAGGCCGCTCGGGCGCAACTGGAAGAGCGGATGAACGCAATCAACAAGAAGAAGAAGAAGAGCACGCTCAACTGTTTCTAACGGAGTCAAACTGTTCGATATCTCTGGGGTATCAACGGTGAATCTGCCACCATCACACATACCTATCTCCCGCAGCGTTTGAAGGGACTCGATGGAGATTCCTGCAATCCTTAATTCCGTTCCAGTTCCTTCTCTTGAGCCGTCTCACTTTCTTTCCCTTTAGTGACCTGGGGTCTATCTGTACTGATTGGAACTATTGACCCATGTCATCCGGTCCACGTTTCATTTCTTGTCATTGATCTTCCCTTACGATGTTTGTACGATGTTCTTCCGGTCGACTGGTTGTTTGCTGGGTTCTTTTGGGCCTAAATGTACATGTTCTGTATCTACCATTCTTCTGTTTTCCCCTTCTTGTTCACATCTTTGAGTTTTTGTTCCATACCCCTTTGTCTTTCTTGTACCCAGATTTTCTGTGAGATACTTTGTTTTTTTTTTGAAGTTCTTGGCGCCCTGTCGCTTCTGTATTTTTTTTCCCCCTTTCTCTTTTTTACTTTTTTTTTTCTTCGACAATTTTCGCCGTTCTGCACAAATGACGATTATGGACGATATTTGGCGCGGCCACTTGGACAGCTTCTGAATGTCGATGTTTCCGCTTGTACTTATGATTCGTGAACTTGAATCGTATTGTACAGTACAATCAGAAAAACCAGGAGGAATATCTATTTGCCTTTTCTCCCCTTTTTGTTCAGGGTAATCAATCTTTGATTGACTTTGGTGTAAGTCGATTAAAATTAAAAAATCAAGTCGCTATCCTCGTAGGACTAGGTATCGACTGAGTAATTAGATATTTCTCCATATGTGATATGTCAGTTCTCGCAGAGAATATTTTAAAGTAAGGAGGGAGCATTATTATGTTTTTCGGCTGGTGACGGCGCGCATGATGCCGCTGACGATAAGATAAGAGACGGGCCATCACATGACGTTGCATGCCGTCTCAGGAGTAAAGCTCCAGGTGACGGACGAGTGGACAGCTGGTCTTTGGCTCGTCCCTGCAAACTCCTCCCCGGCAATCCAGTCTACAATCGCCCTTTTTCAGGGCTGCACCGCGCCATGGCCGGCTCTAGACGGTCCAATGTCATCATTATCCATCCGGATCTCGGCATTGGCGGTGCGGAGCGACTCATCATCGATGTGGCCCTTGCGCTGCAGAAACGCGGCCATCAGGTGACGATATACACCTCCCACCGAGACAAGGCACACTGTTTCGAGGAGGCGCGCGATGGCACGCTCGACGTGCGCGTACGAGGGAACACACTGTTCCCGGCGTTGGTGTTTGGACGACTGCATCTGCTGATGGCGGTGCTGCGACAGCTGCACCTGACGGTCTCGGTGCTGAGGGAGATGGGGAGAACGAACAAAAGAAGGAGGAGGGGAAGACGACAGACACGAAAGGCGCCGACGAGGAATTCGAAGACGACGTTTTTATCATCGACCAACTCCCCGCCTGTGTGCCGATTCTGAAGACTCTCGGTCCGCGATGCGCCGCCACCGGTAGGAATAATGGCAGACGACGAGGCAAACAGCGGATCCTGTTCTATTGTCATTTTCCGGACCAACTGCTTGCCCGGAGGGACGAGCGCAGCGCACTGATGCGGCTTCTGAAGGGACTTTACCGCTACCCATTCGACTGGTTCGAAGGCTGGGCGATGAGCGCGTCAGACAAGGTTGTTGCGAACTCGAAATTTACACGCGGGGTCGTCAGACAGGTCTTTGGGGCAGGCAAATTGGGGGATGTGAAGGTCGTCTATCCGTGTGTCGACACCGATGAGGCGCCCGTGGTCAAGAAGAAGGGCGCCGACAAGGTGGGGAAAGAGGAGGCCATCATCGGGGATGATCTCTGGGGTGGCAAGAAGATCTTCCTCAGTATCAATCGTTTCGAAAGGAAAAAGGGTATCGAACTCGCGATCCGTACATATCATGGCTTGGGAAAGGAAGGACGGAAGGGGACGCGGTTGGTAATCGCAGGTGAGTTCTTCCTACTGTCTGTTCTTCCTGAGAGTATAGTCGCTAACGCGTATATAACTCTACTAGGCGGTTACGACAACCGTGTTCAGGAGAATGTGCAGTATCACAAGGAACTCGATGCTCTGGCGCAAGATCTCGGTCTGCAGACTGCGACATCCAACAGTGTCATATCAGCCCTCTCCATTCCCGATTCCATAGACGTTCTCTTCCTCCTCTCCGTTCCGACAGCCTTCAAACAGACGCTCCTTCACAATGCCAAGCTACTGCTCTATACCCCAGTAAACGAACATTTTGGGATCGTCCCGGTGGAAGCAATGCATGCTGGCCTGCCCGTTCTCGCATCCAATACTGGCGGCCCATTGGAAACCATCGTCGAAGGTGAGACGGGTTGGCTGCGAGATGCGCGGAATGTCGACGAGTGGACGGCCATCATGAGAAAGGTGCTGTTCGAAATGGACGACCAGGACTTTGCGAGGATGGCTGCCAATGGAAAGAAAAGGGCAAAGGACGAGTTCTCTCTCACCGCTTTAGGAGACAGACTCGAGGAAGAGATTCAGGACATGCTCGCTTCCCGGAGACGGCCGTTCATGGGGTTCCAGCAACTGGCAATGGGCTTCGTCCTGTCCGGAATTGGGGTTGCGATACTTGCTGCTGCTATCCTGAGGACTGTGTAATAATATACGATTGTTACTTTTTTTAAACGCCGCTACGAGAAGCCGCGAAATATCATGATTAATATTTAGTAAACTTGGGATTGATAACGTACCTAAGCTGGAATATCAAAATGATAGTCACGTGAGTCCGCGATCTGCGAGACGCGCTTTCCGGAACCTCGCGTCGTCCGCAGGCGATGACAGCATTAAGATGTCGTTCTCAGCTTGACTTTCGCAACCAAGCAGAACCGCAGGAAAAAAAATGCCAGAAGTCATCGATCTGGTTTCTTCAAGTCCATCCCCTCCACCTACCGCGAATGGTCGAGCCCAGCCGCAGTCATTGAGCGTCCGCAGGCCTCCTGCCAACAATCAACGACCATCATCAGCCCTTATTTCCAGCTCTCCGCGTTTTCTATCCGACGAATTCGATGCATCATCATCATTGTTTGTCTACGACGAGCCGGAGCAGCAGCCTGCGGCGAAGAAAAGAAGGCTGACCCCTGAAGTTGAGACAGAGCAAAATAATGATCCGTCGACCGTGAAATCGCAGGCTACGGACTCCCTGTTCATCTTTTCAGACGACGATAATAATCATGATAATCCTGCCTTGCCCTCTGCGACGAGTCGCTCGAATGCCGGACCTACCACGACAAAGACGTATAAATGTGACGGGGAAGAATCTGATCCTATTGTCTTTACATCTTCTGCTCCGGAGCCTACGGCAGGACAGCAATTACAATCCGAAGTTCAAAAAACGAGGACTGCGCGGACGATCACGCTCGATGATGATGATGACATTGAGGAGTTTAGTGATCCGTTGGCTCTGCCGGACGATGCGTTGAGTTCTTTCCTGGAACAGTCTCAAAAATCAACAAAAGGGCAGCTTTCTGATCGCACTGCTGCCTTACTGGCTAGCCTTGAGAGTCGAGACGCGTCCAGTGCGAAGGGGACGGGTTCGAAACCGGGTGGTCGTTCGCGAATAGATGGATCTGATTCGAATGAGTTGCTCTCCGATGAGTTGTTTGAGAAACCGCCGAACCGATCAAAACCAAGAAGACAGCCAAAGCTGTCAGCAGCCGAGAAAGAGGCCAAGGCTAGGGAGCGGGAAGCCGCTAAAGCACAACGTGAACGCGAGAAAGAGGCAGAGAGTGAACGAAAAAGGCGAGAAAAGGAGAAAAAAGCCAGAGAGAAGCAGCTGGCTGCGGATATCGCGGAGGTTAACAAGCTTAAGATCGACAAGAAGAATTCCACGCCTGAAATGATAATTGACCTCGCCACGACGTTTGCAGATACGAGTGTTGGGAACCAGGTCACAGAATTCATGAGGCATCTGGGCGTGGAGAGAACTTTCTTCACCAGCTCGATCCGCAATATTGTCAAATGGCGGCGTAAGGTTAAGGCTACATTCAACGAGGAGGCAGGTTACTGGGAGCCGTGTCCTTTGCACATTAGGATGGAAGACCATGTGCTGTGTTTGCTTTCCGCACAGGAGTTTGTGGATATGGTGGTCGCGTCACCGGCAGCAGGAGAGCAGGAAGATGCGGAAACTCTTGAACTGCACGTTCTCAGAGTGAAAAGCGCCTATCCGAATTGCAAGGTGATATACCTCATCGAAGGACTTGAAGCCTGGATGCGCAAGAACAGAAACGCGCGAAACAGAGCCTACCAAGCGGAAGTCCTCCGGCAACTAAACGATACCAATAGTCTCGGTGATCCATCGAGCAGCAATAATCAAGCCAGAGCACGCAAGAAAAAGGCCCGGAAGCCGGAAGATACTCCTCCCGTGGACGACGACACCATCGAAGACGCTCTCCTTCAGCTGCAGGTCACGCATGCGTGTCTGATCCACCATACGAATGCCGCCGCCGAGTCGGCAGAGTGGATCAAGAATTTCACCGAGCACATCTCTACGATCCCGTATCGGCGCGAGCGGATGGATCTGAACGACTCTGCGTTCTGCATGGAGGTCGGACAGGTCAAATCGGGCGAGGACCGGGCGGACACGTTCGTCAAGATGCTGCAGGAGGTCAATCGGGTGACGGCGCCAATGGCGTACGGCATCGCGGCCAAGTACCCCAGCGTGACGGACCTGCTGAGGGGGATGAAGCAGCATGGCCCGTCCATGCTGGAAGATGTGCGCAAGTCGGCTAACAAGAACGGCGCCTTGACGGAATCACGAATCGGCCCTGCCGTCAGCAGACGGTTATACAAGGTTTTTATGTGTTTAGATCCGACGTCGACGGATATATGACTGGTCGGTCGTCTGTCTATGTACTGTACAGTACTTGGGATACTGTCTTCATCCATCATCTTGGCTACCGACCAACCGACCATTTATTGCTCTTGCATTGTACTATCACTACCTTTTTTTTTCCATAATGCTCGCTGATTGGTGGTTGGCTTCGTAAAGGACAGTTGTTAGTTGTATTGTATAGCTTTTGATTTTCCTTCAGATACTGTTCCAGATACCCGTTCATTATTGTCGATAGACTTGTTGAATTCGGGATATTCCTTTTTTGGTATTGTATGAACTAGATGGATAGATAGAGATCGAAAACAGGGTTTTTTCAGAAACGAGGGGTTTCTTTTAAGTCGTCATTTCATTTCATTCATTTCATTTCACAGATAGTACTAAGATTGTCTCGAGACATCTTCTTTGCGTCTCCCGAAAAATGTCTAAAATCTATATGTATATTGCCAAAACAAAAAAAAAGGAAAATAGTAAAGAATATCTAATCTAAACTAATCTAAACTACAACACCTCTCCTCCTCCATCCTCTCCAGGCAAGCGTCCACACAATCATGGCCGCCCACACGCTCAGCGTGCACCCAATGGCCCAGAACCCGTAGCATTGCCATCCGAAGCACTGGCCTTGCTGCCTGTCAGCACCACCACCGCCGCCGCCGCCGCCACTCCCGGCGTCGATACCATTCTGGTAGCCGCGCGAATAGACGGTCCCCCACACCGCGGCTCCGGCAGCAGGAACCATGGCGACAAGACCCCAGTTTGTGCCGAAGTTCTCGACGCCCCAGACGACGGAGATGATGATGGGCATGAGCGCGAAGGAGGCGCCGTAGCCGAAGCCGACGAGCGCGCTCGTGGCGTGCAGCAGCTGCGGGTGGTGCAGGGTTAGCTGGGGGATGGCAAGTAGCAGGAAGCCGAGGGAGAGGATGAATGCGCAAGGTAGGAGGAAGGCGAGGCGCGAGAAGGTCGGCCCGTCCTGGCGCGGGATCGGTTGTCGGTTAGGGTTGTCCAGGCTGTAGATCCAGAGGTGTGTTGCTGGAGGGGCGAACATGTCCGTGATAGACCCCGTCAGGAGCCGTGCGACGGTCGATGTCAGGGCGATGGTGCTGACGTGCGTCGAGGGCAGGCCTGCTGGCGGTGGAGCATGGAGAGGGGACGAAACGGGCGTCAGGGTTCGGATAATAGTCCCTAGCTGAGAAGAGAAGACATTGTTAGTGAGGTAATTATGTTTGAGTAAGGTACAGTACATACATTGTTGAAATATGCCTCTCCAGGCCCTGTAACGAAGAAGAAACCCGCTGCGAGCCACCACATGGTATGGTCCTTCAGAAAGAGTCGCGTCTCCTGGTTCAGAAGCCAGTTCTTCTTCCTGCGCTCCTCTTCCTCCCGTTGCTTCTGGCGTCGTCGCTCCTCGCGCTCTTCGTCCGATAGCGTCAGCGACTGCTGCTGCTCATCCCCTTCTGCCCCATCATGTTCTTGTTGTTCTTGCTGAAATGTGCCATATGCAGCCCGGACCTCCTCCCGGGGGCGGAAGAAGTCGTTCTCGCCGAGAATACCGCTCCGCTCCAGCTCAGAGACGGCCTCGTTGATGTACTTCTCCTCCTCTTCGCCGTCGACGATCCTCAACGCGAACGTGCCTCCGAGGCCGAGGCAGAGAAGCAACAGCGCCAGGAACACAAAGTACCGAAACACGTCCACGTCGCCGCAGGAGCCGTCCTCTAGTCTCTCGCACAGGAGATACGTCCCGACCTGGCTCTGCCACATGCCGCTGAGGCCGAACGCCGCAATCGGAACGGCCAGCATGATGCCCTTGTGTTTCCCTCGGCCAAAGTTCTTCGCGCACGTCGTCACCGCAGCCCCGTACATGCAGCAGGTGCCAGCACCCACGAGGACGAAGGCCACAACCATGACCCAAAACGGCCACCCGGTCCCGCCCGCGTCGACCGGCGGACCGCTCTTGTACGAAAAGGCGGCTAGAAAATAGCCTGCTCCAAAGAGGATTCCGGCTAGACACGACACCGGAGACGGCGAGTAGCGATCACACAGGTATCCGAAAATTGAGACGGGCAGGTACATGGCGATCTCGGCGGCGACCGCGACAGCATTGACTCGGTCTTGGGTATAGTGTAGCCGGGTAAGCAGCAAAGGGCCGTAAAGCGAGAAGGCGGTGATACTCCCAGCACCGAGACTATATGAAAGTAATTCAGTCAGTTGAGAAACCAATTGGAATATCAGATTAAATATGCGATAGAGAAGAAGGAACCCACCAGCTAACAACACCCCAGACAAAGCTGAAAAACCTCACAATCTCCTTCTTCAATCTTCTCCGATCCCGCTCCACAATCTCCTCCACCACGTCGCTCAGAAGACCGTCACTGCGACCATCATCATCATCGCCGCCGCTTCCGTCTGCCCTTGATCCGGACAGGGCACGTCCACGTCCACGACCGACGCGTCCATGTGCGTCACCCGCCTCCTCGCCGGCCAGAAGCGGCCGATGGGCGTCGAAATCCCGCTTGTCGATCTTGGTGGTGGTGTTCTGGACTTGGACATGGCCGTTACCGCTTGGATTGGACATTGCGAAGGCTTATTTGCAAGCCCTTGTCCCTCTTTCTTATAAAAATATATCGCCAGGATGTGGATGTGTCTGTGTATGGATATACGTACGCCGAGGCGGTGAGAGGGGGGATTCCGGACTTCTCTCTCCCCCTCGATATGATTATCGCTCGGGCATACGGCAACGAATGTATGTAGAAGAAGGAGAATATAAATTATATCACGATCTTCATTTCAACACATGATCAATTAGACTGAAAACGTAATATAGATAGATGGTAGAAGAGGCGAATCGGCCTCGATCGGATGAATGATCCGACTTGACTGAGTCGCTGACGGAGTTGAGTTGGCAAGCTGGCTGGAGCTTTACCAAAGTTAACTTAGCTTTCCTTTCCGGCGGAGTCCCGCCCCCGGCTCTTATCAGTAATCTCCTCCACAATTAACACAGTAATTACTCTGGAGTACAATTCAAACCCCGCGTAAGGCAACAGAAGCTCCAAAGAAGCCATTATTAGCATATATGTACTGTACATACAGTAAACTGTGGCAATCTACCAGTTGCAGTCTCAAATCTCTCACGCTTGGCAGATCCACATGTCAGGTCAGATTGGTCTTAGCAGTGTCACCCCTGACACGTCACACGTGAGTCAAACGTAGTGTATGTACAGTCAACACACAACATTATTCCATTATCCATTCTAGAATGACAGAGACATGAATTATGTATGTACACAGAGGAAGAGCATTAACGCAACTCCGGGTCTCAGGAATCGCTTCCCAAGAGGTATCGTTCAAATCACGCCCGACGAAGCCACCCACACGATGAGAAAGAAAGAAGACAACCCCCTGGTGACAATACTAAGTAGTCTTTCAATCAAATATCACCCAGAACATAATAGCGGAACGACAGATCCGAAGAGAGACGTATCAATATATCAATCAGGTCATCGTATCACCATCACCATGAGCAAAATCCCTAGCCAGTCTAACATTTTGCCCCGGCCATAACGCCGTCCGGTCCACGAAGAATACCAATGAAAACAGTAAAAAGAAGAAAGAAAAAAGGGGGGGGGGGAAAGCAAAATTCCGAACCAGACGCCATTGTGCAATCACATATCATCAGTCATTCAAAGACAGGAGAAGCGAGAAATAAAAAGATGAAGGGGAGGGGGGAAAAAAAAAAGGCGAGGTTAAATAGGTAGAGAAAGATGAATGTGATGCAGTATGATGATTGGAGCTGGTAAACTCCATTGCTGCCACCCACACGATGAGATCCGTTCTGACCAGTACATGCGGCGTGGCAGCAGTTCATATGTGCATACGTCGGGTATCACAATGCGAAAAAGAGACGTCATCTAGAAACTGACTTCCCCCGGGTCACTCTCAACCACTCCTTCGACCCAAAACCCGTCGGAAGAACCCTCATGGCCTCCGCCTCGGTGACCAAGAGCCATCGCCTCGCCTTCGCCACGTTCGACATAGTCTTCCTGGCTGCTGACCTCCCTGAGAATACGCTGGAAATACATGCGAAGCGTGCGGAGACCGCGCAAGTAACCTCGATCGACATCATCCGGATGTTGAGGCGGGCAACGCACGTTGGGCGGCAGCTCATCTTCTCCGGTCACGCAGTTCGCAAAGTCCACGATCTTCAACTGCACGTCCGTGTTGTTGTGGCCCTCCTCTGATGCTTGGCGCTCAAGAGGCGACCGTTTCGACTTGCCGTCCTCCCCCCGCTTGCTCGGGGGCGACTGCTCCCCGTCATACAGGATGAGAAGGCTGCTGGCATAGAAACGATACCGCTTGAGCTTTCGAATCATATTCTCGAGCATCTCGAGTTTCTCGAGAATGATGGGGATCTTCTTGCTCACGCTCCGGTAGCTGACCCCATCGTAGAGGAATCGCGTCAGTGCATCTTGGAACTCCCGGCCGGCTTTCAGATCACGACCATAGTATTTGTCTTCAAAGAGATATTCCTGCTTCTTCACGTTCCATGTTTGCATGCCGCAGAGTCGCACACCCAGCTGCTGCGACGTGGTCGTCTGACACTTGCGCCGTTGCGATTTCTTTTTCTTTTCGTCGGCGTCCAAGCCGTACTGACGCGTGCCCATTTTCAGATCGAGGACACATGGCTTATTCATGCCCGCCGTGAGATCCTCCAGGAGGATGAAGTATTGAACTCGTTCATCGCGCTTCGGTTGCGCCTCCTTTGGATTCGTCGGAACGCGGACATGTTCCACCTCCGGCATCGGGGGAGGAAGCCTCGTCTGCTCAGGAGGAGAGGTGGTGGTCTTGGTAGGAGACCGATCAGCAGGGGTGGTGTGCTTGGAAGACCCATTGGCCTTCACCGAAGGAGATGGCGGAATGGATGCATCACCTTCCATAGTAAAGATCTCATCTTCCCCGTCTCCACCATATCCATCATCTTCAAAGAACATGAGATCGCCACGATCGCCGCTGGTGATGCTCCTCCGCCGTCTCTGCAAACCACTTCCGGAATGGCGTCGCCTCACCGGCCGATCCCTGGTCACCGAACTGGGGCGCGGCGGACTGTCGGCCGTCCGTACCTTCTCCAACGGATTCGAGTGTCTCTCCAGAGTGGCTGATGTTGAAAGGGCGGATTGGTCCTGGGGCGCATTCTTGACAATGTCAATGGCACGACTTTTCGCGGGCGACTTGTCCCCGCTGGCGCGGCGACTGGAGGTCTGATCCTCGGAGAGGTTGGTCCTGCGGTGCGCGGTATCGGAGCGGTATCTGGGCAAACTGGCATGATTGCGCGCATGTCGCCGGTGGTGGTGGTGGTGGTGGTGGTGGTGAATCGTGGGCGGGCTGAATACCTCCCGAAGGACCTGCTCCTGTAATTTGCGATTAACTGTCGTCGCTCCCCAGCTGTTATTGTGCCTTTTCAAGGTTGGGGCCGGCACATCGTTGGCAGAACTGCTCTTAGGGGTCTGGCTGTCAGATCCAGGACCCTCTTCAGACAGGGCCTTTCGAGACGATCCTGCCTCGTCCGCGGTCCTCGGTCGTTGAGGCAGAAAAAGGTCAGAAGGAATGATGTGTCTGTTATTCTCCAGGATCACTTTCGGAATCACCCCAGTCACCTGCTGCTGACTGAATATTCTAGGTTGTTGCGGATTCTTTGAGGTCTGAGACGTCGTTCGATCTTGAGTCGCAGCCTCATCAGACCGCTTATGCTCGTCGACAGCCTCGGGTCCCCCATGCTGTGCGCTATCATCGCGTTTGGCCTTAGACTGCTTTGGCTTCTTTGAAAAGGTTACGTTCAACACACCAATATACCTGGAGAATCAAATTGTCAGACATAGGGCGAACACGCTCGAAATGATGATGAGGACGAACCTCGGCAGGAACATGAGCATTTCAGGATGCCTCTTTTCGATCCGTTCATAGAATTCGTTCTCACGATTGTTGAGCTGTTTGCAAACCGCACGACGCGAAAACCGAAACACCGTTGTATGTCCACCAACCTGATGGCGATACGGCTTCAATTCCACCGCTCCGATCGGACGCGTCTGGGCATGTTTGCGTCGCGGACGGGCATACCGTTGTCCCTGGGTCGGTGTCGCCGTTGGGGTCAGCTCCGCGTCGTCCGTCAGGCTGGATTCCTCTTCCCGAGTGGATACGGCGCTTTCGTCGGCCGACACGGTTTCGGACTCGGACGTGGATTCGTGGCTGTATTCCGAGATGGTCGCCAGAGACTTGTCTTCCGCATCGCTCGTCGATTGGAAGTCGCCATGCAAGATGCTCCTGTCATGCCGGGATCGGAGAGAGATGTCCACATGGCCGCCAATTTCTGGTTCAGAACCGCCCAATCGCGTCTTGTTCTCGTGGTGGTACGGGTCCTCAGTCGCGGTCGGCTCGTGCGGGAAGTACAAGGCCGACGAAATATGTTCGTCCTCGTCCTCCTCTGGGACCGACACTTGCTGACGCTCCACATCCGCATCTGGAGACTGGCTACGATAGTCTCTGCTCTCCTTGTCGAAGTTGTTTCGAGCACGGTCCGCATACTGTGTGGGGATGCTCTGAGAAAAAGAACCACCACGAGCGCCACCGGAAGTCAGATGAAAATTGCGAATCTCCTCCAGTAAGGAACGAGGGAGCGATCGAGAAGGACGGCGCGGGGTGTCCGCATCTCTGGTGCTGTCCAACTCGGAAGTCTCTTGGGCCAAGGATGATGGCGATTGGGTGTCCTCCAAAAGCGGTTTCGAGAGTTCGGAGGACGGAGGATGGCGCTTCGCGCTCTCCTCTCCGGCCGGAAGATGAAGCGTAGCATGGGACGGTCGCGGCGTGTGTTGAGACTCGGACTCCTCCTCATACTGCCGCTCATCATCCTCCGGCTCCACGGCGTTCTCCTCACACTCCAGCCCCCTCCCACGGTCCTCCCGTCTCTTGCGGTCGGGGGACGTGGTGTTCTCCTTGAACAACCCGAGATAGTGACTGGACTTGCGACTCCGCACATGAGCCGCTGGCTCCGCATTGGTCAGATTGGCCTCGATCGACTCTTCCACGCGGGTGCTCCGACCCCGGCTCGAACCGTGGTCCAACTTGGTACCCCAGGTCACATCCACCGTGCCATCACCATGTCTGTGGTGCCGTACCGCCGCCCAGGGTTCGGCAATTGCTCTCTCGTGGTGGTCGGGGTAGGACGGACGGACCATGGGGATATGGTCCAAACGGGGCGCGTCAGCCAAAGCGGAGGGCAGGAGATTGCGGTCCGGATCTTTCGACACGGGAGCGTCGTTGCCAGCGCCTTCGGACACGATCTTGCGAAGTGGATGGAAGGTCTCCCGGATGGCGATTCGGTGCGTCCCGGCGACCTTGGAGCTCTCGACCGTCTCCTGCTGTCGCACCCAGCCGACGTGGGACCGGCCAGCGGCACTGTAGGGGAGGAGAGAAGAGCGTCAGACGCACGACGGGTGCTGGCGGTGGTAGGGGTCGTGCTGGAGAGCGGAGTCGTCCGCGGCGGAAGCAAGGGAGGGCGAGGGCGATGCCGTGGTGTCGACGGGGGGTCGGGATGGATTCGGACTCGAGACAGCAGCGGCGGTGGACGAGACAGGAGCATCTCTGGGGCTCGATATCATGCCAATGCAGCGGGGCTGGTCTGCATCTCGCACAGGAGAGCGCGGCGGTGTAGGGGAGGGGGCATCGTTAGAGTCGGACGGGAGATAGTGGGTAGCGAAGATACTGTCCCTCTCGGACAGCTGGGGGCTCTGGGAGCGGAAAGGCGACGAAGCGACGTGGGAATGCCGGAGCTGGTCGAGAGGGGCGGTGCTGGCTCTCCTGAGGGAGGCATTGGAGGCGGATTGGGAGGACCAGAGAGACGGGATGCGGTCGACAAGGGCGCGGGAGGCATCGCCGGAGTCCGACGGGGTCCGCTGGTGACGCTCGTGCTCCAGCTCGCGCTGGGGATGGCCAGGCAGGCCGTGGTCGGGGCGGCGCTGGGCGTCCCCGTTGGCGCAGTGCTGGGGATCAGAAGCAGCCGGCGTCACCAGGGGTCCAGGCGGGGCATGAGCAAATGCGGAACCAGGTCTGGACATGGGGAGGACATTGGGCAGACGGCCTCGGGGGGCTGTTCACGAGGGGCGAGGAGCGAGCTCAGCAGGGACGGGGGTGCAGGGCTGGCAAGGTGCGAGGGAGGGAAGAGAGAAGAGAGACGGAGACGGCGCGAAGGACGATCGGAGAGAAGAAGACAGCCCAATAGGCGGTGCGGATGGCGGAAGCAGCAAGGGAAAGCCACACCCGGGCGGAGCTCGCCAACGGGCAAGGGGCGCGATCTTCACAGCAGCAGCACGTTGCAGGGCAGGCCAATGCTACAGGCGGTGTCTGGCAGAGAGCTTGGATTAGGAGCTGCAAGAGAGTGCGTTGGGACGAGACGAGCTGAAGCAGCAGCAGGAGTTGACGACATGACGCGGGTCCCCGTCACCGCCTTCTGTGTCCGTTCTATCGGCTACTGGTAGGAACTTAGGATGCACAGTGTGACAGTCCTTGAGACACTACAATAACAGAAGAGCAATGTATCAGTGTATAGGAGCTTTGGAATTCATTCTTATCAAGGTAGTACTTGTATGACAGTAATCCTGCAACTGTACGCAAGATAAGGAGATAACTACTGTGCTGCTGCAGCAAATAAGTGGTACCAAGGCAATGGAAGCGATCCCGCACTAGTAGTACAGGATAATGCCCGCTACATACCACAAGCTACATGCCACAACTGTCGGGATGCTTTCGGTTCACTGCGTCAGACTGATGAAGACTGATCCGTCACACCCCATCTGCAGGTGATGAATGACGACGACGACGATGTTGGGGGGTTGATGAATTGACGGGATGGACGTTGTCTACGGACCGTGGCCGACATTGCAGGAATAATGCCTTCCCGCTGCTGCCAATCATCCGGCAACGTGCGCGTCTCGCTGGCTGGCAGGGTGGAAACTCGCCATGCCAGGGCGAACTGGCGGACGCAAGGAAGCAGCCTGGAATGAGCCTCAACGGGTCAAGGTCTCAAGGCTCACCGTTCCGTCAGTCGGCTTTCTGCGCTGTTTTTCCCGTCGAGTAGATTAATCGCTCATGACTAATACTAAGATCCTTCTTTGCTCGACATCCGGAAGAAGTTGCCCTTATTGTTGATGCTAGACTGTGGGCCTCTTCGCTAGAACCAGACCGCTACTACGGAGCAGTTTTTCGCGATCTGACCAGAGTCACCAGACAGCCGATTTGGTTGATTCCAGAACAGTTGGTCAGCGCAACTAATGCCCATCTGCTAGTAATAGCATCTACCTAACTTGACCAGCTGAGCGAAATTGCCCATCGTGCGTGAACAGGTGGGAGGTGCTAGCAGTAGACTACCTACCTAGACTCTAGTCATAGTTAATTACTCCTGGTCCCCACACCAATCTCCGGGGCACTGGCTTCCAGAAAACCAGCACCAGACTACCAGCTCGGACAGAACGCCGTAGAACCCTCGCGCCGCCACAGTTTGTCGTCTGCCCGATGCGAGAGAGGGGCATACCCAACGTCGAGGTCGACATGCAGCAATGCCCATTTCCTGTCAAGAGAGGCTGACTCTGTCAAGGTTTATACTTCACAGAGGAACTTTCCTGCTGGCAACGTGTTTCCACATCTATACTCCGTACTCCAGATTCACAGATTAATATTAATACCATGACTACTACTCTTACCAACTGGAGTAAATGCAGACCACTGTGGCTGTTCTGCTTGTTGGTTAGTAGTAATTGAGTTAAGGCTTCTTGGGCCGACACTATATACCTAAGATCATGGGATCATGATCATGGGATCACGCAGAATGACTAATTACCTAATGCTGATAGGAATGAGGTGCGGGGATGGCTATAATATCCATAGATATTCCTTTTTTTATTTTTTATTTTTTTTATTTATTTGTTTTATTTATTTATTTATTTTTTGGCCTGAATTGATATGCCAATGCCAGCTAAAGAATGGGGATTTTTTTTTAACAGTTTCTCTGGCGAATTACGCTCTTTGGCGTGCAACTTCATGTTGGTGCGGACAAAGGTTAAGCTTCGTAAGTACAGTTATTATGGCCTTCTCCTTCCTCTGGCCGACAACCGATTCGACTCAATTGTCTGCAATGATCAGGTGCTTTCCTATCTGGCTAGATTCTTCTGGGTTGCCTGCATTATTTAATCTGATACTATTAATTGCTGAATGCTCACCTCGATGATGAATGGTAGCAATGCGCCATGATTGTGGATGGGCAGGGGTCTGTCTTTAGTACCAGGTAGACAAAATATATATAACTCACACCCAATCCAACAATACCATCAATCAAGTTTCCAGTGAAAAAAAAAACTTCTTTGAATCCTAGGTAAATAACAAAAACCTACATTATTATTATTATTGTTTTTTTTAAAAAAAGCTGCATCACCACATAAAGGCAAAAAGTGAAAAGAACTTGGAAGATCATCCAATATTATTCAAACCAGGAAAATCTTAAAGCTAAGGACAACCTTGGTCCTCAATCCCATTCCATGGCCCACCCTAACACCGGCCGAATGCTATACTAAATCACATATCGTATACAAGTCCTGGCTCCATGGCCAGCAAACAGAGACTAATCCAAGAGAACCCAATTTACCCGCCCATGCATTGAAGAGCAACCGAAAAGAAAACCAAACGTCCAAAGCACAACGCCCATTAACGGAAAACCCCTTACTTCCTCTTGAAAACGCCCAGATCCTCCAGTCTGTTCCAGACCCGGTCCATTTCCGCCTTCTCTTCCTCCAAGATCGGCCGCAGTTCTAACCCATCAAGAACCTTGACTGCCCCGCCAGATCCAGCATAAAGCATTAGCTCCAGCACCATGCGTCTCACCTTCGTCGATTCATCCAAGCGGGCTCGATACTTTCGATCGGCCTCCGCATCCGCCGGAGGAATAGTGTATGGATCGTCGATCTCCACCTCCGGCTCAGAATCGATCTTGCTCATTTCGTTCGCCAGTTCGGGCAGTGCAATATCGGCGCAGCGCCCAAACGTAGCAAGGGCCGTGTGCCGACCCTCATCCTGTCCTTTTTGCCCATCGGCCTGTTTCCGCGTGAATTCCAACGTCTTCGCGTTGCTTTCGTTCCGCCCACTTCCCGAGACCGCTGGGGGGTAGAATCCAACGGTAAGGGATTGCCCCGTAGGTCAATAGTTCGAAGAGAACTGTGGTCATATCTTCCTGTTCTGCCAAGCCTGCCTACGACTTGACAGAGCGTTCTCAGCCTGCTGATCCGGTTTCCCACCACTGTCAAGCGGTCCAATCCGTTCATTCCTGCTATCTCCCTCAGCTCCGTCAGAGCATTGAAGTTGAGGTTGAGAACTCGGAGGTTCGGAAAGCTCGCCCCAAAGTGAGCGGGAAGGCACCTGAGGCCGCAAGACGCTACGTCAAGCAACTGTAAACTTAAAGCAGGGGCCGAAGGCGACAGGACTCGCTCCGATAGGCGATTAGAAGATAAAAATAACTTGCGGATATCCTTTATAACACTGATATCGATATCAAGGATGGATGCGGGTTCATTGGATTGCAGAGACATTTGCTCTCGAAGAGACAACACCTCAAGGTGGCTGCATTTCTCCAATCCATTGACCGTTGACAGGTAATTCCTGTCGAGATAGAGCAATGTCAGACCGGGAAAGATGGCGGCATCGAATGAGCGGAGGCGGTTGTTCGAGAGTCTCAAAAACCGTATATTGCGCATCGGCATTGAGGAATGAAGTTCCCCGACCTGATTCGTATTGAGATCAAGGGACTCAAGAGCCGGAAGAAAGTCTATATTTCGAACGGCGCTCAGCTCATTATGGCTGAGGTCGATTTCGCGTAGACGTGTACTGTATCAAAAAGGTGTTCAGTAAATGTACCACTGATAAAACTTCGGTAACGACTTACAGTTCGGCTCCTTCAAAGTCCACCATTGTCAGCGCATTGTGCCTCAGCTCCAAACGCAAGAGCCCATTCAGGTCGAGAATGCCGTCGATGTTTCGAATCTTGTTATTGTTTGCTCGCAGTTCCCGCAAGTGAATCAATCCAGAGAAACCATCCAACGACTCGAGTTGATTGCCCGAAACGTCCAAATATTGAAGGTTAACCAAGTGGCCCCACGCTGTCAGATTTGAGATGCAATTTTGTTGGATGGACAAATTGCGCAGCGTAGACGGAGCACCGCTGAGCTGGCCAAGTTCGTTCTCTGAGACATCCAGTTCCTCAAGGCGAGGACAGAAATCGTTCAGCTTGTGTAGAGTGATAAGACCCTTTCCCCGGAGATTCAGTCGCCGAAGATGCTCCCAATACGGCTCATACGGCTCCGCATCAGTAATATGCTTTACCAAATCCTCTGCAGCAAGAGCGAACGTTCCATGCACCTGACGCAACGAGGAAGGATGAGTGCGTTGGGCGATATAGCTGACTTCCAGTTGCAGAGGGTCGTCAATCTGGTTGACAGTAAAATCGGGCAGCGGACTGAGATGGAAACTGTAACTGGTATCATGACCAGCAGATGACGGATAAATCACCGACTTCTGAACGCCATTCGAGAGAGGAGTGGGTGTGTCTCGGCGAACCAGACTCAGCTCGTCAGACGTCTCTTCATTTTGCTCATCTATCCGAGATATCGAGCGACCAACAAAAGGCTTTCCATCAAGTGATGTGCGCCGGCATCCTGCTGGATTTGGAATGGCTTGGGAATTTCCTTCAGGGCCAGAGGATCTCCCTTGAGAGGGCCGGGACTTTTGTTCATTCACTTCCCCATCATCCTCAGGATACGCAACGTGCGACACCAGAGGAGAAGAGAAACTGATGGTAACAACTCGCGGCTGACGCGCTGAGCCTTCAGGTCGTCGCGGAAGGGTATGTGTACGGCCCTCATGAAGCTTAATCTCATGTTCGATGTCCTTGAGGCGCTGGTTCCTGTCAGCATCATCCGAATTATGCTTATCATTCCCTGTCAAATCTTCAGAACCCCAGGAGGTAGCCCTAGTTTCCGGCCTGGGGCCACTTGAGGTGAAGCGTGTCAATTTAGACTGTACGGAGCTCGAATCCGGAACGGAGGGAGCTCCATCTCGTGTCCTGGGCCGAGCATCAAGGGGTTGGCTCTCTGGGTGATCGAGATTGGACCGTGTGTTTGAGACCCTAGCCCCTTGTCCCGCAGGACGCTGACTGCCCTTCCCATTAGAAGAGACCAACTCTTGGACCCTCATCATCTCCTCTAATTCATCTACGCTGAGGTCCGGAATACTGCCAAATGGATCATCGTCACTGTCGTCTCTTGATCCGTTCATTGATCCGCCGGCCTTCTTTTTAACCCACGTATGAGTCGAACGGTCGTAGACCATCCCATTGACCTGTTCGGGAATCAGGTGTGATACCATATCAGACGGAATAACACCTTTAGCGTTGGAACTGTTCGATGAGGCTGTTGGGATCGGATGTCCATTGGGGCTACTAGTCTTCACGGTCAAGAGATCTTCGTGGTTAGGTTGGTCATCATCTGACTGGGAATGCTTCCGCTTGCGTTGTATGCGGGTATTATTTCGAATTCGAGTGTTTGGAGGGCTGCTTTCAATTTCATCACCACCCTCTTTCTTGTTGGTCCTCGCTTTCTGTTCCTTATCGAGATGCAAAGACATGACAGAGGCGCCCATGAGAAGCTCCGTATCATCTTTGTCTTCAAATTTTCGAAGATGACTGGCAATACGCGGATCCAGTTGCTGAGGCTCTCTTAACTTTCGCATATCCACACCATCACGACTCGGAGGACGTGAAAGATTCTCCCGGCTGGACTCCTCGGTATAGGTCTCATCTGCGTTGGTGACACTTGCCATGTCTGATTCCTCCACACTCGCCAAGCCGCTCTTGTATTTGCCCTTCGCGCGGATCATACTCATGATCTTGGTAGCCTCATCTAAAAAGTCCTGCGTAGTGAGGGAGCGTTTCCGAGCTTCCGGGACAGTATCAACTCCATTTGATTTGTCGCTACGCTTTGATTGGGCATGTTTCGATGAAGTTTGGTCCCTGATGGCTCCCATTTGACTTGGAGTCGGGGATCTTGATCGCCGAGTCGGCTGCGAGAAGTCTACACCACTCTGTGTGTCATAATTGATGCCCTGGCGCTCCAGGCTCACTTGAAGCAATGACAACCCTCTCATGGATCCGGCGAGCATATCCATTTCCCGTTGATGATCATCAAGTTGTTCACTCGCTTTCTGCAGGATTCGACGTCGCTTAGGAATCGAACTCCTACCTGGGGTATGAAGTACGCCCTTGATTTCACTATTATCCGGGCGTGGCGAAGTTGTGACAGGTGCCGGTTGACTGGCCCCAAGTCTCCGCGAGGCAATTCGCTGCCGATCTCGTAGAAACCGTCTTCTCTCGGGAATTGAATCGAGGCTTTTCGCCTTCCGGAGATTTTCTCTTCGGGAGTCTCGTGAAAAAGATCGGGATTGCAAACCAGCGAGTGGCCTTTGGTCCTCAAATGAACGTCGCGGGACGTCAATGCGGGGCGAAGTCTCATTTTCGAAGTCGAAATTATCCAGCTGACCACTTCCAAAGCGGTTCATGTGTGGATCAGCCGCATCTTGTGACTCTGGACGCGTAGTCTTTTGAGATGATTGATCATTGGTCAATCTGCGCCTCAGATTTGGAAGACTACGATTTGCCCTTTTCCGTCTCACTCCTAAAGAGGGAGAGACCGGCTCGTCCTCCTCAGAGACACCTTCAAAAGTCTCCTCAAATTGACTCATTCGTCGAAGTAACTTGTTGTTTGTGAATGTGTCGTGGTTCCCAAATAGTTTCAGGGGACTGCCTGAGGAATTCATCTTGTGGGAGTCTGGTCTATCGGGCCCAGAATCCCAGGGTGGCGACAGAGTGACGGCAGGTAACTGGGATCCGCCGGGAGAGTTGGGTTGACGATCTTGAGTACTGGGTGCGTCGTATGGTGGTGGTGAACTTCGAATTTTCGAGTCGGTTAGTGGAGAAGATGATAGGGCTTGCGATGGGAAGGATGACGGGCTCAGCCGTCGCATGTGGAAAGAGCCATCGTCGTAACCCCCACGGCGAAAATTCACAAACGGCTTCGTTTTTATAAATTCTTGTGTTCCCGTTGACAGATCCGCTGGCAGAGACTGGCTGGTCACGTCAAGGAGATCCTCCGGCTGGGTGTTATCTTCTCCGCCTCCAGTTTCTGAAGCTGGCCTGTCGGCGGCGTTTTGGGACAAGTTCTCGAGCTTGCCGTTTAGTTGTTTTAGCGCTGATTTGAGTACACCTGAGGTTGTTCGACAGTTTGCTGTGTTGGTTCTTGACAGCAAAATAGGCGTTATTCCTTCATTACGAATTTCTTCCCGCCCACTTGCCGACCTCATTCGGATATCCATATCTGAGACTCCGTCTAAGCCGTAAGTTGAGAGTTGTGAGGCATCAGTGTTGTTAGGTTTTGATACAGAACCGCTCTCGTTCGATCCGGGGGGATGTTCTCGGTTCTCCTTATCTTGTTCTTTATCTTGTGTTGAGGTGCTCGAATCCTTTCCCTCGAGGTCTTTGTTTTTTGCCAAGCACGTGCTTTTATCCCGTTTGTTTTGATTGTCGCTAGGTTCCTCATTTGTGCGCCTGACATCATCGGTCGGACCTGAATTAGCAAATGATCCCTGCGCTCCGGGCTCGGATCCTGCTGGAGGAGGCTTGAAAATGCTCTCCAGACCAAGCGGAGCAAACAAGTCGCACCGTTCATCCGGAGCCATTTGCCCGCGTATAAGCCGGCGCTTCCATTCCGGCGTGCCTTTTGCATCCCCTTTCACGGGCCGCACCTGAACTGTACCTTGCTCTTCTGTATGATTTGAGACATTGGAACTCGACCGAGCCGATACCATATTCTTCAATGGCGTGGACGACGGTTTCTTCCCAGACGGCGTTCCCGGCTTAGCAGCCCCTTTCGGCGCGCCTTTGGCTGGACTATTATTTAATCGCGGAGAGGCACGCGGACTGGGGGTGTCATTCCCAGCTTTTTTGGCTTGCGCCTGTTTGGTTCCTTTCGGAGTGCTTTTCGCTTTAATACGTGGTGATGGCTCTGGACGGGGTATCCGACTTCGGTGATAACATCCAATACATTTGCGCGCCGACTGGGTGACAGGAGCCGTGGGGAGGGATGGTGATGGGCGCGAAGTCGGAGAAGGTGTCTGTGGTGGCTGCGACACCCAGTCATCTGGGAGTGAGTCGAGCCATGGCTCCTTGCTCATTGTGGCGGTTCAACACGGTATTGTTTTGATTTGCGGTTGTACCCGACAAGTTCTCGGCGCGTCCTGCGGTAAAACGCGAAGATTGCTATCCATGAAGCACAATGTGCAAGAGTTTAGTTGAATAGATCATGATAAAGACAGGCGATAAGAGATGCACCCTAAGGGTGATGCAATGGAAGGAAGAAGAGTATCTTGAATGTGCGCTCACTAGCAATAATATGGTGTGTATAAAAGCGCCCTTGATGGATGAATTGTCCTGTCTTATCGGGTGTCACCGCCCTGCGGCCCAAGCGGGAGGCAATTCTGGTCCGTGGGCGACGGGCCACAGTGGACCTCCGGCGCAGGTGACAACTACTTGCCGAATCGGGCTGAGCGGGCGCCGGAGAAACTCGCTCCCCGCAATGCATGTCAACTCCCGCATGATTGGCCCGGGCCAGTAGCGCCGATTACGTCAGCAGACGCGTTGCCTGGGCAGAGCTGGATCTCACGCGTTAAGTGGTTTCGCGTGGCCCAGTGGCCCAGGAGCTGCAGCCTTGTTGGGACAAAGAGCCACAACCTCACTGTCCAAGCAGGTTTCTTGAACAACTGTTGCTCTGCCTACGCTCTGGCAGAGATGCATGCCGCTTTCTCTGGATTTCCTGTTGTTTCTGCTGCTCCTATGCAGGGACTTACTGCAGCAGCACAAGCAACAAGAAAAACCAACGTTTACGACTGTTCCCACCAGCCCCGATGCCCCTCCGCCGACCGACTTCGCCTCTTATCCTCGAAGAGCTGTCGACCAATGATTCCGATATAGATGACGTGCTTGGATCGGACGATGAACTGGACGAGTCGACCCGTGCTGCGAAGCGGAGGAGGATCGAGAAGCTGGGCGAGTCCTACCTGCAAGGAAAGCCACTCTTCATTGCTTCCGCTTCGCTCAGGGGTCCATTCGACGATGGCTGGGTCAATCCGTGGAAGAAGCAGAGGAAGCAATGGCGGGATTCGCTAAGCAATCTCAAGAAGATCAATTCTTGCGCAAAGACAGCTCCTGTGGAAGGACGGGTGATACCAGAAACCGATGTCAAGAAACGCTGTACCGAAGAGCCTTCAGCAACCATGGGGAGAGGCAACCAGCCCGGAGAAATAGTTAGGAAGAGAAGCACTGTCTTCCCAGGACCAGAAACAGATAACCACGGGGGTTCAGAAGTCTCAAATCCGCGTGAGGCTTCCGTAGCTTCAGGGGCTTCATCCAACGCTCGGAAAAAGCAAAGAAGATCGCTACCTTGGATCGAAAACACCACGGCATCGACAGAATCAGGACCAAATTCTTCTGATAGAACATTCAAAAGTGATTGGCTGAGAAAATCTAACATGACCATCAATGTTCGTGATGTAGATCCACCAAAATCTCCTACTCCTCTCTATGCAGGCCGCCGTGATAGAGTCAAGGAGATTGCAAAGAAAAGTTCTCAAACAGCGACTTCTCCAACTTCCTCTCGAAATATTCCCTCATGGCCCGCAGATTTATGTGGTGCTAAGAGGAAACCTTCCCCACGTGATTCCTCGAATGCATCGCACGCCTCAGGACTCTCGCCGCAACGAGACGCTCGTGGTGCAGTTCAGCCCCCAATCGTGGATGAGGCTGATGCCTCTCGACCCCAGGGAAAATCTATTGCTCCCGCTCTACAACATGCTGTAGCAGATCCTGCCGAGAATCGATCTAGACGATCCTCGGTGTACATTGTTCCGCCGTCCTCGCACCTTCCAGAGTTTAGGTATCGTCGACCCAAGAATCCTGTTCAACCTGAGGAGTTTTCCTCGAGCCCATCAAAGTGGACGCGGGCTGCAGATGGAGATGTGTCTGGTATGACTGGGCCTCAAAGAGAGATAAGTGTTCAGGAGGCCAAGGAGCTTCCAAGCTCTGCACGCGGTTCTTCAAACCAAAAGCACGACTCGATATGTCCTAATGACCATGGTCGTAGACCAGATTCTACCCGACTGCGAGCAAGCATTGGGCCAGGTGCAGAACCTTCCGGATCGAGGAATCTTGCTTCGAACTCAACAGGAAGTGAACAAATCCCATCGGCTCAAGTAGTGCCAGGAAATCAAGGACTGTCTGATCGTATGATTTCGCTGCATTCAACTGAGCTGCATGGTGAGCGAGGTACGCAGAATGACCGGGAAGATGACGATGCACAGATTTCCACACAGGCAGCCTTACTGCTTGCGCAAAAATCTTTTCAAGATGATCTTACAACACCAAAATGCGGAATTCAACCCAAGTCTGCTGCTAGTCATCCAGACCACCAGTCCACTGCCAACAGGATCACACCGTTCTCTCACATTAACACAACACCGGAGCGACACAGTGACAATGTTCCAATGACAGCTAGAACTGAGAGATTCCAAGCACTGAATACCCAGGCCATGATTGATGCAGTTACACCATTTACCTTCAGCACATCCAAGAAGTCTGAACCTTGGATGGAACCAGGATCTGGTCTTACAAAGACTCTATCAAGCCTTAAGCGACGAAAGAAGACATGCTTTGCGCTGTCGTCGTCTCCGCCTCGAAGTGTCTCATCTTCTTCAGATGGTGGTCTTCAGCAGCAAGATGCACCAGCCCATGCGATCCCTGGCAAAAACGTGGAAGCGTCACAAATTGCAGCTACCGGGTTCGACCAGGTAGAGACCGAGAACTCAGTACAGGGGTCATCTCATGCCCTCCAGTTGACATTATCTGGCTCAACGCCTACAACAGAACAACAGGATGGCCAGGGATTGCTTGGTGGAATGGATTCATTTAATATAAATCAGGTGATCCAAGACGCAGGGAGCTGGCTCCAGCAAAGCTGGGAAGTTGAAAAAGAATTGAGGCGTTGCAGTGGTCAAAGCGCCCAGTCTTCCTCTACACAGACTCAGAGGGCGGCAGTGAGTGTTGATACCCTCACCTAGGCCTACAACAGTACGGTTGCGATTGTGGGTGGTTTTTCTGGTTTTTGATGCCGGTCATCAATCTGCTCTATCTATCTTTAGCGCCTAATGTGATAGGCAACATGTTGGGTTGTATTAAACGGGCTTCATTCTGTACATATACCAGAATTGCAGTAGTATAGATACCTTCATAATAAAGCAATAGTACAAATTTAACTTTAGTATTCGATTAGTAAAATCACAGAATTGATGCCTTTGCAACACTTCATGGCTCCATTGTATTACTATTCATGAAGCTCGCATCTTGGTTGAACATTGATGAAGGCTTCAGTTGACTTAGGATGAAGCATTGTTCATGTCTCTTGGCATTTTTGATCAATTCACTAAATAAAAGAAAGATAGGAAAACAAATGTATATATAGACCACGTTCGTTTTAATTAAAACTTTCATGAGTGTGCTGATGTTTAACCTCCCGGCAGACTGGTTGGGTACGTCAGATAAGCACGGGTGGGACAACTGCCTAGCGCCACGCGGAGCTCCATCCAACACTGTTTCCACTCCGCCTGGAGCTCTGCGACAACCCATCTTCAACCCCCGCGCATATCATTGCTGCTCATGGCGCGGGTTCAAGGCAAATGGCTCTGACTTCGGTACGACATCTCTGTGTCTGTCGTCATAGATTTCGACTCACATAGTGAAACAGTGGAAAACATTCAACTTCTTTGAAGTCTCGCAAGTCAAGCTTCCAGAGGAGAGCTCCTCGGTGTTCAACGTACGCTTCTGCCTCCAGCCTGACGCCTTTTGTGACTTCGACTGTCCTACTGACATATTTCCATTCTAGGATGACGTTGCTTGCCTTTGCACCGGCTCCGATAACCTCTTCCTTGGCACCAATGATGGAGTCGTCCATATCGTGTCGTCATCCTTTAAGGTTGTCCGCTCGTTCAAGGCCCACGATGCGGGTTCCATCAGGCATATGAAGCAGGTTGAGGGCACATCGCTTCTAGTTACAATCGCGGAGGATCTACCGAACGAGCCCGTCCTCAAGGTCTGGGCGCTTGACGAGATCGGGAAGAAAACCGGGGCACCGCGCTGTCTTTCGACGTTATCTGTGCAGAACGGCAGGAGACCATTTCCAGTTAGTATATCGCGCCCTCTGTGGATAGTGCCATACATGCTGATTATCGAAGGTGTCTGCTTTTGCAGCTCTAGATGATCTGTCCCAGCTTGCTGTAGGGTTCGCGAATGGCTCCGTCGCCATCATCCGGGGCGATTTAATCAATGACCGTGGTGCGAGACAACGTATTGTCTTTGAGTCTGAGGAGCCTATTACGGGGCTGGAAACGCAAAGGGGTCACACGACGATTTTGTACATCGCTACTACCAATCGAATCCTCACATTGACAATCGCTGGACGGGGCCAGGGACAACCTGCACGAGTGTTGGAAGACGCCGGCTGCGGACTTGGCTGTATGGCCTTGGAAAAGGAGACGGGAGACATTCTGATTGCTAGGGAGGATGCTATCCACACCTATGGACCCCGTGGACGTGGGCCCAGTTATGCTTTTGACAGCCCCAAGTCCTCGCTTAATCTTTTCAGAGGTTATGTTGCCTTGGTGTGCCCACCGAAAACTTCGAAGTCAGATTCCTTGCGGAGGCTTGGCGTGAGTCAGGTTGATGATATCTTCAATACCTCGACTTTCACGCTGCTCGATACGGATTTGAAGTTTATAGCCCATTCGGAGGTCCTTGTCTCTCCTGCAAAGAGCGTATTCACGATATGGGGGGACCTATTTCTCATTACCATTGATGGGAAGGTACATACCATGATCCTATTTTGAAAAGTACTTTGGCTTATATTTTTGCAGATTTATCGCTATCACGAGAAAAGCCTTCAGCAGAAACTCGAGATTTTGTACCAGAGGAATCTTTACATTCTTGCCATCAATCTCGCCCAGAAAGCCGGCGTTGATACTCTGCAACAAAACGTGATTTTCCGCAAATATGGTGATTACTTATATCAAAAAGGGGACTATGATACTGCAATGCAACAATACCTTCGAGCAATCGATAACACTGAGCCCTCTCAAGTTATTCGGAAGGTCAGAATTTCTCTTATCTCCCTATGTTGACCGAATCCTACATATTGACATTGAGGGAAGTTCCTGGACACACAACGGATACATAACCTCATCGAATACTTAGAGGAGTTACATGATCATGAAAGAGCGACCGCAGATCATACTACCTTGCTGTTGAATTGTTATGCGAAGTTGAAAGACACGAGCAAGCTGGACTCCTTCATCAAAGCTCCTGGCGAGCTGAAATTCGATCTCGAAACAGCCATAGCGATGTGTCGTCAAGGCGGATATTTTGAGCAGGCTGCCTACCTCGCCACCAAGCACGGTGAACATGACATGGTCGTGGACATCCTGATTGAAGATTCGCAAAAATATGCAGAGGCGTTGCAATATATTTGGAGGCTTGACGCCGAAGTGGTTCGTAGAAACTGTTGCTATCCATCTGGAATTGGGAGCTGATGTGGAACAAGGCCTATCCAAATCTGATGAAGTATGCTCGTGTCTTGCTAGGACATTGTCCACGTGAGACAACGCAGTTATTCATAGATTACTATACCGGTAGGTACCGGCCGAAGAAGGAAGCGGAGCTTCCTGTGAAGACCGAGACGCAGTCGGGAAGCGCCGTTCAGAACCTGGCAGCTCTGCTGCCCTTGCCTTACGTGGGTACAGGTGGGACAAAAGCACAGCCTTCTGAAGCTCAAGTGACTTCAGAGGAGAAAAGCCTTGACGTAACTCCAACTTATGAAATTCCTAAACCAAGAACTGCCTTTTCCGCGTTCGTCGACCATCCAGACGAGTTCATCACTTTTCTAGAAGCTCTCATTAAACAGGAGTCATTGAAAAAGGAGGACAAAATTGACCTCTACACTACTCTTTTTGAGATGTACCTGGATACTGCGAAAAGAAAGAAAGATGCAAGCGAGAGACAAGAGTGGGAAAACAAAGCCAAGAAATTGATAGAAGGCAAAGATGTAAGGGTTACCTCGATCTCGGAGAATATCATGGATCTGACACAATCGACAGATACCTATCTCAACGTCCAATGTTCTCCTACTCTCAGACCTGTCCAACTTCCGGGAGGGAACAACACTCGTCAGGGAGCAAGAAGGCCTGCGCTCCGACATATTCCGTTCCTACACCGCGGCGAAGGACACTCAGGGTGTGATTAAGGCACTGAGAAAGTATGGACCAGAAGAGCCGCAATTATACATCGATGCTCTAGCGTACTTCACTTCCAGCCCGAAAATTCTGGAAGAAGCGGGGGACGAACTGAATGCTGTCTTGCGAAAAATTGACGAAGACGGACTAATGGCACCATTACAAGTCATTCAAGCGCTGAGCAATAATGCGGTTGTGACAATGGGTATGATAAAGAAATATCTGAGCGATAACATTGAGAGGGAACGCAAGGAGATTTCCACGGTACGTATCATTAGCCCTTGGCCAGTTAGGCGGCAGATAATTGACTTTGCTCGCAGAACCGTCGTTTGATATCCAGTTACAGCAGTGAAACAGAGAGCAAGAAGAAGGAGATTGAGGAATTGGGCACAAAGCCAGTAGTATTCCAGGCGCGTCGCTGCATGTCCTGTGGAGGAAGTTTGGAGTTACCAGTCGTCCACTTTCTTTGCAAGCACTCTTTCCATCAGCGATGTCTGGACAGAACTGATGAGGATGCGGAATGCCCTGTATGTGCGCCACAGCATGCCACGATCAAGGCAATACGAAAACGACAGGTGGAATCGGCGGACCAGCACGATCTCTTCAATAGCGAACTGCATCGCAGCAGAGATCGATTTGGCCTTATCAGCGAATTCTTTGGCCGCGGGGTCATGCGGCCCCAGAAAACTGAATAGTATGATTTGTTTATGATGGAAATTTAAGTGAAACAACGTTTGATGACTCCTGTAAATTGACAAAGCTATCTATATCTATGACAGTAATGTGATATGATGTAGTAACAATGCGATACGAGTGCCACAACATCCATAACTCCCCTCAAGCAACATATCTCTCATCTCTCCCTTTCGGAATCCTCCTCTTGTTACTGTTGGGGATCCCAGGTTCAAAGCGTGCTGTCATGAGTAGAATCCCTGCCTGCCAGATTGGGTAGGAGGGGTTTTCCTGGCATCCATTAATCAGCATAAAAAGCTGGGGGTGTGAACTTTTTCACCATCCGATTTTTTTTTGTCTTCTTCTCGCTCATCTTGATTTTCTTTGCTTCTCCAGCTGCTGTAAGAGTAGGACTGGATTTAGCCATTTCATGACCATGGATTAAAGACAATATGGTCAAGATTGCTAGTGATAAGATATCTATCTCTTATCATCACGTGCACGCGCGTGTCTCTGGCGTCGGCACGCGTTCAATAGGAGTTGCGGCGCAATGCGCAGGTGGAGATCAGTCAACCCACATCAACGCAATTGCACATCCTCATTGTTGCCAGCCATGTCTTTCCAGCGCATAATTCTGGATTCTGATGATGAGGAAGATGCGGGCTCAGACATTGCGACGTCTATTGATCCCTTGCAGGACCCGTCCTCGCAGGAGGATGCGCCAGAGGACAAAGGCCACGATGTGAACGTTAGTTGTTCTTCTGGTGGAAGAGAACTCTTCCAGGCTCCTGATCCCAATTCTGAACTACCCCAGGTTGACTTTGATCGCTTCCTACAGTCTGAATCCTCGGTTATCGGGGACCAGGGGCCCTCTTCATCCCAACAGAGAAGAGAGGAGAGGTGGATACCATCCGAGAATGGAAGCGCCTCAGTCGGTTAGTATTACGAAGATGATTTGAAAAGCAGATTGGCAGATCTATGGCCAAATTGGACGCTGATATTGAAACAACACAGCTGCACTAGTGAGCCAGCATCGTCGTAGCCAGAGAGAAGAACCTGGCAGTCTTTATTCAACAGACATGCAGTACACTCCTGTGGCTGCGACTCCAGAGACAACGGGCTTTGAACTTCCGCCGACTAAGAAATTGAAATGCCATGATACGACGATCGACACCGACGTCATGGCACAGGATGACACTACAACGTCATATGCAATGCAAGATAGCGCTGCAAAAACTTGCGACAGTTCGGAAGCAGCTACTTCTTATAATTACTTTGCATCTTTCCCACCAAAAGAAAATACTACTCAGACCAGTCATCCAGCAGACGAGGGAACGGAGACCTTGCGTCTTACACCCGGTCGGTCCAAGTCTTTGCAGCCCTTTTATGATTCGCCTCCTCCTACGGAACCTTTCTCTTCACTTGCTTCATCCCATCAGAAGCGATCGAAGAGTGATCTGCCGGATAGGAATTCGTCACAAAAATCCTCATCAGCTGTTCAAGATGAGCATCATTCTTCAACGGAGGCGGAAATAACTATAACCAAAAGGAAACGAGGTCGTCCGAAGAAGCAGGCTGTTAATGAGGGAACTGAAGCGCATCTAAAGGAGATCCCTGACAGTGCTGCTAATTCAGACGGACAACCCACTAAGCGCCGACCGGGCCGGCCAAGAAAGGTGGACGTACCCAACAAAGGTAACGATGCAGATCCAGGTGATGCAGAGGGGTGCTCAGCAAATGAGACTACCACTGCCAGTGCAAACCAAGGCAATTGTCATCAAGATTTGATAAGTGAGAACAACGTCTTGAATCATGACGGAGAAGGCAGCAACCAGCTTGGTTCAAACGAGCGTTCCGACGTCCCGCCTCGTTCTAGTCCTGATGACCTGGACCCAGGCCTCCCAGCGGAAATGTATAAACCTCGACCAAGCCGCTCTCGAGCAACACCTTTAGAGGATTATTCCGTATTAAATACGACAGAAGAGCCAGAAAAGGTCAAGAAAAAGAAGATAAAACGGGGCAAAACGACGTCCGCTGTGCTGAGCAAATCTTACGAATCGGACGTCGAAGCTGACGTGCTGTGGATTGAGGACCGGCCAGTCAATAAAACGAGCAAAGAGGAGGGCTTAGAGTCTAATCCTATCGAGCTAGACGGACACGCAGCTGAAAAGGATGCAGGAGAGAATGCGACTGCCACCAGAGAAGAGCAGAATGCCAGGCCGGGCGATTCAGCAAGTTTGCCGTCAACCGAGGCATCCGGCCCTGAGCCTAAAAAGCGTGGACGCAAGAGAAAGAAGACGAACCAAGAGCCTATCACGACGGAGTTACCCAGCGGGGTAGAACCAGCGCAGGAAGCCAACGAACAGAACGTCAAGCATGCCCCGAAGAACGTGCTGCAAGACATTTCAAACCTCCCCAGTCCGATAAAGAACGAGGATAAGAAACCAAAACTGAACCATCGCATTGAGAGTCCCGAAGTCGTCATTGTCGGTGACAGACAAGAAGACGGTCACGGCGGCGATGATAACACCAACACCAATACCACCAACAATAACAACACGATACAATCATCACCCCACAAATCCAGCACAGCTACTTCACCGGACCCTCTCCTCGAGACCCCAAAGAAGATGACAACGACGAAGCAGCTGAACAATGACGAAGCATCACCGGAGAAGACGCCGAGTAACGCTCCGGGATCTGCTGCCGCCACCACCAAAGGACCAGACAAGCATAGCCCAATCGCCAGAACGAGCAAGGTCCCTTTCCGAGTGGGTCTGAGTCGCAAAGCGCGAATCGCGCCTCTTCTCAAAGTGGTGAGGAAGTAAAAGTGAGGAAAAAGCAATTAATTGAGAGTGGGTTTGTGAGTAAGTTATTAATGAGATAATCAGCCGTGGACGATGGGAACAAAGACTGCGTGTGTGTCCCGGCCCTGAAGAAGATCGCTTAACCTGATTTGATTGATTTTACTGGATTTGATGGCAATGATGATGGTAATGATAATGCACTACATACACTGCACATGTCATGTCTGAAACTTGAGAAAAGTCGTTGCTCTAAAAAAGGGGGATCGGAACTTTGCACTCGGGCTCTTGTCCTTGATGTCGGTCAAAAAAGGACCAACCCTTTTTGCTATTACATATGTATATTTTACCGTTTACCTTCCCGGTTCTTTATTTATAGTTTCTTTTTAGTAGTCTGGAAAGGTGGTGTATTTCGACTGCTTCAGAGAAGGAAAGGAAGGCGCTGTCTATTTCTATACTCCGAAGACAATAATAAAGCCATGAAAGCTCAGCCAGGAAAAACAAGAAAAAAAAACCGAATAAGCTCCAGCAATGGAAAATTCCAAGCTGCACTCTATCCCAGTCATTAATCATAATAAAATAACCCATAATGAGCGACAACGACAGTCAGGCTACTTGTTTCCACCGAAAGACAGAAGCTCCCAAATCAAAAAATCCACTGACTCTCAACTCCAGGGGTGCGGTTGCATCTCATACCGGAATCATGGTCCGGGCATTAGCACTGGTCGAGCTGCACTAGTAGAGGAATTTCAGTTTCTGAGATTGAGATCCTAGCGCCTGTAGTCCCAGCGATACCAGAAATCTCTTGGATCATCCAAGCATTCACCGACCGTAACGGCACGATAACCTGCATCGTAAGTCTTTCGAAGAATGTGAGCAGTGAGATTGTGTACGGTCTGCTCATGTACATCATGTGCAATTAACAGAAATGGTCGGCCGGGAGGATTTTGCATCGACATGGCCCTGTCGAAGATATCTTTGGATCGCTGGATGTAGAGAGGGTGATCATTGTTGTAGTCATCCGTGTCTAGATTGAAGTACGTCACATGGTATCCAAATCGATTCATGTCGTCCATGCAGCCTGATTCGGTGGTGCAGCTTGAATAAGGAGGACGTATGTATGTCGGAACACCCCCGAGTATGTTCCGAATAGCAGCCTCATTCTTGAGGATCTGGTCCCGACGTTGCGATGGAGAAATCCTGCTCAAGTCTTGATGGGACCAGGTATGGCTTGCTATTTGATGACCGCTGCGGTGCATACGCTGGATCAATGTACCCCATGGCAAAGTAAAATCGTCGATTTGGCCCTTTCCAGAATTCACACCGGAAATAAAGAAAGTTGCCTTTGCATTGAACGAATCCAGGGTATCAAGAAGGGCACTGGTGTAAATGTTGGGGCCATCATCGAAGGTCAGGGCAATAGTTTTGGGAACAGTACACGAATAGATCTTTTGACCGTATGGTACTGCGCCAATCTGAGGCCGGGGTATATCTGCGGTCGACAGGCCTTGTGGAGTTTTGCTGGCATCGCAGCTGCCATAATCGAGCTGACAGTCCGGTGAGCGACAATGGTCACCCGTAGAACCACAGAATCCTAACAGAAATTTAGCATCAGAGGCGACTTGTCAGGAATAATTGAGAGGAAAATACCTGCAGGTGAGCAGCAAAGGCCATCTTGACAATTGCCCAGTCCGGGGCCGCAACGCGGTCCAAGAGCAGGGTCTATATGGGCTGACAGAATCGTGACGTGCCGGTGTTTATCTCCCAGAGAGCTAACATTCAATGGCGGACCCTTGTAGATTGAAGGACCTTGTGGACTCGAGTCGTTGGGAGGTCGCAACTCTAAGGAATGGGAACGAAGGCCTTCACCAGATGGAGAGAGAACGGCTGCGAGGGTGAAAGGTGACAGAAGAATGAGAAGCAGAGACATACTGATTGATTTCAGATGGCTATAGGCGTTATAAAATGGAGTGAGAAGAATGACTGCGGTATCCTTAATCTCGAGGTGGAATGAGTGTGGTGAATGGCACGAATATTCCGAAGAACAATTTATACAATGTCGACGGAATCGACAGATATACTGTACAGTACATCACATGGTGAGGGAGACAGTTTCCATGAGGAAGGCATGTGGATGTGAAGCATATTAGGAAGGACCACCATTCGGTCTCGAGGAAGGCACTTGCTCGGCCACGACCCAGGCAGGTAGGTACAATATGCACACTCCAAAAATGGGTTCACAGATAATAACACCGGTCACAACTTTGTCTTAATCCGACCGAATACAAATCCCATGCCCATACTTCCAGATCTAATTTTTTTTATCTTAGAAAAGGTTGCGCCTGTCATCCCCGCAGCTGACGACATCAACATGTCGGACTTATCACACCGTATTAAAGCAACTAAGCATTTCCACGCCCATCGTGAACTCGGATCGCAGCAGGCCAGCTGAGTCGACCTGCGACGGTAGTTAGCCATGCTTTCGAAAAAAAAAATATGAAAGGGGGCACTTATAAAAAAAATTGGGCCGTTCCCACGAAGGGAACGGCGATTTCTCCACCGATCTCATCTAGCCAGACATCACACCTCTCATTGTCTTTCGCATTATCGAAGTATACGCACCCTATAGCGAACCCCCTCGAAGAATTGAGACATCGCCTTCAGCGTGGAAGAGTTTGAGCGAATCCTCTGTTTCCTGCACCATCCCGAACCGCCGACCAGACAACCTTTCCAAGCGGGGTGATCATCTTTGACCAAAAAGAACAGGAAGCAGATAGACCAGTCCAGACAAGCCTAAGCTTTGATCCTCACCCGAGAGAGGTCCCTTTCCGGCAATCTGACAACCAGATTCAGTTTGAATCAAATATGAACCCTGTCATGGGAGCCAATGAATGGTGCGACGGATCCGTGAAGATGGTGGAGCCTAATGGCGGAGGACACACTGACAAACTCCGATAAAGACGAGCCAATCTCTCCAAGACAGTATCATGGGTTGCGATAGAATAGCGCACACGTTCAACATGAGTCAGACAGGAAGGTAGTTGATGGCTGGGAGATGGCAACGGGCAAGAGAATCGACCCCCGAGTCCAACCACAAACCTCATCATGCTTGGTTTCCGTAGACAGAACGTGCATCAAATCCTTCCACATTCCCAGTCGCACATCCTTGCCTTGTTTTTCCATCTCCCAAGTCTTACAGTGCTGCAGCGACTTCGGTAGTGCCCAGTTCAGCTCTCCAGCCTCCAGACCCCACAGCTGGGAATACGCCTCCCTTGTGTGTAATACAGCATCCTCAGAGACTAGTTTTTGTTTCCTCTCCTAACGATCAGTGATGCGCAGGAGGGCAAGATGAGAAGCGGACAAAAAAACATCCTCAAAAACCGCTTCATTGTTTCAACGTGGTGACGATGGAAAATCCCATGACACCAATGTCGGCGCCCATCAATCTATTTGTAAGCTGAACTTACAAAGAGATGGTTAACACGGTTGGTCAGGATCCTCGCAACGAGGTTCAAGTCGGTGGCGGTTGCCTTGACTTGAAGTTGGCCAGCAAGCTTGCATCGCAAAAAAAAATGCATCCATCGAGAGGTTGGGTTCGAGAGTAGGGACAGAAGTCCCAGTCTTCCGGAAGTTGGGAACATGCGCGGGAGGGCGGCCATGTAGTGAAAACAGATGGTTGCGACCGGAACAGACAACAAGCCAAAACCTTACGGGCATACACTGGGAATACCAGTCAAGGGAGTCAGGGTCTTCAATTGAGATGTTGGGGACCTCGCTACAACCACACACTTGGCCGGCGCCTGGGTGCGAAGGTAAGTGGCAGCTGATTCCGACGAGTGGATCCCCCATCGCAATTGAGACCTGCTGACTGTTTGTGGGCAAACTGTCGTAACGGCAGTAATTGTTGCGTTCAACGAAACCACGTCTGCCTTCACACCCCTGGCGAGAGGCTGGCGTCGAAATCTCCCAAAGGCGACCCCTTCAAATAGAGGCACCTGGCATGTTCCACCTACTCTCTCCCAAGCGGCTCCCCGACTTGCATGCATGAACCAAACATCCTGTTGTGACCAAGGCGTACTGTCCAGCTTCGATAAACCGACGCGTGTCCCTTTTGGGACTTGAAGACGCATGGTAAACCTTCTTCAATGCCCTGTGACAGGCTCTGGACATCGAATACTTTTGACCGTTCCAATCCGCAAGGACTGAAACGGCTAGTCAGATATTCGACAACCATTACCGTGAGACTCAAACCGACCAGCTACTTAGGGTTAAGTTCCAATCTTCATCCACCTTGAAAGGCCTGGCTCGCACCGGGCAACAAGCGTAGTAGACTCAGGGCCTTTTCAAGGGGCATTGGAAAGCATGAGATGAAGATTGGGAAACTATGTGGAGGATGGAACTGTATAAAAGCGCCTATAAAGGCAAGGGAGTTGTGGAGGAAGAGAGCGAGTAAACAAGGCATTCCACCCGAGCCTTCTGCAGCCTCCTGTGAGGTATCATGGGTCCAATAGAAAAACAGAATAAACAAGGAGCGATCGAATTGGCTGGTAGTTTAAACAGATGATAGCACAGTCACTGTCCGGAATCTCAAGGCATGTCGAGGGTGGTTTGAGAGACGAGAGTTGTGGCAGAGGGATGAGTTCAATGACCAGGCGTTGAAATAGCCCAGGAAGTAAACACGCGGAACTCGAACGCGATACACGACATCACGTGACCCCAATAACTGCTTAGTCAGATATACATCACGTGAAGGCAAATTGAGTCGCTTTGTGACGACAGCAAGAGGCCAGGACGAATATGAACAATAACCAAGGTGCAAGTCAGGAGTCTGTGGCGAGGGAACGCCTGGAGGTCTAAGACTTCTTTGCCGGGTTATCAACCATGACAGATTCAAAATCGCTTAGAGAGATATTTGATGCGGCGAACGAGTTTCTGCGTCCTGTTTTAAAGAGAGGCACGCACTCTGGTATCCTGGACGAACTGACATGAAGCTAACACTTGCATAAGATGAAATCCGGAACGCCCGTGGTAATTCTCTTGTTGAGATTCTGGGCAGACATCTCTCTCCGCAAGTCCAGGAGGAAGATTCTCTGAGATCTCTTGTCATAGAAAAGGCGCTTCTCATCCTCACGGACATCCACCTTGGTTTTGCCACGTCTGTAGAGAACGAGGAATCCTTCTTATCAGCTGACCCCCAGACACAAGATGCTGCTCTTGAAGATGCGAAGCGACGCCGTGTGTTGCATACGCTTCTTGACTTGATCTCTCTAGAAGGAATATATCCGTCGCTTTCCCAAGGAGTGGGAGTTCCTCTAGAAAAGAGAGTGATCTCCAGTCTTCCCACCGGTGTCATTGCTAAACAGGCCTCTGTATCTGCGACAAACAAGCTGCAGAATGAGTCACTTTTGCATCGTATTATAACGCCTCTTGTGGATATTCTGTTCGACGAGCGGCCGGGAATTCAACCACTTGTCCGAGGTCGGATTCTGAGCGATATTTTATGTGGTAGTGCAGATCTAGCATTCAATTCCCAGAGCCTTACGCAGGAGAAGAAGGATAGGTATAAGAGCATGTTTGAAAAGATAATTAATGAGTACGTATGCTCTGGCAAAGTCGTTCAGCCATTTCATATGCTAAGAATGACGGTAGAACATCAACGTCAGTGTTACTGCCAATGCTGTCGGCGTTTCTGCGGCCAGACGCTGCGTCTTGGTTCAAATCTGTTATTTCCACCCGTATTTCCCAGATACCTCTACGGGATGATGGCGTCGTGCAAACAATCTTTTTTCTTGCCTCACAGTTCGCCCCGTCGCTTGGCCAGGACAGCCAGGAGCCGTCATCACAAGGACCTCCTATTACCGTGCAAGCGATTATGCAAACATCGAAGCTGCTTTCTTCCGTTCCTCAGGGAATGGATCCAGCTGCATATTTCCACAATATTGCACCAAAACTATTAGCCTTGCTCGACGGCAATGACCCTGACTTGAAACGTACTGCAGCTTATGTCGTCGGTAGTGGGATACTTGGAAAGAAACAGTATGGTGCTCCTGGTGGAATTGGGCATTCTATATTCGTTGAGCCTCTCTTTAAGGCCGTCACAGCAGAGCTTGATGACTCCTCCAGACGGTGGTTGAGATCATTCGCTCCTCCAGCAGGAGATGTCTCTCCTCGCGATACTGAGGACATTTCGCAGGGAGACATTATGGTTGATGAGCCCGAACTTTCGCTTGCCATCGAGAGACTTGCCACTCTCAGCCTTCAACATCCCAACCCTGGCCTCGTGAAAAGACTAGTCCATCCCATCCTTCTTCCTCTATGGGGACTGGCTTGTTACACCCAAGAGAAGAACAAGAAAGCATGGCACGAAAAAGTCTTTTCCATTATACAGACTTATTTCAGCCTATCAGCCGGCCTCCAACCCCTAAAGAAGATTGTCGACAACCTGCTTTGGAATGGCGGTCCTACGTGGACATACAGGCCGGGCCGGAATGGTGGAATATCATTGCATAAACGCAGCGATTCGAGCTTCAACGTCGTTCAACTGGTGGAGTCTCTGGATTCTCGCGCGGAAAACTTTTCCAAATTGCTAGGCAGTGATCCTCAGAGCGAGGAAAGAACCGGAGACATCTTCCTATATGTCAGCCAGAAATGGCTCATAACGCCATCCAGGAAGCAGCCTGCGCTTAATGAAATAAAAATTATGCGAGATGAAGAAGCGGAGTCTGAGTTCATGACCCAGAAACTTGTGAGCGCCAAGATAGCGGAGAAGCTACTGGATGATTTCAAGGATACTCTATCTCGTCATCCCCTCCGAGTCTTGGAATTGGTTCAGCAGCTTATTGAAAGTGAATTAATCGTGGCAGAGGAACGGGAGAGAAGAAGGAGAGCACGGAGAAGCGGAAAGGCTTCTCTCGAATCGCTTGCTAATATAGTTTCCAGAGAAGAAGATGGTTCGGCAACGGAAGGGGATCAGGCAGAGTCAGCAGAGTCATTGTCAGCGACATTCAGCCTTCTATCAACGATACTCGCTTCTCCAGATTTTTCCATGTCTAAAGCCTTGCTTCCCATCCTTGAGAAGATAAAATCACAGTTGGATCAGCTTCTTCCTAGTCTTCCACCATCACTCTCGACACCGGGAAACACATCATCTATGCTTTTAGAACTGCATATTAGTTTCCCGGAAGGTCAGAAAGATTCAAAACAGGCACCATCAGCGCAGGCATCAGATCTCGAAACTCATCGCCAGGCCTTGAAGAATATCTCATCGTCTCTCCCCCCAGTGCAAGCAGAAGGGCTTTCGCTCCTGTCCAATCTGATTGCCAAATCTTCACCAGTTCTTGACATTCCGTCTACGCTCTCGCTTTTGCTTTCTATAGTCACTGAGCAGAGCTCAGAAAGTGCTGCAAAAGAAGAATTCGTTTACCTAAATGCGATCAAACTGATCGGAAACCTTGCATCGAAGCATCCGCGGACAGTCGTTAAGACGCTGGTCGAGCGATATGCCGACAAAAACGAAGAGAGGACCCTTGACCAAAGGCTGAAAGTTGGCGAAGCCCTTTTGCGAACAATTCAAGATTTGGGGGAAGCTTTGGTCGGCGAGACAGCTCAGATTATCGGAGAGGGCATGATCGCTGTGGCCGGACGAAGAGGGAGAAAGCCTGAAGCACACAAGGCTCGAAAGAGGCAGCTCGAAAAGGAGAGACGAGAAAAAGAGCGCGAGGAACGGGAAGTCGCCATGCCTCCTGGCTGGAAGATCTCCTCGCCTGCGCTGTCAAAACCTGAAGAAAAACAAACATATCCTGAAGATGACGACTCCGAAACGGAGACACCAGAGCAAGCTGAGTACTCGGCCAAAATACTCGCCGCTTGGGCCGCGGGTTCTGCTGCTGATCTGGAGCCCGACGACCTCCGTGTCCGTGCCTCCGCGATATCAATTCTGGCAACAGCGATTCAAACAAACCTTCTTGCTTTGGGGCCTTCCATTGCGTCCTCCGCTGTCGACCTGGCTTTATCCACTTTGACACATGAACCCGGTCCCGAGAGTGCCATACTTCGCCGTGCGAGTGTTGTACTTCTTCTCGATCTTCTTAAGGCCATGGACTCGGCTCGCGAAAACAGAAAAAATGGCAACCTAGGCTTTGGCTTCTCCCTTGCAGATAACAAGGACGGAACTGATGTTAGCGGATCTCGAGGCCCAGCCACGATCGGCAATATTCCAACCATGCTCCGCTCATTAGCCTTTGTGGAGAGCCGAGAAACGGACGGTGTTGTGCGAGGCCACATCCGCGTGCTGATCGAGAGCTTGGAGGCGTGGATGGAGAAGTCGTTACTGTGGGGAATCGGTGTGCATTCGCAGGATAATAATATCAACAATGAACCAAGATTGGAGCTGGGCGATCGGATTGCTGGGCTTGACATTGATCCGTTGGCTGGTCGGGATGGGGATCGACGCGCGAAGCCAAGGATTGAGGAGATTGAGTAGGCAGCATCTAGGAATCCAAGACTTGGTAGTTAGTGCTTGGCGAAGAGATATAAATAATTAAATAAATACCTGTAGTGTGCATATCCGGCATTCAGATGGCTAGTAGGAAAAGAAACTGGAGCGTTTTTGTGAGGACCCGTGATATTCTCTTCGTATTTTCTCTACCTGTCGTCGTGATATCAACTCCAAGTACCTAGGAAGTTGGTTAATTTGGTGGACGGCTTGTTACATAGCGAGTTTACCACTGCTTCGTTTCCTTCAACGGAGACATATTTTCATCAGTTACTGACTACATGCTAAGACTACGAGGCACAAGGCAAATGTCATGCACAATCAATTTCATTCAATTATTCAGTCTATTCTAGTCATTTCGAAACAACATCCCAATTCTATGACAGACACCCTTAAAAAGATTATTCCAGAGAGGAAGTAAACCTTTTTGGGGAAGAAAAAAATCTTCTTCGGTTCCGTCTGCGGGATTGAGATCAAAACAACATGAAGGTCATATTTCATAAAATACATCGCAAAAGCAAGTCATTCGTGAATCTTAAAAAAAAAAAAGCAAATCTGGTAAAAAAGACAGTAGGGAAGAAAGGGTAGAGGTATGATGTGATTAAGGTCGAAGATGTGTTGTTCAGGAGCATAACGAACCCAGAAGATCATCAAGATGATGAAGACTCATGACGCATGCGTTAAGAACAGATTTCCCAAACACATCGATAAGACGAAATGGACAGGAAAGTGGTCATGATCAATACACAAGGCATGACAGGACCACTTTACCATGCACTGTTGACGGGAGGACGTCCACCTCTTCCACGACTCGGACCTCCCCAGCCGCCACCGCGTCCACGTCCTCCACTACGGCCAAAACGACCACCGCCACCTGGACGCCCTCTGTGAGAATTCCTGTCGGTATCTGGGCGTGGACCAGCAGCCATACGTGCTTGGCGTTCCTCGTCGGTCAGATAGAATTTGTTCGGGATACCGATGAGGTTGCAGAATTCCGCAGTCTGGGGATTGTTGTACTCCTGTGGCATAACCGTGTTCGTAATTGGCACACTGGGATCATAGACTGGCGCCGTGATGGTGAAGTTTTCCGGAACAGTCATCTTTCCAGCTTTGACGACATGTTCTTCGATCCACTTTTCTTCCTCCATGATACGTTGCCTGTAGTGTTGGTCCCCTTTGTCAAGAGGCACCCTAGCATTGGGATCACCAAGGGTCAAATCGTCTGCAAAGACACGTGTGATCGCTAGCCACTCCTTGTCATATTGTAAACGGTACGGGCGGTCCTGCTGGACGCCTTCCTGATCAGATATGGCGGAGAATTCAACCAGTTGAAGGAATTGGCGCCCTGGAAGACACTTGTCCAACGCCAAAAACTCGGTCGTCGTGTTTGAGATCGCTTCTGGCAAAGGATCATGTACTACGGTACTAGGCCGCTGAAAACTTGCAGGGAGCTGCTGTCGAAGATCCTCCGACACACCCTCGTCCTCTCTGGGCTGATCCTGCTTCAAGGACTGAGTACTAGCAGCTGGGGTATTGGTCTCTGCATTGGGAATTGCATGCGCATTTGATGTAGCAACTCTCTGCTCGCTGGTCGCGTCGCCGGTGGTGTTGTCTTGAGTAGGACTGCCATCATCACTACTGAGGTCAAGATCAATCTCATCAGAATTCTTCACTGTGGTCTGCTCGACTTTAGGACGTTTGCTCTCAGGTTCTTCGCTAAATCCAGTCTTTCTGACGCCGGTAACTTTCCGGGACGTCATGTCTTCATTGACATTAACCTTACGCCACGTGAGTTGATGAGCAGTCTCGGCGGCGGTGTTGCGAGTTGTCTGGCTTTCTTCCCTTTCCTGCAGATATCGCTGATAATCTTGGGCTTCCTGCCTCGCAGCGACAGTATGGAAATTCTGCCATGCAGAAATTGAAGACTTGAGAACGTCCGACTGACTAGATTTGGGATCGATCACATTTTTAGCAGTCGCATTCGTTTGGGAGGGACCAGGATCTGAGACACTTCGGGATCCCAGAGGCTGAGATGCTTTTGAACCCGTGTTGTCTTGGTCAATCATCTGATCCTTCTCACTGTTCATAGATTTGTTATCAGGAAGATCAGCCATAGTCTCTTCTGGTACGTCTCCTTCAGTGCTGTTATCGTTCTGCAAAGGTCCAGACTCTACAGAGAGCAATGCTCCATCAAGACCGCAAGCATAAGGAAGTTTTGAAGTGTCCTCTTGAGCCGAGTCCCGATCGCCAGATTTTCCATTCTCCGGAGACACGTATTTGCCGTGAGCAATGGACGCGGCGAATTTGATGTGCAGATGCGCCGAAAACCAATAGCGCGGACGAAGTCGATCGAGGACGTACTTCGCAGCTGTACTGCCCAGTCTCCCCGCTTGGGAATCCTCTCTGAAACCATTCTTGAGTCGGAAAAGTTGTTCGTAGTCACCACAGTACTCAACCTTCTTCGGCCAATCGTGAGAAAGGCCAAGATCGACTTGAGTACGGATCTGGAGAAGCTTGCGAACATCAAGCTCTCGGACATGATAGATGGATTGAATTTCATCACGATTGTAGGGCAATCTTTCAAAATGAGGCTTCCTGTAGTCATACCCTTTCCAAATGCCGGACAACCCTGCAATGCGTAGCGGCCCACAACGAATGACATTGGCAGCACCCATGTAGTAAATATTGGGTGCCACCCATCCTCCGTAGTAGAGCTCGAAGAGATGATTGCTTGCTTCATGGTTGCCACCGATGAAAATGGTCAAGTACGGCGCAGTTCGCTTACCGCTATAGTACTCGTGGAAATCACCAATTTCCCTGTACTTGTGAGGCACTGACATACAGTTGAGATCGTAAGAATTTCTAACGGCCTGATCAATGGGTTAGAATAATAACTTCGATGAAGTCCAAGAAGTCGAGCAAGAAGAAAAAAAAAGTGATTCCTTACTTGAAAATCGCCCCCGATGATAACCAAGTCAACCCCATCCCAGCCTTTAGATTTGGCAGCATGCTCCACTGCCGCATAGATGTCATGGAGTTTTCCATGTCCCTGGATTTCAAGTGGTCAGTCCAAGCACCCATAAGTCCAGAACATCGCAAAATGAAAATATCGGCACTTACACAGCCTTCGAGGGCCACACGAAGACCTGGACCTTGAGAAACAGGATGATCCATGGTCAAGTAGCATCCATAGTCACAAGCGGTAGCAGAAGAGAACAGCTTTAGGTGAGAAAGATCCCACCTGGTGGTGTGTAAGAAAGAATTGATTAGGCAGAAATGATGATTAGGGCATGGATGAAGAAAACTCTGATGGCTGGTAAAGGAGATAATTATTGTGGCTGTCAGGTTTGCTGGGTTTGTTTGTGGTGGTCAAGTGAAGGGAAGGCCGAGATGACAGCTGCGGAAGACAGTGAAATCTGAACAGTCAAAAAATCTGGGTGACCCGACAACAATCGCCATCATCAACTTTTCACCATCATGTCAATGTGATAGCAGTTGCAGGATTTAAAAAGATAAGTCTGTGTTTATTTTTAATTATCATGTCTAGTGAATCTGGCCTGCGACTTAACTTCCTCAGAAATTCTGCCACTTTTCTGAGTTCGCAAAGCCCATCTACTGCCGCTCATCTTATAGCCGTCCACAACCACATTCTTCATGAAGATTTCAAACCTCTGAAACCACGACAGCATGAAAGCTTTTGTGGTGCATGTGGCAGTCCAAGAAAGCCAGAATACACCAAGACAATAAAGATCGGACAGAAGGGCAAAGCACGTGCTTCTCAGTCACTGTCAAAGGAAACCCAACGCAGCATCCAGGGTGGCGCCATTGTCTACAAATGCCTACGATGCCACAAACGGACTGTACTACAGCAACAAAATGCAAAACCGCAAAAGCTTCATAGCACTCCTCCGACCCAAGAAGCCTCGACACTCACAAAATCTTCCACTGAGAAGTCCTCATCTCAGCCTGTCTCAGAGACACCAGCAGTTCCCACAGTCCCTAAATCCACCTCTGAGAATGCCAGCAGTAAGAAGAGGGCTAAAGCAAGGAAGCAGGCAGGCCTCCAAGCTCTCGTAGCTTCCAAACAGCGCTCACAGGCTGCGAATAGCGCATCATCGTCGCTTGATCTGTTTGACTTCCTGCAGCAGTGAATTGGATGCCAAGCTCGGATAATCGGCGTCCTGGTTCCGATGCTGCTCTGCCCTTCTGGGTTAGCGCGGGGCTGGAGGACTGGGCGCTGATTCAACCCCGCCACGGACACAGCAGCGAACCACAAGGAAGGTTCCGGCGGTTGCTAGATTTTCTTTATTAATAGAGCGGTGGAATGTGAAGTCGCAAACTGACTCAGGAACACTCCTCCTCCATAAGAACTCGCTGTTCTGGAGACCCTGCTATCACATTCTTGACTTGACAGGACTCTGCTTTCCTCATACTGCAAGATCTACACAAGGTCGCAGTTATGTCCAAAGACGAGAACGCTGTGTCTGCGGCAGTATCAGAGAACGCCCCCGAACAGACGGGTGGCGTACCGGACTCGGCGACTCAGAAACAGGACCAGAATGAGTCCCAGTTTCAGAAGATTGGAGAGATCGTGGAGAGGGACGAGGATACGGGCTTGGTGCAAGTCGAGAGTCTTTGCATGAACTGCCATGAAAACGTATGTTCTACTGCCCAAAGCTTTCCTACAGAATTGATGCTAACTATCCGCGCAGGGTACCACCAAGCTCCTATTGCTCCGCGTCCCGTTTTTCCGCGATATCATTCTGGAATCTTTTGAATGCCCTCACTGCTACTTCAAGGACAATTCCGTGAAGTCGGCGGATCAGATACAACCGCTGGGTACGAAATACACTCTAGATGTGGAGAACGAAGAAGACCTTCAACGTCAAGTGATCAAGAGCGATACGGCCATTTTCAGGATTGAGACACTGGACCTTGAGATGCCTAAGGGCGAAAGCCAGCTGACAAATGTCGAGGGAATATTGCTAAAGATTCATTCCTCGCTTGAAAGTGAGCAGCCATTGAGGAGAGTCCAGGCGCCTGAACTTTACAATGCTCTTGAGCCGATCATTCAGAGGATTGGGCAGATGTTGAACAGAGAGGCTTTCCCATTTACCATTTCACTGGATGACCCGACTGGCAATTCTTGGATTGCTCCCACGACTCATGACAGGGGAAACAAGTATAGGCGCAGGGACTACCGTCGAACTCACGAGCAAAATGAGCAACTGGGAATTGCTGCAGACCCGGAGGCTATTCGCCATGAAACCACTCTGCTGACCCAAAGCGCCGGAGACCCTGAGGATCTCGACATCGTTGACGGAAAGGTCTACACCCTTCCCGCAGAATGTCCAGGCTGCGCCAAGGCGTGCGTGGTCAACATGCAAAAAGTCAGCATCCCGTATTTCAAGGAAGTCTTTATTTGGAGCACTGTTTGCGACCACTGTGGATACCGAACGAATGAGGTCAAGACCGGTGGCGAGATTCCTGAGAAGGGCAAGAGGATCACCCTCAAAGTGGAAAAGATCGAGGATCTGTCTCGCGATATTCTCAAGTCCGACACTTGCGCATTGTACAGTGAGGAGCTGGACATGTCCGTTCAGCCCGGTACTTTGGGCGGACGGTTCACCACTGTGGAAGGTCTCTTGACTGAGGTTCGCGATCAGCTGCACGGACAAATCTTCGATGTGGATGACACCGAACATAAGGGTGGCGACTCCATGACTGCTACCGACAAGGAGACGTGGACTCGTTTCTTTGACCGACTCGACGCTGCCATCAGGGGAGACCTGAAGTTTGTCATCACGCTCGAAGACCCTCTTGCCAACAGCTACGTGCAAAGTCTGCACGAGCCCGATCCCGATCCACAGATGCACATCGAAGAATACACCCGGACTGAGGAAGAAGAGGATGAACTTGGGCTGAAGGACATGAAGGTGGAGGGATACGAAGAGGATGCCGAGGTCGAGGCGCAGAACAAGGAGAACAAGGAGGGTGAAGAGACCCAGAAGGAAGAGGGGGCTTAAGCCAAGAAATGCTCGACTAGGTTTCTTTCCTGAACTCATGATATCATCATGCTTGCGGCGCAGTACACGGAGTTGATTATGCGAGTTGTCTATGGTGATCAGGTGCATATGGGACGGCGCTTGCGACGAGGTGTTTTGGAGAAGATGTCTTTTCTTTCTTTCTCTTTCTTTTTTTTTTATTTTTAAATAATACGCACTTGGCATGATTGGCTTACGTTGCAATGATCCACGAGTGCGAAATGTGAGATACGCCATGATGTGATTGATGTTCTTAGTTCTGCTAGTTTTATTATATACACCAAAAGCATGTCTATTTTTTCTGTGCATCAAATTCAATATGACCTCCAATAGTATCCGGTTGCAATATTCTTGCAGGTAACGACTCCCGGAGACGTCACATGTTGCTGGAAACCAGCAGACCAGGTATTGACTCTAGATGAATCTCTTATTTACATCGAGAGTCGAGGTAATATGAACTCGACGTCGATACCGTATCATAATAGGACTGTTGTCCAGTGTGTGTTCATAGCACAGACGTTCAGCAGAGCAGACCTTTCAGAGGCTGTGTTGCGAATTACGTCGAAGGGCGGACGGGCCTGATCGGGCTTTATGCCATTCGCTGGCTTTGAAGCCATGCTGTTTCGTGCGGCAGAAGCATGTCGGTAGACGCCTCTGAAGCAGTTTTTGGTCGCGGAGTGTAGTGCTGCTGGTTTGACTGCCTTCGACAAGTGTAGACCGCGAGCAAAGTCGAGCTCAGCTTTTTTCATGATCTTTCACTTCGCGAATGGATTCGCATGAATTGTCACGCTCTTTATTTTCAGCGCCTCCCACTCTCCTTCCTTTCCCTCACCCTCTTTGGGCTGAATCACTCGTCCCTTCTTGTCCACCTTCACCTTCGCGTTTTCCAGCCTGGACAACGTATCCCCGCCTTCATCCTGAGGGCTCAGATTCAGTACCTTGCCGAAGACGGTGCTTTCCCCGTCCAGATGGGGCGCGGGCGCGAAGGTGATGAAGAACTGGCTTCCGTTGACAGTATTACCGGTAGCGTTCTGCATGCCCGGAGCGGTTCGGTCCTTGACGGGACGGGAAGCCATGGACAGGATGCCTCGCGCGTTGTGGCGAAGTGCCGGGACGTGGATTCTTGATTCAGCGCGGCCGGATGGTAGATGGAGGTACCGCCCTTGGGGATGTCATCGAATGGGAGCATGGGCCGACGTGTCGTGGCTGAGGTTGAGGAAGCTGCGGGACCAAGCGATATATCACCGCCTTGGATCATGAAGGATGGGATGAGACGGTGGAAAGGCGTGTCATTGTATGCGCCTGCCGCGCAGAGGGCAAGGAAATTCTGTTACAGTGTTAGTTTAGTCGTTTACAATCCGTCGCTTGTCGATAATGTATACATGCCTCGGCTGTCTTAGGGACAGTTTCGCAAAATATCTCGACCTTCAGGTCTCCGTGGGTGGTATGAAGCTGTACGCATTTAGCGACGGTTAGTCTCAGTCGAAAGAGAGTCCTGACGTGGACGGGTACCATAGACCATGGAACCCAGGGTTGTCAATACTCACAGTAACCGACATGGCTCCTCACTGAGCTCGAATATTCGGTATTCGCCAAATAATGACAGGAGAAGAGAATGGAATACTGTTTGCTGCATGCAAAGAACAGTTGTGGGCAGAATCCCGAAGGCGGTGTGTCGGTCATCACCAATTACTTCTGACGAGCATCGCATGACTCGGCTCCTGCAAGATCACGAATTGCCTCGCATTGGCTGTCTTACGTAGGTACCATGCGGCGTCTATGCATTGGATGGAATTGTAGTTGGCTTGTTGTCACATGCCTCTGCTTCCTGGATCATCTTCGTCATGCAAGAGCTCTTCATTCCTCATCAGAGCTGGAACTGCTACTGCGACGATGCCACGCGACAGGTGGCTGTAGGATAATTAACCGTTAAGGCGTACATTCAGCACATTTCTACACGCTAGCAACGGCATATTCCATACCCCACAAACTAGGCTGGGAACATTGGCCCCCGGCCCCAACCAGGCATCGGCGGCTGGCTTGTTGCACGAATGGGGGGCGGGGATGTCGTTAGCTGCCTTGTCAGGTTCAAGACAAGGTTATCGGGCGCACATCGCATGTAGCAATATCGTGTTGAGGCAGATCATCAGTAATATCAGGCAGTGATCTTGACCCGATCACACCGGGAGAGGGGCTCGGCTGTATTCTGAGCAGGTCAACTGCAAGAATCCAGACTATATTTGTTGACTCCACATGCGACTGCCGTCGACACTTCGCGCCGCTGCTAGCCTGATTGCGGGACCAAGCGGGCAGTCAAGTCAGCTTCCAGCGTCCAGAGGCATTCTGCGCTCATCTGCGCTGCTGAGGAGACATCTGTCTGCACTCTCTTGTTTCCTGTGTCCCTCCTCGTCGATTGCTCTCTCCTCTCGGTGGATTGCTGAAGCTGTTTCCACCGGCGTCATCCCGCTTCACGGTACCGCCTGAGCGGGTCTCCGGGCAGATGAATCGTCCTTTGCTCCCTAGATCGCAGCACTGTCAACTACAACTGTCTAGCCTAATTCTCCGCGCGCATCGATTCCACCTGGCACTCGCCCATGGTGGCCTGGGCGGTGCTCCTTCACCATGGCCGCCTTCGTGCGAGTATCAGGCCCCCCTAACGGCAACTTTCTAGTAGGCTATCCGGGAATCTCTGCAACCCTGGTGAGTCTTGGAGGCGTTACTCTCGTGCAGGCGTTTCAATGAGACATTCTCTGACCTACTGGCTAGCCGCGCATCGAGGGCAAAGTAGAGATTCGTCCCAGCGCAGGAATCACCGCACCTGTCAACATCTCCCTTGTCACTATTTCCCTCCAGCGCCGGGAGACGATCCACCCTTCAGCAGACTCGGTTACGAAGAAACACCTTGCGCCGCCCCGGAAGGAGATCGTTGATATTGTTGGTAAAGAGATGCTGCTCTTCCGCTGCCCCGCCGGTCGAGAATATGAAGAGGTCATGTCGATGGATCTGCCGTTCGTCCTGTTTATTCCCTACGGACGAGGCGGTCAGGAGGCGTCGAGACGAATTCCTGCTGCGAGCCTGCAACTGCCCAGCCGAACCGCTGAGACATACTACGAGATGGTCGTGATGGTACAGCAGGGCCAGTCGGAGCAGAGGAAATATTCTTTTCCCGTGCCAATCACTAGATACGACACTCTGTCGACGTTTGGGATGTACAACCGACCCGAAACCGCGGAGAGAGTTACAGATCACCTGGTCACCCTGGCGATTTCTTTACCACGATGGTCTTATGGGCCTCTCGACCCCGTGAGCGTGTACGTGAAGCTGGCTCCGAATCCGGATTGGTTGAGCAAAGCGAAGAAGGTTACAATCAACAAGATTACGATCGGGATTGACGAGGAGATCGTATTTAACCACGAAGGGGACGAGCCTCAACGCAAGGTCAAGACCATTGCCAAGCGGACAGAAAACGTCGGTGTGAAACTGCCAGAGCAAGGTTACCTTACGAATCTCGGGCTGGTGTTCCCTGCAAAGGACATGCGAGACGCCGACGGGATTTTACCACGAGGGAAAGCGGCATTTCCTATGTATGCGGTTAGCGCCTTTACGACCACAGCCACTCTGTATAAGATCGAGTATTACCTGACGGTCAAGGTAGGTTCTTAGTGCTCCTTCGACGCAACGTCTGTGGCAGTAATATTGATTAATTTTTCCAGGCTCATTTAACCTCGGCAAGGGACATTGTTATCCGACAACCTATCGTTGTGTGTCCGCTCGATCATGCTGGATGCAAAGAAGAAATGGAAGCCATCGAGCAAGCAGCGCGCGATGCTGCAATGATTAACCCGGAAAACCCCATGCTGCCGCTGCCGACGATAGTCCGAGTCCACGACCCCAATGCATTACAAAGCCTAGGGGTGGCTATTGTTGGAAACCAGAAGAAGCCGTTGATCGATTGAAATTGTGCATACTCGTCACTGACCGTCACTGAATGATGGGAACATTAGTTGACCGCATTATCGATTGGCAGCACCATCGATCCAATCAAACATCTTGCTTGGTTATCCGGTCAGTCGTGTGGATTGGTTGATTAACCTGTCGATTGGGTTCATAGTCAGTCAGCCCAACAAACTGCTTGACGGATTGCTTGCCAAGTCTATCAATCCGACAACGTCGCTCGACTGACTGTTATCCTCTCAAAGGACGGCAATATCAGTCTTGCCTACATGTTGGCCTCATTTCAGGTGGCACAGGCTATCTGATAGGCCAACCGATCATGAGATCACGGCTTTTCCTTCAATTCCCAGAGACATAAATTTCTCGACCTCTCTCTCTTTGTCATATGAGAGACGCTACGGATACTTAAATACTTGTTGGTTTTTTGCCTTCTTGGAATTTGTGATTGTCGTTAGGGGAAACAATTGCATGGACATGGAGTTTTGCGGCATTGTGATGTGTATTCAGGAATAACATTTTGATCAGCATGTTTACCTTTTCGACTTTGCTCCTGGTCCTTCTTCTCCAGGAGAGACCGTATACTGTTTACTCTTTCTATACCATTGTTTATTTTTGGATCGGCAGGAGCTTGTGCTTCCTGCATTGGGGCAGCGATATTGAGCGGCAGAAAACGCTGAGCAAATTTGGAACGAAACGGACAACAAGTCGCGTTTCGTCCTCATATAAAATTCTGATATGGTGTCGTTTCTTGTTGTCATCTTCGTTCTATAGAATTCGCCTGTTGCATCCAACCTCACTCGACATCTGACAGAGGCGATAATGGTACCCATCACTGCATACATCTTGATTTAGGTTTAGTGAAACATGAGATAACTCTAATGTGTTACGAATGTTAAAGACAGGTCTAAACTGCTTCTGTGTCAAGTTCCATGGTCTCGTAAGATGATTCTATAAATTCTTGCAGGATCGATACTCTTATGTTTCTTCGCAATGGGGTATGACTATAAACGACTAGATATCTTGAATTATATACAGAAAGTCAACAACTTCTACTCCTCCAATTTCAAAAACCCCATCGCCAAACTCAGCATATCAGGATCGGGGGGTGCCGGTGCTGACTTGTCAACTGATGCAGTTTCTGCCGTGACGGCGGTCCTTTCAATATCCCGAAGACAATCTTTCAGCATCTGCAGGACGGTCTTGTATTGAGGAGAAGAAGGGCCGAATGTGCGGAAGGTATTGCTCAAGTTGGTGGATATCTGGAGATTCGATCGAGATGAGTTAATTCGATTCTCTTTCTCTCTCTTTTTTTAAAGTTCACACAGAAAAGGGAGTACGCTCGATTTGAAATGGATTGTATCGTGGTAAACGAGGCGAAAGAAAGCAGAAGGGAAGAGAGATAGATAACATTGGGCAATGCTGTTTGTTGTATGTTATGATTTACATCCACTGATCGGATTCTACCTACCTGGAGCAGGATTTCATTGTAGTTAGGAGGAGCATTTCCAGAGGACATCATGTCATCACGAACGACAATGTCAATGGATTTTGACGACTGGCCAATAATCTCACTCGAGATCAAGTAATTTTCTTTTGCGGTCGACTAAATACTGAACTTTCAGTGGGGTGTATCTATAGTACAGTACGTGTTAATTGCGGGGTAGGGCGACTCGAGCAAATTCAGACGGCGAAACGGCGTGTGGTCTGTCAACAGAGAAAAAATTTTACAAGCTGTTGCGGTACGATCTTCTATAGTAGAGAGTATGATTCATAAATGAAACTCCAGGTAGAGAGCTTCTAGTTGCAGGCCTGTTTGATAAGGTATCCATGCATATACCGCGGAGCTCCAGCCAGTAAGTTAAGCTCGTGCGTGTCGGCAACGCTAAGCAGCGAAATTATCATGGAACTTTTCTTGCTGATAAGATCTTCCTCATTTGAATATCCATTACTCATCCAGTTCCACATTTCAGTGGCGCAGATCGTCTGTCGTTCGTTCGCGCGATATACACTGCATACCCCTTTTTAACAATCAAATAATTTTCAGTCGCTGCCAGAAATGGCCGACGTCGACGAGGATGCGATCCATCTCCCCGCCTCGCATGACTCCGCAGGCCAGATTGAGCATGATCTCTCGGACGAGACACAGGACTTTCGCTTTCTAAATAATCTTGCGCTGTGCGTATTGGGTGTTTGCAATCGTTCTTTCTCTACCTTTGCATCTGGAGTCATTCCTTACTGACCACGGATCATGTCCACAGTGTCACCGACATCAACCAAGCCACCCTCCCCCGTCGCGGCGAAAAAGACTTCGAACCAAACCCGACCTTGCTACAATCCGATGCGCTCGCTTCATCCCGGCAGGCGATGCACAATGCGCTCTCGTTCCCACGTCTCCATCACCCGAAGAACCGCGTCATCGGCGTCTATGCTCCAGATGGCCCTGCCCCTCCGAGAGCCGTGCTGAAAAAAGCCGCGACTACGGAAGGACGTGCCGAGGATACTTCTGCCTTGAAGAGTGATCAAACAAAGGTGTCTATGAAGGCTTCGGCAACGGGAATGGGTGTCCCCGCTGACGCGTGCGTGTACGTGCCAAATCCAAAGGGCCAATACTTCAGGACAATGGGCCAGGCAGACCGCTGGAATCGTGTCTGGCTGCTACCGGAGGAGGCTCTCTACCTGCTGGAACGAGGCAGTTTAGATATCAGATGGCCGTCATCGATGGTCGGTTCCGGTGGAGACCAGGACGACGAGAATGACAACGAATCGAGTGTTCCGATGAGTTTGCAGGCTGCATATACGTGCTTCATCGGCCGCGGCGGATTGACCTTGGAGAGGTTCACTGTCTACTCGTTACTGAGGCGCCTAGGATACACGGTTATTCGAGCCCCTTCCTGGGACGAGACCAAAGATGTGCATGAGGGAGCGTTTGGAACGACACAAGACAACAGAGGACCTGGTATTATCGGCTTCCTGGGACGCCTATTCAGGTCGATATGGAATTTCAATGCGGCAGGCCGCACGGCCTTTGGTCCCCTTGTTGGATTGGGTATCCACCGCAGCTACAGTGAGTTTCTGTGATTACGTTCCTAGAGAATTGACTTGACGAGAACATGGGGCTGATAATATGCTACAACAGTCGATATATACCGCAGATTATCATTGATTCCCTCCGAAGACCCATCCACGCCTGAACCTCCAGCTCGACGCACCGATCCTCCATTCCGGATTGCATTCCACGTCTACAAGCCCGCCACGCCGTTCCGGAAGTCTGCTCCTCCGACGCCAGATTTCCGGATCGCAGTGGTTAACACCTGGACCCAGACCACTCTCCCCACACTGTCGCAGCTCCGGGCCCTCTTGGAGAGCACCCCGCTCGATCCGCCTGTTGGGGAGAAGATGGAGCGACAGTTGTACATGCGGCTCCGACACGGCTACAGGAGCGTCATCCTGGGGGTAGTGGACCAGGGCGTGGTGAGCTTCCTCCGCGTCGCCGACGCAGGCTTCTCAAAAGAGAAGATATACTACAATAAAGAAGGGCCCAAAGGTCCCAAGAAAGGTGGCTTCTCAGGCAAAGGAGGTGGAAAAGGAAGAGGCCGAGAAAGGTGAACAACCTTCTCAGCTAGCTCTATCATCCATTGCATGATCTCGATGAACGAATGCAGGGATTGCATGCATCGCCATCAGAAATCAGTACCCTTCCTCACCCATCTACCTACCCACCTCATTCGCTTTTCGCGAATGTATGAAATAAAAGAAGAATGAATGAGATATGGCATGTCTCCCCTGGAATAAGGCCCACATGTCCAGGGAAGACGGACAGAGGCTGAATCGAAAGGAGCACCACAGGACAGACCATATCTGTCCCGTATATTGATTTGCCATCGTCTTTAGGACATCCGTCTATTCGGGTTTTTGGAAAAATGAAGACGGATGGTGATGCTTCAGATGGCGCAGTGGAAAAAAGAAAGATGGATAGGAAGGTCTCCATCTAGTGGATGGGCAGGCACTTGGGCCTGCTGCTAGGTTATGAGGAACAACATCAAGCTTCAAGCTTCGATTCAGCAATGTGGGGGCTCACTTTGTGAGCCTTGTAAATGAACCTTGTTTCTTCGTTCCTGAAGAATATACCCTTTGATACCAACCGTTCCTATTTGTCGAACACCGTAAATCCGTAATCCCAATCCCAATTCCCAGCCATGACTGCGGGTGCCTGCTGGCGCCAATATAAACACTATAAATACAGTCGTCCGTTCGTCATATCAAATCTCTTTCATCGTCATAAAAAAGCGTCATGAATCCGATTCATTCCGAATTTCGTATGGTACAATCATCATCAATCAATTAAGCTGTTAACCTGGTTAGTCACGTTCATTCCTTCATACGTCACTTTTTTTCCCTCTGGCCATGACGCCATGAGGCCCAGTTAAAATAGAAAAAAACGTACTATCCAAATAATCTGCAGCCATCAGAAGCTCCAAGCACAGCTCGGGAGGAATGTCCATGTCGGGCACGTTGCTCTGGTCCTTGTTCTTTTCATTGTAGCAGAAGTATTCGCAAACTTTCTCAAGGACGATGCCGCTGCACAAATGTACAGAGTAGAGCGTTAGCAAATTTCGAAAAAGGCACTGTAGAGCTAGAGCTGTGTGTATGAGAGGAAAGAGGAGGGATACAAACCTGATATTCTCCAGCACACAACGGCCCGTGATGGCTTCAGAGAAGTTGCCTACATTTTGAAATCCTCGTTAGCGCGCTAAGAAAAAAAAGAATAATTCAGTATTCATAATGTAATCGTTATGGATTACACTAATAATGTAATGTACTGTACATGTACATACTCGAAGGCTCCAACATCCGTCGTATCGTCCCCGACACGCAGGCCGTACTGCGCGGAAGCACAAACTCGAATCCGTCGCTCGAGACTAATGTCACGAATTCGGACGGTGTGGAGGTGGAGGTAGAGGCGGACATATTGTAAATTTTTTTTTCTTTCGAACGAACGCGTGTAGAAAAAACGCGCTCGCTCAACGGACGGATCTGTGTGCTGGAAAGAGGGCTGGGTAGGATCTAAACTGGGAAAAATGATGTATGGACGAGAGTAGTCTCATTTCTGTAGGAAGAAAAGGGGATTGAGTAGTGTTGAGATGAAATAGTAGGGAAGTTGGTTCAAGGACCGCGAAAGATTTAAGTATGTGGGATGTTTTTCCATGTGGTCCGTGCTCAAGCTTGCGGAGGGAGCTTCCGCTGGTCATCCCGCCGCGTCGGAGAGTACATGTAACTCTGAATGATGCTGAAAAGGGAACGAAAGGTCGGGGCCATTGATGATCATGGTGAATATCATCGCTCATTGAAGTTAATGGCCTGTCTGATGAAGTTCTATATGCCTAACCACAGTTTTCAATAATTTATGCTCTTAATCTGAGGTTTATAGACCACTTGCGCTAAGCCGGAACGCTATCCCTAAACGGGGAATTCGGGTCACTCCAGCGTACTGAGGGCAATCAGTGTAATTCTCGTCATCAATGACTACTTTTGAAATGCTTATTGTTTAAAACTTCTCTAATGCAGCAGGTTCTGGAATTTTTCTAATATTTTATACTTTTTTTCTGGCTTGTTTTTTTGCATTTAGTATATGTACCTGCCAATGTCAATGCGCTCTGCTACCGCTCTGCGAGCCCGCATTGAGCGCGCTTCAATCTCCATCGGAATCGGACAACACCAATACTCCAAATGGTCTACTCACTCCTGTTGGCTTAATTCAAATGGCACATATCGATTTCCAATCTTTCTACAAATACAGAGACATGTGTCAACTGGATCATCTACAAACCGTAATAATGATAATAATGCTCGATTCAAATCTGCGGATCGCCTGCTTGGCAGGACGTGCATGATCACGGGAGGCTCTTCGGGCATCGGTTTCGCGGTCGCAGAACGTTTCCTTCAAGAAGGGGCTGAAAAGGTCATTCTTGTGGGCAGATCCTACGAGCGCCTTTTGAGTGCTGCGGAGCGCCTGCGGGGGATTGCTACCTCCAAACAAGTGTCCGCCAGCGGTGGTGATGACGCGGCAGTAGCGACGCGATCTCCCGAGGAGGATAGCGAAGAAATCGCCAAGGAAAGAGAAAGAGATCATGGCAGCCTATTGTCACGTCAAGAATTGTCTCCAGGATCGCTTGTTGCTGCTACCGACAATATCTCCTTGCTCGTGGGAGATGTCTCCTCGGCTGATCAATGGATGCGAGAATTGGAGAAGGAGATGGTACGACCAGCTTCCAAATTTTCTCTCCGTTCGTTCATCATCTAAAATATCTCTGTGATATTGAGAAAAAGTCTTCTCTCTGACGGCATGCTAATTCCTCAAATCTATCCAGGAGAACGTCGACGTCCTCGTCAACGCAGCAGGGATATCAATTTCCAATATCCTGCCCAAAACCGACACAGTCGACATCTCCAGAATACTGTCCACAAACCTGGAGGGCGCAATTCTGACTTCTCGCGCGATGCTGCGAGCATGCGTTCGATCTCGTCTGAAGAAGCGTGGCGATGCGACGACAGAAGACAAACGATCAGACCTCTCTCTCTCCAAATGTATCATCAACATCTCTTCCTTGCTCGCACTCAAAGGTGTCACAGGCACCGTCACCTATGCCGCATCAAAGGCGGGTTTGCTTGGTCTGACCCGCTCTGTGGCTGTCGAAGCGGCAGAGACGCTTCGCGGCGTGACAGTGCGCTCCAATGCCATTGTGCCGGGGTACATTGAAACGCCAATGATTGAAGGTGAGTGTGATTTACACTGTGGGGAAAATATCGATGTACGAGGTTCTCACACAGCGATATCCTACAGACTTCAGCAGCGACCGAATCTCCAAATTGAAAGACAGTATCCCTCTGAAGCGGTTCGGCTATCCACAGGAAGTTGCCGATGCCGCCGTTTTCCTAGCCAGCAATGAATACGCCAACAACTGCGTGCTCAATCTCGACGGTGGGCTAAGCGCAGTGTGAAGGCACATCCTCTTCGAATCTATCACAACCACGAAGATAAGAACAAATTTTTCAAAAATCCCTCTTGTGGACGAGAACGGATAACTATTTCTCTATTTATTGGAGACAGACAGATGAAACAAGAACCATTCTGCGCTTGTCCTTGAGGTCGGTCTCTAGCACTGGGCCTCTGACCTGACGACGTCTTCTATTTATCAATCAGCTCTTTCACGTGCGTGTTCCATCCCTTACTACCCGCCCGACCTGATTCAGCCAATCAACCAACCTTGCAGCCAGCGAACAACCACCGTATAGACCAGACCATCCGTTCTCCATGCAGACCAGAAACAAAGTTTTCCCAACTCCACTCCGCCTCCCAAAAAACTCCGAAAAAAAAAGACATTCTTTTGGATGTGTATATGTTACAGTTGAAGAGGGGGAAAAAGGTGTTGAAACCAGAACAGAAAGTCGGTGGAGAGGGAAGATCATCTCAAAATGCTATGCCCAAACAACATCAAGAAGCGAAAATAGAGAACACAGGATGTGATATCCTCATTCAATCATCAATCAGAATTGCGCCGCTTTCGGTCTCGTCAAGGACAATTGGATGTTCTCCGTCCCCGTTGGCTTCCGCCTTCGCGAATCGCTTGGCGGGCTGAATCTCTTCGAGCCCAGCTTCTTCGGCGCCGCGTTTTCGTTTACCTGTGGTGCCATTGAGCGCCGCTCCGTTGACCTGCTCCTCGGCGGCAGGTTCTTGTTTCGGCTTCTTCGGGATATCGATTTGCTTCTCGAGGGAAATAGGCTTATCCTCCGGGGTAGCTTTCGCTCTGCAGAATAATAGTCAGTACACTCTACGACAAATGGATGAGAAAGGATTCCTACCGTTCAGAAACAAGCAACTCCAAGTTTACCCGAGGCTCTTCATCCTCTTCATCTATCACCCTGATCAGGCTTTCGGCCTTGAGACCCAGATCTGTGAGCTTCTTAGGAAGGTTGTCGTCAAGGTCGGGGTCGTAAATCGTGCCAGCATCGGTGCTGACAGAGAACTCGTCACCGTATCCTAGCTGCTGGCGGAGTATGTCCTCAATCAAGTCATTCAAGGTTGCGTGCTCCAAGTCCACGAAAATCCTGCCTAGGGCGACCGAGCAAACAGGGCAATTTGGATTAGGAGGCTTCAAGGTGTCGGAATTGATAGCGCGAACACCAGATCGCTCGAGGAAGACCTTGAAACCAAGTATAAGCGTTAGAACAAGTGCCTTTAGGACTTTCATAATCATGAGAAAATCAAGTTACCATTTTAGCACGGCTGTAATCATCCTTTAGAACTTTGAAAGCTTGTAGGACACAGAGACCTGCCGTCATGGCGTTGGTCGTCGCAATCGCAGGAATAATGTTCCCAGCCATCTCTGTAAAAGGGGTCAGTTAAGAGTCCTCGTCGGTAAACGGGTCTGGTTTTATAATGGCATAGCTGTGCACGTACGCTTGATGTCAAATTTCGACTTGGGCTCGATTCCAAAGATAGTCGATCGCAGATTCGCGCTGGCGGCGACGAAGTCTAGCGTATCGACATCATCCTTGTCAAAGGTCAGGATTGGTTCGACCTCGCCCGTATTGCTTTCCTGGAGCGACTTGAGTCTCTTGCTTAACCGATCCAGACTAGTTTGCGTCAGCCACACACTCCTCATAAGGCATTCGAGTATCTGACCTGTCCTTGAAGACGACAAAATCTTCTTCCAAGGTCCAAATCTTCTGATCGTTTTGGGAGACGGTCGGATCGATGGCGCTGGCCTTTTCTTGCAGCGTGCCGTAATCCAGAGGCTCTGGTGGCTTACGTGTTTTCCACATGTCTTCCATGCCACGTAGCCGTTCTATGTCTTCCTTGAATACCTTTGTAAACACTTTCTCGGCAAAGTCATCGGAGCCCATCGACGCTCGAATTGCTTTGAGGGCCTGTGCTTCACGACGGAGATTCTCAATCTCCTCCGCTGCTCCAGTGTTAGCTTGACAAGTTCCGGGGGCAGAACTCTGGGGATGGGACAATCTTCATCTACCATTTTCTGCATCTTCTGAATGGTCGAGACCATCCGCTTCGGCATCAGTCTCGCTCGTTCCAAACAGCTCGCTGGACACGGTTAGCAGTCAAGGCGCGAAGAGCGTCAAGCCTATGAGGAACTCACGGGAAAAGGTAGCTTTTAGCCCAGACGATGCAGTGGATGGGTTGGCTGGGCGTGCTCCGTATAGTACAGACGGGAAAGGACTTGGGAACCTCTTTCGGATTGCAATCGTAGCACTCAGTTTGGCCCTGGGTATTTTCGTAAGCTTTCCACTGCACCCTGACCTCCAATGGAAATGGCGCATCGGTGAATTCTCACTTTCTTGATAACCTGGACTTGTCCATTAAAGCCGGTAGTGCCGCTCTCCACTAGAGGCACGTTCGCTGCCAGACACATTCGGTTGACATGGCGGCGGGCGTCGAGATTGTCTAAGGCGTTAAAAACGATATCGAACTTGGCGAACCAGTCCACGGTAAACTGGCTGTCCTTGATGTTGGCGTGATAGGCTTCCAGTTTCGCATTGGGCTGGAATTTACCGGCGACCTCCTTCGCTACCTGGATGGACGGAGATTCGTGTCAGCCTTATCCGGGTGCGGCGCATGATCGATCGACCGGATGACCGGAGGATGGAGAGGAGGGGGATCGACGTACCAATGCCTTCGATTTCTTGATGTGCTCCTGGCGAAAGAGGAATTGGCGGTTCAGGTTGCTCAGGTCGATTGTGTCAAGGTCGATAATGTGGATTTCGCCGAAACCGGTGAGCAGGAGGTTCTTGAGAAGCTCGCAGCCGATCCCTCCGGCACCCACCAGCAGGACGCGGGACTGAAGAAAAGGAGATCGATCAGTACCTCGTCATGCAGGTCGCGTGTCTTGCCCGAGGCTGCGATTGAAGATTTGGAAGCTGCTTACCTCACGAATGCGCTTGGACAGGGTGCCCAAGGAGCGCTTCAGATAGGCATCTCGCGCCGCCATGATCGCGCCCGGATCGAACAAACAACACTCTGGACGAGGTGGAATCGGATGTCAAGGCGACATAGAGATGACGGAGGGAAGGAGTCAGGGAGGCTAGATTGCAGGACTGAAAATGAGAGGGGAGGAGAGAAGACGTCAAAGCCCGATTGGGACAGGTGCAGGGTGGCCGCAGAGGGTTGGTGAGTTCCTAATGAGGCCGGACCGCGCAGCGAGAGATGCCGAAGCGGGCCAGACTCGCAGGGTGTCTGACGTACTGTACATGCAGCTCGCGCTGAGTTAGCCCAGACCAGGCTCCAGCTCCAGGCTACAAGGCTACGGCTGAATTTATTCCTGAGATAAAGGACCTTCGCCAAATTAATCTACTAGCTGGCTGTTTTTAAAATGCTTCCATGCAAGATCTGACGGCCAACTGCAGCCGCAATCTCCAGTGGGCTAGTACGTGTAGCTGAAGCCCGTTGTGACCCATCTGTCTTCAACCCACCACCAATGACCAGACGACCATGGGTGCTTTGGCTGGCATTGACTCAGGAGATCTGCAGGCTGCTGGACCGGTAGATATTTATTTAGTTCTGGCTTCCCCTCTCCTTGCTGAGAATGCAGCACTGTAGCCTGCCATATGGAGGCATTGCATGCCTGTCCAGGCTGCTGCAACTCTTCAGCATTCTCGAATAGAGGCGCCAGCGAGTCAGCATTAAGAGATGTCCCTGGAACGATTTTCCGGGTCGTTCGTGCCTGTCCTGAGCAGCCATAACGGCGTTGAGTTCGTCCATCATGATGTCTGCCGCAGGGGCGTTCGGAAGGAGCGAATCAGCATGCAGATTCCTGCTTATGTAACCCAGATTCAAATCCTCATTCGAACAAAGAACGGCGTACTTGTACACGATAAGGACATTGACAGCCAAGCAACGTCTGCCTGTTTCATACTAGACTTCTTTTCTTCTCCTTTCTTTTTTTGTATTGTTTGAACCTGCTACAAAAGAAGGGTGTGTTTATAGACTTCATGGACTAGAAGCTTCCTGCCAGACAGTCAACAGGAGTGTCGTACGTGTTCCCACTCACGTACCACTCCGTTCACCAGGTGCTACATACACTTTTTCTTTGTCGCATATCTAAGACAACCCGATTTTTGAAGGTTTTCTGGTGAATATTTCCCTGTATGTCTTGCCTGCAGACTAGGTAGAAGGGAAAGAAAGGCGAAGGACCGCAATGTCGGACGACGAGGCGGACCCAGAACTGGTGGAACTGCTCCGCAAGTCCATGGGATTAGGTGGTGGACCTGCAGTTGCACCACCTGCAGAAACCAAAGTCTTGGAGAGTTCACGCTACATATTCGACAATGCCGTCGATGTCGCGCTGGACCCATCCAGCACCAGAGAGGCGGCGGAGAAGATCTGGCGCCAGATGCGGGAGAAAGGGTACTCTACGAAGACGTGGTCGGAGCATGAGCTGCATCCCAAGTCCAAGGACGAGGGCACTGTGGATTTCATCTTCACCATGGATCTGCTGAACTTCAGCTTCTGGTCTGACGTGTCGGATGAATCAAAGCGATTTGCGGTCGAATATCGCGGCAAGCGGTGGACCGGGTACTGGAGCCTGGTCGCTGCGCTGCAGCGAGCGCTGGATGAAGGTAGGATTTCTCAATCTTCTGGTTCTGTCTATTCGACTTTCCTGAATTAGAGTTCTGGCTGCTATAGAATTTGTGCCGGTTCATTCTCGTGGAGAAGAGGTTGAAGCTAACACTCGCAGAGATCCCTATCACGAACCCCAACTTCTGGCTGAACGAGGATGAATGCACAGAAGATGTGCTCCGCTATGTCTTCCGCTCTGCCACGGATGAGCAGATCCCTCTGTTTGAGGAACGAGTGCAATGCCTGCGGGAAGCAGGCAGAGTGTTAGACGAGGTGGGCTGACGTACGCGTCGACATGGATTCAATAGTTCTGTTCTAACATTTTTACCCGGACGATACGTAGAAATTTGACGGCAGCTTTATCAATTGCATTTATGACGCCAACCAGTCGGCAGCGGCACTGGTGAACCTGCTCGCAGAGAACTTTCCCTGCTTCCGAGACGAGGCGTCCTTTGACGGGCGTAGAGTCCGGTTCTACAAGCGGGCGCAGATCCTGGTCGCCGACCTCTGGGCCTGCTTTGAAGGTCAAAGCTACGGCAAATTTCACGATATCGACAAAATCACCATGTTTGCCGGTACGTATTCTGTTACCCTCGGCTAGAACTGTTGCAATTCGACTGATATATTTCCCACGTATAAAAAGACTACCGCATTCCCCAGATGCTCCACCAACTCGGCTGCTTGCTCTACTCGCCACCGCTAGAGAGCCACATCCGACGACTGCAGCCCATCGAAAGCGGATCGACATGGGAGATTGAGATCCGAGGAGTCAGTATCTGGTGTGTCGAACTCATCCGGCAAGAGATCGAACGCTGCCATCCGGAATCGCGCAAGCGCGATACGCCAGCGAAGCAGGTCCACGACGACGAAGATGACGACATGACCACAGAAGAATCTCCCGACTCCGACCTGGTCGATTCCAAGCCTGCTCTCGACTTCGGAGTCAACGCTATCCTGATCGACTTCTTCCTCTATGACACGGTCAAAGAGATGGAACGCGAGGGGCGTGAGACCATCCCTCATCATCGGACGAGGAGTATATGGTATTAACAACAACCAACCCAATCCAATCCAATCAAAAGGAATGAAGAAAAGAAGAGAATAGAATAGAACTTCATATACTTCGTTTATGGTGCCTGTATGATCATGCATGACAACGTACGGTACATACAGACATACATACATACATACTTGCTTCCTTCCATACATAGACTGTCTGTCTGTCTACCTGTTTGTCTGTCTGATTGCCTGCTTTCATTTAATTTGTCTTCTATTTTTCATGCCAAGTTGAATCAGGCCTAGTCTGATTTAATCTGTTCTCTCATTAGATAGGTAAGAAGGTATGGATTTAATCGATCTTCTTTTCTGGGAGGGGGCTTCCAACGAGACTGGACTGTTCTATATATGATTCTCTCTTACTGGGGTATCTATCATACATGATGAGTCTTTGGTATACATACTACCAGAGACCTGAAGGCGGGGGGAAAAAAGAAATAACAAGCTCAAAAGAACAGTTCAAAAAAAAGGACAAAGTGAAATTCCTGCTCAACCAGCGACCTTTTCTCTCCTCCCTTTTGCTGTCTGACGACCAGCTCGTTCCATCTCTTCGATCCGCTTTAGTATCTCCGTCTTCCACTCGAGGTAATCCTCTCGTCGCTCCTCGCTCAGCCAATCCACCCGGTCTTGCATCATGGTGCCTAGGCCCGGGAGGAGAAGACCCTCTTGAGAGGACGGATCGGACTGCATTAACAGCAGCGTGTGATTCGACTTGCGTCGCCGCTTTGAGCCGACGGGACCGGCGTCTTCGTCGTAGTCGTCTGCGTGGTCGGAAATCTCGTCGTCGTCGCCGTCGTTCTCCCCCGCCGTCGGGACGTTCTCAAACCACTCTTGCCCCTTGGCCCATCCCTGCTTCATGATCAGAGCGATCCATGCGTCCACATCCTCTCCATGCCGTTTCTCGGCCGGTGATAGCCCTAGACTCGACAAGGCGGTTTGACGCATCTCTGAAAAGGTCTTTTTGTCCATCTTCTTCGCGTCCGTTGCGGACGGAGAAGTGGCCCTCTGCGACGCGGGATTCGGACTGCGCCGTCTCGCCAGGACGATGAAGTAGACGGCTACAATCAAAGCGTAGACCAAATCCTTGTAGTCTTCACTGTCCTCGCCCGCCTCTGACCGGAGAGGGTCCAGGAATTCTGAAGCCTCTTTGTCTAGTGCACTGTAAGGTACGACAGAAATAAAATGCAATATCGACGAGACACCAGCGAAGATATGGGGAGGCAGCGTTCTCGAGATGGGAGGTCGCGACCACAGGCTCATGCGCGGTGCGGGCGTGGATAGCGTCTTGCAAACGGTCCGGATGCAGGGCATCACCCACGCGGGAGCGTCTTTGATCGTCGTCGATTCCGAGCCATTGAGGCCCGTGTTTTTGACGGACGTCTTTTTGGACAATGAGGAAGGAGTGTTTGGCCCATCGAGAGCCGTCCTCTTGAGTGGTGTCGACTTGGTAGGCGTGTTCTGAAGCGTCCGTGGCGTTGCGGTCTTTGACGGTGAGCGCACGGGTGCGGAGCCCTTTGTAGGAGTTGTTGTGGTCGAGGAAGGCCGCGTCGGGGTACCGGAAGCAGAGCCAGGCGCAGAATGTCTGGTAGAGACGGTACTACTCGAGAGCGATTTCTCGAGAAACGCATAGAGTTTCTTGTACACACGCGGCGGACAGGGCGGGTGGCCGAGGAGGGGAGGGAGATTGAGAGCCCGCTTCAGACTATGCCAGTCGTGTCAGCAATCCAATTAGAATAGCAGTCTCTTAGACGAAGTTGCTTTCTGACAGACCGTTTACAGGCAATCTCTGCACAAGCGTACGGCCTTGCAATCTCCTCCTCGGGCTTCAGGGTGGCCGAGTAGCTCCGGGATTGCGCGACGAGAGATTGCGCCAAGCTGAGCAGTTCCGGAGGGAGTTCATTGGCGTGTGAGGGAAGTAGTGTAGCCAGAGCCTGCTCAACGGGTCGATTGTTCATTTTGGAGGGTCCAAAGAAGAAATTTAGAAATAAAATCTCGGAATGGGCACGGGAGCTGTGAGGTCATGCTGCTACATAGCTGGAGTAGCTAAATGACTTGGAGGTGGATCCGCAACTACGGAAGATCGGTGGGGCAGCAACTATACGGAGTACATCGTCAATGCTCAATAAGTGTCAACATTCTGCAAGTTGACTTCTCCCAATTCCTTGTCTAATGGGTAGCATATTTCGTCGCATTTGGGATCTATAATGATGATAATATGGAATATCCGATTTTGAGTCTGTAGAAATAAAAGCGAAGTATATGCCGTGGAATTCGAGGAAACTACAGTAGTCCTCCAAGACCAAAAGATTTAAAGATAGTGGAAGGTAAAAAGAGAAGATGAAGATAACATTTTGAAAAAGAGCTGACTTGCACTGGGACTTGGTAGTATCATTGTCACATAAATATGGTGCATGGTATACATCGAGCACTACGTAATCCATTGAAAGAGCCAATACTCGTTTCTTTGATGATTGTATCTTTAGATGTATGTAGCGAAAGAAACAGCTTCAAAGTGGCTCCAAAATTACACCGGCGGGGTTGTTGTTTATAAAGATGCATCAGCCCATGCCAGAGCCTCTGACGGCAAGAATTTATTTTATATAAAAGTACTATTGCACCTCCCACCATTGCAATCCATGTATCATATATATTCCGAGAGAAGTCGCCAAACGCTACTCTAATTTATCTGTAGTTCCATGAAATAACACCAATCTTTGTGGAACTTGAGCGAGTGTTGATTACAATACTGTTCTTAATGACTTGCCTCTTATCTGCCTGTACAGCTGGCTGGCAAGGATTCATATTGCCGACCTAGGTAGTCCACACGCCTCCCTATCAGCGATCTGCGCGGTAGTTGTGTAATAAACTAACTTGAACGACAAAGCGAAGGCTTCACCAGAGCCAGTTATTCGATTCTCTCTGGTTTCTAGTATTAATAAAGAGAAAGTTGGTCTGGTTTGGACCGCAATCATTTATGACCTCCATGTCAAGCAAGAAAGTTTTTTTTTTTCATTTATTTATTTTTAGGAGACTGTCGCTGGTTTTTAATCAATTCAGTTGTAGTTATATGAAATCATAACTTCTAATCAGCACCTAGGTACCCAATATAGAAAAAACATCTTAGACTACGATGGAAACGCCGAATACGAACACTATCGTAACCGGGGCCGGTGCATTAATTCTTGGCCTTCCTAACTAGATAGCTTCCACATTCAGGTATTTCTGTTTGGCCCAATCAACGGTTCATCAGGTTCGTTCAACTATGCCTAGGTAGTTAGCTCGGCAGAGAATCGGTATCGACTGCCTAGGAAGGTAATCGATTAACCAACCCCTCATGGAGAGTGGGGTTGAAGTGTAGATAAGATAATACCCAGGAGGAGTGGCTTCTCCACAGAATCGGACAATTTCCGTCCATCATCCATTGATGGAGGACGATATAAGCCTGCCCGTGGTCATTGTAGGAGTCCTTGCAAGTGGAATGTGGAGAGGCGTTGATCTCATCTTACCACCACTCTCACCGAGACAATATATGTACTGTATAAGTATTAACAGACCAATAACCACAAGATGACTCCCAAATATAAGGAAATCTCAGCCATTGCACGCAAGCGCCGTGACGATTTGTTGACGACTGCTTATGCCCTCCCTGAAATAAACGAAGAAAACCTGCCAAAGGATCTGAGATCCTACCCAAAGGAATCAGGCCTCTTCACGAAAGAAGAACTCGAAATCCTCGATTTGGATGCGGTGGAAATTCTTCAAAGAATCAAAGATAGAAAACTGACCTCGGTGGCTGCAACGAAGGCCTTTTGCAAAGCAGCAGCTGTTGCACAGAAATTGGTAAGAAGCAGATGGATTAAACAGAAACGACATCGCTAATATTTCCACTTTCCAAGACGAATTGTGTTACCGAGGTGCTCTTTGCCGAAGGACTAGAGAGGGCCAAATATCTGGATGATTATCTCGAGAAGAATGGAACCGTGGTTGGTCCGCTCCATGGTTTGCCCTTATCTCTCAAGGATAACTTCATCACCGCTCCGCACCCGGCATCCATTGGACTGGCAGTGTATGCGAACGAGCCGACAGAGAAAGATGCCCTCCTGGTGACCATGTTACGGGATCTGGGAGCAGTTTTCTACGTCAAGACAAATGTTCCGACCGCCATGATGATGAATGAAACGAATAATAACATCTGGGGAGAGACCAGAAACCCAATTCACAAAGGCCTCAGCCCCGGAGGCTCCTCAGGTGGAGAAGGCGCGCTCATTGCAATCAAGGCTTCCCCCCTCGGAGTAGGAACGGATATTGGTGGAAGTATTCGCATTCCCAGCGCATTCTGTCATCTCTACGGTCTGAAACCGTCCTTCGGGCGCTTTTCCACTGCGGGAGGCCAGCCAGGTATCCCCGGTCAGGACTTTATATATTCTGTCTGCGGGCCCATGTCGAGATCTCTGCAGTCGGTGAGATTATTCTGCGAGGCCGTCTGCTCGGAACAAGCAGCGCCCTGGAATCTCGATCCGAAGATCGTACCGATCCCGTGGAGAAGGAATGTGATCCAGCCGCCAGGTAGAAAACTCAAACTGGGTCTTCTCCGCCATGATGGGAGGGTGACCCCTCATCCTCCTGTTGAACGTGCATTGGAAATTGTGAGGAAGGTTCTGACGGACGCGGGCCACGAAGTGTTTGATTGGTAAGTGATGACTGATATTCCCGTTCTAAAATTGCGAGATTCATTGGTTTTCTTTCACATATAGGGCTCCAGTCGACCATCCTGCAATAGTTGATGCGGCAACGGAGGCTTTCGCGGAACTGGGTAGTGATGCCATTATTCCACAGCTCACGGAGTACGACGAGCCAGTCTTCAAGGCCATCGAGCGTCAATTCGGGGGAGATCCAACCAAATTCAATCCAGCAAAGCTGCGACAGATGATTATAAATAGGAATCAGCTTCAGAGAGATTATCTCGATCGGTGGACGGCTACGCAGAAGAACGGAGAGCTAGTGATGGACGGTATAATCAGCCCAGTCGCGCCCCTGGCAGCGAATCGACTCGGATTTGCAGAGAGAGGGCTGTATATCTCTTACACCGTGGTCTGGAACTTGCTCGGTAGGACTCCGTGAAATTCACCTGAATGTCTTTCTGAGCATGGGCTGACATCAGATCAGACTATTCAGCATGCACGTTCCCGGTGACATATGCGTCGCAATCAATCGATGTTAAACGCGGAGCAGAATGGCAGCCTCTCAGCGAGCTAGATAAGGTGATCCAAAGCGAGTACGATCCCGAGTTCTATGATGGGGCACCTGTGTCATTGCAATTGGTGGGTAAGCGGCTCGAGGAGGAGAAAGTGCTGGAGATGGTGGAGGTGGTGTCAAATGCATTGAAGGCAGCGGGGCACCCTATGTCGAAGCATTAGTTGAACCGGGCCAGTGAAGAATCGTAACTGTTTCTGTAAATTGAGAAAGCAATGGAATACAAGTGCCGTGCTTGCCTAGTTTTGAATGTCTGGGCCAGTCAGTTCAGATGGTCGCACTTGCCTGATAAGGTAGTATTATTAATCTCGCGGCTGGACGCGACTTCCGCGCGTTTGTGCCAAGCCTGCAGCTTCCGTGGGAGCTCCGGTTGCCATGTGCAACGAGTGCCATCTCGGCCTCTCCACCATTTGGCAACCCACCATCTGTCCGCACCCAGCTCTCTCCTCTTCAGATATCAGAGCGAAAACGCAGAGATTCCTGTCTTCTATTATAGCTATTGCTCACTTCCCTTCTTTTCGACTTCTCCAGCCATGCCGCCGCGTCGCCGAACGGGCCAGAGTGCCACCGCTCGAACCCATCAATCAACGCTCTCCTTTGGATCGAAATCCAGAGTCACCAAGCCTTCAGCGACGCCGGTTTCCGCAAAGAAAGCCAAGGATGTGGACTATGTCATTGATAAATCTGTTTCGGAGACCTCGCCTGACACTTCGGTGGATGCTCAGACCTCAGTAGCCCCGCCGTCAGAAACTTCCCAACCGCACATCGCTGAGGTTGTCGTGAGAGAGCAAGCAAAGTCAGAACTCGAGCAGCCTCTGACCGAAGAAGACAAAAGAGCATTGCAGATTACTGATGCCGATCTGCAAAAGTACTGGAGAGCGGAAGAGCAGAAGAGGAAGGCACCTGGTGGTTAGTTAACTCAGTCGCAATCTCATCAAATCTGAAGCTAATTCGGACAACAGTCCATCAGGAGAATCTTGACCTGAATGAAAAGATACTGCGACACTTCGACCTCTCCAGCCAATACGGGGTGCGTTGACCCTTTGCCCTACCCTCCCTTCTCCCACCATACCACTCCTTAGAAGCCTGTGATCTGTGGGAGAGTGATACTGACATCCTTGACGAACAGCCTTGCATCGGAATTTCAAGACTAAAGCGGTGGAGACGTGCTCATATGCTCAACCTGAACCCTCCCATTGAAGTCTTGGCTGTGCTTCTCCGAGATCAGAACGGTGTCACGAAACCGCGGGCTTATGTTGACGAGCTTATGTCGTGACGAGATATGAACACCGATACAGACGAAAGCTGCGTATAAGCGACAACGGCAGAATCAACTAATTACTCTGTTCAAGCATCTTATGCTAGGCCAATGACATGGTGGCCTGCCGAGGGTGGGATATGTGAATTTCGATGACACAGGATGGCGTTATTCGGCGTTTGGGCTTTGTACATTATGGGCATACCCATGGATTGTGTGGTGACATTCATTTATAGAATGATATGCGGTTATAGCTGACCCCTGGGTTGTGGTTGTGCGGACGTTGAATGTATAATTATGTGCGTAATGTATGCATGTTGTGCAACGGCAGCCTGCTTTGCTATTTTGATCATTTCTCAGTCATATAAAACATTCAGTCTGATCAGCTTTGTGAAAGAAAGATAACTAGTTCCTTTTGCTAGCCTGAAGGATTTGGTGCTCTATGGTCGCGGATCTAGCGATAAGATTGCTGTAATTCAGTAAATCAGTGGAGCTCGGACTCCAGATCAGCGCTATTACTTCCTAGTTGTGTTGATCATTCAAGTTCAGTTAAAATACGGCATGATAAGGCTGATAGCGCGCACGAGTACGGAGTAAAGTCAAGAAAGATAACAATATATTTCTGATGATCCGCGAGTACCTAGTTGCACTGACAAGGTTAGGGCGATAACATCACTCCCCAGATGGATGACGAGATTGATGATAGCACGTGTATATCCAAATTAGGAGTGGCCATATCTTCTATTTCAACCTCAGCTCATCCCAGATTTCATCCTCCTTCCTTTCTGCTAGTTTTTTTCTACAAGATGCATGTCAGCAACGACATCACGAGTCAGACTTCCAACTGCCACTTCCGCTCCCCTTCTCCTTTTCCCTCCATCGCACGGCGAGAGTTTTTCTGGGAACTGGCTGCATTCCAACGACACGGCGATTCCGACAGTTCGTGTGGCTCCAACCAAGGATACGACCCGAAAATAGAAATGTCGATTGGAAAACAGCATCGTCCTAGAAACCGAGGTTCATTTACTCTTTTGAGTCCACGGCGCCACACACAGGAGCGCATGTGATAGACTCCGATTGTCCACAAGGAATGACCCGTGAGCCACGACAGCAAAATTATGGAAAGAACAGATACGTTAGGCTATAGGTCTCCTTTCCCTCGAGCGTCTAGAATACCATAGACACAGGCTGAAATCGATCCTTTGCCACTTTACAGGAGCTAGCCTCCCCGGATTGTTGAAATGGCAGTGCGGGGCGGGCTAAAGTCCTAAGGAAAATAGCCCCTGGAGAGCGTGACATCGGTGCATAACGACCAACACCTGGCCTATCGCCAATCTCTCATCTTATTACCCGGAAGCCAGCCACGAATCCTTGATAGTCCAATCGGCGAGGACATATTCAGCCCCTTAACTAGCCATTTCTCTGCAGGAATATGGAGGCGAGAATCGAGAATCGAGAGAAGCGGTATTTACCGTTCTGCTAGATCTTTCTATGCAAAGAAAGAGGCATCATGGGACATTATTACCCAATTTTTGGACGGTTTGAAGACACTGCTACCTTGCTGGCATTACTCCACGGAATCTCTGTCTGGTTTTCTCCTCGCCGTTGCTATTGTCTAACTTTTGCGGCAACGGCAGCACCAGGAGCTGCAATTATTCAAATCTTCAACCTGGGTCCTTTGCGACTAGACTCGGCACTATACCCACCTGAGTCGAATCTCCGCTGGACGATTTTTTTTCTTAGAAGAAAAAAAGCTTCAGAGGCTAAGGATTAGGCTTCCGTACGGACTCCATGCCCTATCAGACAGAGACTCCGCAACTCATCTGATCTCTTCGATGGAGGGAAAATCTGCTGTTTTTCGCAAATTTCCAACCCACCAGAAACACCCAGAACTGTCACGACTCACACGTCCTACGGTCTTTGTGTGAGTATAACTGATTATATTCACAGATGGGTTACTCAATGCAGGTACAAACTTTGATCGCGCTCTTTTTGGGACCGTCTATCAACCGGCTTCGAAAAATGGCTCGACTAGCCAATCTGACAGGAAATTGCGATGTTGCAACCGTGTATACGGAGTCCTCTGTACAACCTCTGCCAACCTCTGCCACCTCGGTACATGTACGGAGTAGCTCCCCGCAGCCGCGATTGGATGCATTAAAGTGGGTCAACCGCAGTGGCTTGCAGTCCGCTGCACGAGTCCGTATGCAATAATTCTTGACACACACGAGTGCACATAATAATAGGAAAGCAGACAAACTTTGAGCTGAAGGCTGTCGAGCTTGGCAAATTGCAGGATCTGGCTAGTTTCGAAGTCGTCTTCGCGCGCGCAGCAGTATTGCATTATTGAGTGTGACCTGCTGCGTGGGATTAGCGTCGCACCGGCCGAAAGCTAGTCTCATCCAAGGCTGAGCCTGAGCGCTAATTACCCCGGATCAGCCAAGCCCTAATGGATCTAATGAGGTGCCTCCTCCAGCATTCGGCCTGCATGGTGCGGCGACCCCTCTCTCCACGTCCAATAATTGCTGTTGCGCCTGTCGAACCCTGCCACCGCATCTTTGCCGTTTTACTCCGAGATCTGAAAAGCCTGCTGTGGATGGCAGTTCGCAATATGCACTCTCAATCAGGTCTGTAGCATCTTTTAACTATTATTCTATTACTAATTGCTTCTGGAAGGCTTGTGGGGTGTGGTTTGTCATCAAGTTGGCTCCCTGAGCGCCGCGTTGCAATCTCCACGCGCGGTTGTACGGAGTATATTCATGCGGATCCCCGGGGCAGAGCCGTAGTGCATGTGACACTAATCGATCATCCGCTCAATTGGATCCTGGATTTCGACCCTGGCTTGAACATATCCAATGATCTTCCAGGGACGAACCGACCCGGTCATGCTTTGTTACCTACGTACGGAGTAGCGGCCTGGGTGATGGTTCCGGAAGGTCTGCTAAAAGGAGATCGAGTATACCCCCCGGGGTCCGTCTGAGACTTATAAAGGGGTCTCTGCAACTCTCCGGCCGACTTTTTTCTTCATTCGACAGCCATCACTCGTTTATCTGGTCGATTCTGCAGACTTGCCCAAGGAGCAAAGAGCATCTTCATACGCGCATCATCCATCTCCAGCTTTCTCTCTCCAAACATAAGCGATCAAGATGCAGTTCTCTCACGCTCTCATTGCCCTCGTTGCGGCGGGCCTTGCCAACGCCCAATTCCCTAACCTCCCTTCGTGCTCGGTAAGAGATCATCGTCAATTATATATTCAGAATGTTGCTTCTAACAAGCAATGATCAGCTCAACTGTCTCGTGACTGCTATCGAGAGCGACGGATGCTCTGGCCTGACCGACTTTGCTTGCCACTGCCAGAAGCCGGGTCTCGTCAGCGAGGTCACTCCTTGCGTGCAAAAGGCTTGCTCTGAGGCCGACCAGTCTGGTGAGTTCCCTCACCCTCTCCTCTCTTCATTTCGTGTCATGTCATGCTCATTCTGTGATAGTCGTCTCCTCTGTCGTCGTCTCGGAGTGCTCTGCTGCTGGCCACCCCATCTCTGTGCCGCCGCCTGTGGGCAGTGGTTCGACCACGACCACCGCCGCAGCGGGCTCTGGCAGCATCACTACCACCGCGGCTGGGGATAGCTCTACTTCTTCGACCTCTGCGTCGGCGACTGGCTCGACTCCGGCCGCTTCTTCGACCCCTGCCGCCTCGTCGTCGTCCGTCCCCGCGAGCACCCCGGCGACTTCTCCTTCGGCGACTGGTTCGTCCAACTCGACCGTTCCTAGCGGCAGCCGCAGCGCCACTGCCACCCCGCCAGTCTTCACTGGTGCTGCTTCCAACGTCGTGAGCAACATGGGCGGTGTTGCCGCCATGGCTGCTGCTGTGGCCTACTTCCTGTAAATCACGACATGGACGGTAATGTCGACACGTGTGGAAGACGATAATGGCGATAATGGCAATCATAATGGTATATAATCAAGACGACCAGACAAGATGAAACCGGTACAGTACAGTACAGTATCTCTCGTTCATGTCATGTATGTACTGTATGTGTGCTGTACAGTATATGTACATTACGTTAACAATTGTTGGATCGTGCTTCGTGCCTCTTAATTAATTGATTAATTAGTTAATTAATGAATTAATTAATTGATCGTTCTTTAGGCTTCCAGCTTGGAGTAGTCGTTCTTTGTCCATTGTACACGAGCGAAAAAAAAAAAGAAATAAATAGTATTTGCATCAGATATCGTCTTGTCCATCATTCATTAAATCATCATGGATCATGGATTCGAAAACTGCATCCTATCCTCATATTATATGTAAATTAACGATTAGGTAGGTAGGTAGGTAAGGTATACTTTTTTTTTTAATTTTTGTCCGTCGTTCCTTCAAATGAAATCGAAGAAAGCAACCTGTTTACGTAAACCTAGGATTACAGTTACCTACCTACAGTACGTGCAGCTTATTTATATTTGTTTTATATTCTTTCCTTGACTACTTTTGAGGTAGATCATTTTCATCGTCATTATCACGCAGGTATGTGCATGAACATAAGTCAGAGAATTTGTTTCGTTTGTTTTTTTTTAACAATACGAGTCAATTACATTGATATCAGTCAGAATAGATATACACCGACGGGCAGACAGACGGACAGACAGAACTTGGATTTATACTATACCGTACAGGACTTTATTTCATATCATATCATTTCATTTCGTTCACTCGTGAGTGATGCTATGCTATGCTTGATATGCCATGCTATGGGATGCTTAAGCTGAATGCAATCGATCTATTGATCGTCGTGTGAAAAAAAAAAAGAAAAAAAAAGGAAATTCAGAACCAGATCCTGTGAACATGCATACCCATACACCATACAACAAACAACAAACTCCGTAACGCCGTACATAATTGAAATAATAAAGAAAAGGAAGAAAGAAAGAAAGAAAAGGAGGAAGAGTATGTATATCCCTTTCCTTCTCTCCCTGTACACTGGACGTTTCTTGTTCCGTACAGACTTAGAAGAAGAGTGCGACAGTCGAAGCGACGACGCAATAGGTATTATTTCATGGAAACACCCAGTCTGGCTTGGAGCATGCAGCATCGAGTTTCTCTGCCAGGGGCAAGATCCGATCCGTCATCCAGCCTGATCGCACGGTCGAAGTCGAAGACGAAGCGTTCTTGCTCACACGCACGCCCCTCTTGACGACCTTCGAGGTCAAGCATCTCCCGTCCGAATGGAAAGCATATTGCAGGCATTTTGCGTCGTTGTGGCATTGCTTCTCGCAATCGTCGAATGAACTTAGGTGGTTACTGTTGCTGTCACTGCCGCCCTCGACAGTCGCTGTTGCTGGATCCTCCGATAGGTTGTCCCAGTCAGCACGCGGGGTGAGAATATTGGGTAAGATCAGCTCGCGGAAGACGTCGTTGTGAAGGAGGATTTTGGTCTTCGGTTTGTCCTAGAGGAAAAGAAGAAATGCATTAGTATGCTGAAACCCAGGTTCGTCGGGAGTGGTGGTATATACCATTTGAAACCACTCTTGATCGAATCGCCACAGTTCCTCGATATCTGCTGGAGTCATATGGTGGTAGGAAATGACCGGATGGCACCATGTCTTCTTGTTATACCCCTCGCCGAAGTGGTCCAGATCCCACGGCCGCGAACCCTGCAGCATGGGCCACGACCAGGTCAGCGGCACGCCAACATCAGCTAGCACTTTGCCCAGCACGCAATCGCCAGCCCATTGAGATGCCGTCAACTGGTCCAGCTCTTTCATATGACTGGCACGGTACTTGGACACCTTCCGCATCGCAGGGTTGGAGATGACGAAACCAGACCCTCCATGCCCAAAGATAACTTCACCTATCTGCATCTGGCAGCCGAGGTACAGAGGTCGACTGGCGTCCAACTGCGAGAGCCACGCGATCAAGTTGGGCCACATCAGGTACGTATCTGCCTCCATGAAGACGTACCATTTCGCGGTGGGATGGACCGCCAGAGCGACGTCGATCATGGGCAGGAACTTCCACTTGTCGAGCCTCCAACCCGGGTTGTTGATCCTCCCAAACGGCCCGTTGTAGTCGTCTCCAAAATCTGCTTGACTCAGCCCTCCCCGTCCAGATTTTTGCACCCGGTTGTAAATGTCGAATTCCGGAACGGTCTGCTTGACGTCGTGGGTGACATTGCGCAACACGTCCCGGGTCCAGACGCCCGAGACTTTCTCTTCAAAGTCGGAGATGACGACATAGTGTGGCACGCATCGGAGAGTAGTTTGCAGATGCACGGGGACCTTGTCCAGCGCCTCGGTGACTCCAGTCTTTAGAACGACCAGCACATCTTCCATGCCGGGGAGCGGGCGACAGCCATGGCCAGCAGTGCCATTGTCCGTGGAGGAATCGTCCGGCAGAAAGTCTTTCAACAGGGTCGAATTGACGCGAGTGTAGGATCTCAGCAGGAGGTGCAGGACCACCAAGCTGAGGAACGGAGCGACGAGGAGAATCCAGCAACGCCCCCGACTATACAGACTGCGGACGGGGAGCAGCATCAGGAGAGACAGCACCGAGAAGTCATGAGAACAAGATGGAAAGGCAGGGAAAGAAGAGGAAATAGAACAACGAGAAAGGGGAAGGAGGAAGAAAAATGAAACCCCTCAGCAGACAGAAAGCCCATCTACTGCAGATGACTACCAGAAGAAAGAAAAGAATTCACAGCAGCAAGCGCCGTGAGTGAACGAAGCGGCAGGTCGTGCATTCATTCTTGCTCTCAGGCGACCCGCAGGAATGCGATAAGAGCGCATTCTCCACCGACCAACTTATCGATTCGGCGTCATGGGCATGGCCGGATCTAGCCGGCGCCAGGTGGGCTCAGACTCTATTATTAATAATAAGTGATCTTCTGCCATGCCCAGTAGGCACATTTCTATGCCCATATGCTTGTACTGTACGTATACGCGCCCAGGAAATTGATTATCCTTCGGCCCGCAGTCCCGCGCGTCAACGCATCATGACTCCGGAATTGGCTGTCAGTCACATCGCAGATCGAATGGGAGAATACCTGTTAATCACTCGGTGGGGAAGGTAGCGGATTCTCCTCGTGTCTGACGCAAAGAAATCAGGGCCCGGCAGGTGCTGCAACGATTGGCAGAGAACATGACTCCCTTGACGTGCTTATCGAAATAACTTTCACTGCCAAGCGCCAGATCGCTGGCTAGTGCAGGGATTGTTTATTGCGCAGAACGCCGCCTAAATTGTTAATTTAACAACACCACTGAATAGCTTATTTTTGGTAAAGTCCCAGCATTATATTCCGGCCATCCGAAAACCAGGATTCATCCTACAAATATTCATTATTACGGATTTCTGTATTCCTGCTCCTGCCTTGCTATTTTTACGAGGTCTCCGGATTTCACTCCCGTGAAGCTTATCTACTAGTTCCGTAGCCATGAACCTTGGGACGGCCATGTAGCTACCCAAACTTCTTCCTTTTCGTCCAGCATATCGCGAATCTGGGTTTAAAAGGCATCGAGTTCGACAATAATACAGTGAATGTCTAGATGGACAACTCCATGCGACTGGAAAGAAAGAGGCAAAGAAAAAAAAAGATTTGTACTATTATATTGTCTTGTCTAAGATGTTGACAGAATCGAGTGTCTGCCCGGAGATACCCCTACGAGAGTGATATACCCGTCGTTCTGCTGCACATTGACCGTGCCATTGCTCGTTGCTGCAGACGGCTTTGAACCATCCCAGACTTCGTCGCCGTCGAGATACACCGCCTGCCTATCGCTTTGCTGTGGAATAGATACGTCTCCCAAAGTCCCCTGAGGGACGTCGACGTTGATCGTTATCTTGCCGCCATCGACAGTCCACTCAACATACAACGACCCAAACCGAGTCGCCTGCTGTCCTCGCGCCCAGGTCACGCCGGCAGGAAAAGACGGCCGCACGGAAAACCGCTGGTACCCCGGAGCAGTCGGCTGGATCCCCAAGAGGTAGTTCGTCAATGCGGGCAGCACCCCCGTCGACCAGCCGTGTGCCATCGATGTGTATGCGCCTTCGTACGCAGAGCCATTAGCACCGATTCCTTCCCAGAACGTCAGTCCGGGGTCGTGCTCCGCCATCCAGCCATACAGCCGCCTGATTTCGTCCAGCGCCGAGTCCGCATCTCCCGTGAGAAAATGTGCTTGGATGTCAAAGTACGAGATAAACGCGTACACTCGAGTGGAGCCTCCCGACACCAGCGACTCGTTGTCCATGAAGGCGTTGCCGTAGGGCAATGCGGTATGGTTTGCCAGATAGTCGAGAGCAGACTGCGCCTGAGATGAATTGGCTACCCCGGCAAGAACGGCAATTGCATTTCCGTCTTGTCCGTGGCGAACGCTGCCTGTAGACGAGTCGAGGTAGGCGCCTGCATTTGCATCCCACAGATACTCGTTGATAGCTTGGGACACAGTTTCGGCTCGCTGCCGCCATCGAGCGGCATCGTCTGTCTTATTGAGAACGTTGGCAATCTCTGCCGCATTTTTCAGGGCCAGAACATACAGGGCATTGAAATACGTGATCTCGCCCTCTCGCGGCAGAAACGCATAATCCCCATAGCTGCTGGTGTTATTGATGCCCTTGGAAAGCAAGCCCGTCGTGGCATTCGTCACTGAAGGATACCAGCTATCCAGGACCTTGATCAGATTCGGATAGTAAGTCTTTGCGTAGTCGATATCTCCCGTGTAGAGCACATAGTCCCAGCTTGTGGTGACCCACCACAGGGGATAATCGAATAGTGGGAGCGTGTAGTTGTTGATCGATGCCGGTGGGATCCAGCCGTCTTCTCTCTGGTGGTCAGCCAAGTCTGCGATGACGTTTCGCGCTGCGATGTTAGCATCACTGTGCGTCAGATACGCTGTCCTCGCGGACACGGCCAAATCACCCACGTAAGGATCGCGATCACGCTTGGCGCCATCGAATATGACGGTCTTCCCCAGGAGACTCGGGCTGGCTGCGTCCCGGGGATCAACGTAGTCCGCCAGAAAGGTGTCAATGACCATCTCATTCGTATATGCCGCCTCGTACCAGAACCGATTCAGCTGCGCGTCGGAACACTCGAACCAGCCGGTGTACGAGGACGGGAGTCCCAGATAGGCCGTGAAATTGAGAGAGACCGACTCGATATCGACAGTGCCGTACGGCTCTGCATACGGCGCGTCCGAAGCCAATGCATCCAGACTGATCTTCAGGTACCGAAACCCGTGAAGCCCATCTGCACAGACTTGACTGCCATGTTGGCAACCGTGGATATCCGTCCACTCAACTGGGCCAGTCGGAACGGCGAACTGATCAGTTCCTGGTGTGATTGTGTCTCCGTTGTCTGATCGCGTGAAATCGGATACGTTGGTGAGAAACTCCTGGGTCTCCGAAAACGCAAGCCGGATGCCAGGATGGTTGGCCGACGCTCCCGCAAAGGAGATGCGGAGGAAGCCAACGACATTCTGGCCAAAATCGAGCACCACCTCTGGGGCCGGCGGGTCATTTGCTACGATCCCCGGCCACAGTTCGTTGATCCGAGTATATTCTCCCTTGGGTGCAGGTTGGTCCTTGGTCACTGTGACGCGAACCTGGTCCGTCACCACCGTCTGGGCGAAAGGAACGCGACAGCGGAGGGCGTCGTTGCCCGTGACAGAGCCGGACAGAGTCCAGTTGGAACCGTCCCAAGTTTCCACTGTGAAATCGACCGGGACGCCGTCATCGTTGCTTTGCAAGGTAATGCCCGAGAGCTCGATTTTGGCAGGACTCGTGATCGTCAGGACATCGGGGTAGGCGCCAGGGGTGTTGTCATTCCAGAACGTGTCGAGGTTGCCGTCAATTGCATTGGTTGGGTAGTACGTTCGAGGCTGGCCGTTGTCTGTGTTTGGAGCAGCCACCGATGAAGCAGACGCTGTTGTGCCGTTGGGCCAGGATGGATACGCAGGCGGAGCAGCACGAGACAGACGCGTGACCCCTTTTGTATTGCTATTGACGAGGGCCTCCGCATTGGACACATTCCCGCTCTGAGAGAGGATCGAAACTGGTGTGATTTGACGACTTTTTGGAGCAACCATATACTGCTGCCAGGAGTTGTTGTCTGACGGTACACCAGCGTCGACTAGCAGTCCATACTGCAGGAGAGATAGAAGAGATAGAAGAGGTAAATGCGAACGTAACCAAAGGAGATTCATGATTGTAGGGGGTATATATACACCTACCTCTTCGAGTTACTCCTTTCTGGCCAACAAGTAAGCCCCATTGTGTTGAGGGTCTGCCTCTTTCCATGAAGAGTGAGAGAGGGTTCATATACATATGCACGTTGTATATACACAAGTCCATTCAAAAGACTTCGGACCAATGGAGGAGAGGTATAGAGCCCAATTCGGCATTTCGGGTTAATTCTTCACGAACTCTAGGTCTGAACTGCGTACCTAGGCACTCCAAAGCTGCCCTGCTAAAGCAGCCAAGACAGGAAAGCCGATAAGCAGATCTGGGGCAATAATGAAAAAATGCGGGGTGAAAATGCGGGGAAGAAGAGAGCGGTTGAGACGACAAGTTAGGTAGGACAGACAGAATTGTACGAAGTATTAGATGATGTCCTAAATGCTATGCAGATTTTATACCTAGGTATACCGTAAGTTGGGGAGTTACCTCATGAGGTAAATTTATTTAGTGATCATGTTGAATCTTGAAACCTTCTCCTTTGCAAGCAAAAGTCGATTTACCGTTTGGCTCTGATTGCTCCCATCCTCAACGCTTTTAAGACAAATTCTATAGACACTATACCTACTCGTTATACTCTTATTTGCTCTTTCCCTTCTTCGTCCTTCTTGCATCAATATTCCTTTCCAGCAGCAACGTCAACCCCGTCAATCCCGCCCCGATCCCCTCCCACAAACCCGGAACCCTCCACCCTCCCCCTTGCATCCAAAACACCGTCGCAGTGAGCAATCTCATCGGCACCGTTGCCGCAAAGAACGCCCGGTTCTCCTGCACCGATGCAAGCGTATAGTATATCCCCATCGCGATCGCCGCGAGGGCGTTTCCCCGAGCGGCCGGCAGCGCGGAGGCCGGAAGGGAGAATGTGGATAGAAAGCGGCTGGGGAAGAGCAGCGAATAGGCCCCGGAGAGGAAGGAGGTGATGCCGAAGGCGAGAATTGTGTATGCGGTGTAGAAGGAGGGCATTATTTGTGGATTAGGTACCTAGGATAAGGACCTAGACAAGAGTGCTACAGGTGAGGCGATGCAACTGATAGTATTATTGTTAGGGCTTAGTGGGGTGTCGTACTTGGGTACCTACCTAAATCTTGCCAAAGACGCTTAAGTGACTAAGTTGATAAGGTGGTGAGGTTAATTAATAGTATTAGTATCACGGGAGGGGAAAGGATGCGGAAAAACTGGCATTGATTATTGACGCGGAAAAGAGAGTCGTTTCCCCCGACTTACAGACTATAGAGGTACCTTCCTTCCTAGGTAGGGAGGTAGGCAGGTTTGTACTCTACAACCTCCTCTGACCCCGCCTTCACGTAGCATTATTGCGTTGACTCCTGAAATCCAAGAATCTGACCATAGTTGATTCTCTAGCGGCAATATCTATTATGGATGAATGGCTTTGGTAAAAAAGTTGCTTCGAGATAATAATATGTCCTTGGCAGCATACGCCAATGGAATTCATTTTATATCGTATTTCATCGGATCTTGCATTGCAGATTGTGTTAGCCGGCTTAATTTATTGCGACAAATATACGGAGTAAGGTCGCATCATTCTAGAAGTTGAGACGAATAAAGAAGCGGCTGACAGGCACCCTCAGGTAAATATTAATGCAAGTACTAAAAAAATAAAATTACATAACGTGCTCTTCATCAGGTGTAACAACTTTTCCTGCAAACAGCCTGCTGCTGCTGCCATTTCTATCTTCTACTTTTGCTAATGGAGAAAAATGATTCATCGGCAAACCTGCCCTTTTTGTGTTCGGACTCGCCTGCCATCATCTTCATCCGGCCGAAAATAATAATAATAATTAAGAAAAAAGCCCGATCATATACCATGCCATGCCCGTGACAACTATTAAACACCAGTACATGATAGAAAAATGGGAAAGGGTAAAAGGGTAATAAGAGAATAAGAAACATTAAGTAATCGTTTATGCGACACCAAACTCCTTGATGTCGGTCGTCTTGCCGTTCAGAGCCAGAGGAACAATACCACTGACGTGCATGTCTGGTCCGTACACATGCATGTTCAGGCCCAGTTCCTCGCCAACGGCCTTGATGTTCTTGAGACCCTCCTGGTAGTTGGGACCCGCACGGCGGACCCAGATCTGCACCTTGTGTTCGTTGAGCGATTGGGCAACCTCCCGCAGGGCACGAATCACACCCTTGAACGTCGTAGCGACGTTGGTGAAGTTGGCAATACCACCACCGATGAAGAGCACCTTGCCGTCGGGGTGCATCGGGGCGCGCAGCAGGAGGTCGAGAATGGTGCGGGCGTAGTTGTAGGTCTGGGTCTCAGTAGGAGCTCCCGAGTATTCACCGTAGTTGGCCAGCTCGCTGACGAAGCCAGCGGAGGCAATGGCATCGGCATACACGACCGAAGCACCACCACCGGCCACCAGAGTCCAGATACGGCCCTGAGGGTTCAGGACGGTGAGCTTCAGAGAGGCACCGGTCTTGGCGTCCATGTCGGCAATGAACTTCTCCTCCTTGCTCAGCTCTCGGCCGAAAGGCGCAGGGAACTCCATTGGAGGACCGGCATCGATGTTCACCTTGCCGTCAGACGGGGCGGCAGACGCGGGGAGACCCAGGGCAGTCGGGCTGCGGGCAATGGCCCACTTGGTGCCACACTCGAATTCAGCAGTCTGGTCCAGCTTGGCTGCGAGATCGAGGAAGTGCACGTCGGCGGAGGTGCCCTCAGCGTTGGGGATGACGACCAGAGGGTTGATTTCGAGGTAGGTGAACTGGCAGTCGACGTAGACAGCGTACAGACGGGAAATGAAATCCACCAGCACATTGTGAATGCCCTTAGGAACGTTCTTCAGCAGAGTCGCGGCGATCTCCTCGTTGGAGGGGTAGTTCTTCAGATTGACGGGGATCAACAGCTTCTCTGCCTTTGCGTCCACGTCACCAACGTCGACACCACCCTCGTGGGTGAAGAGAATCCAGTCACCCTGACGAATGTCAGTTTCTTCCCATCTCTTACTCCCCCGGGGCCAGGGTTTTTTTTTTTGGTCTGACTTACCTCACGCACGGAGTTGATGTTGATGTAGTATTCCGTCTCCGGGGGGTGAGGCACAAAGGGCTCAACCAGGAACCATCTCAACGTGCCCTTGACCGTCTCGACCTGCAGCTCCTTGCCTGCACGCTCCGCAATCCAGGCACGCGCCTCAGGCCAGGTCTTGTTGAGCGCCAGGAGACCGCTCTTGCCTCGTCGCTTGATCAATTGGTCTGGTTTGGCGACGAACTTGGCGCCTTCGGCCAGCAGCCACGGGTAGGTGGCCTCGGCCTGGTCGAGGACACCGTTCACATCAGCGTCTTCGGGGAAGTAGATGGAGGCAAGCTTGGGCGGCGGGTTGTGAGTTGTAGGAGGAGGGAGCGGCGTAGGCTTGATGACGGGGGCGCGCGTGAGGTGGTAGCTGATGATGGCCTTGCCATCGGCCTCGCGAATCGATTTGGCGGACATGGTAACGGTAGTTGTGCAGGTATGGGTGGTGGAGGAAGGGGCGGACGTTCAGAGCAACTGATCAGAGTCCAAAAACAAAAGAGAAAGGAAATTTACGGCGCAACAACAAAAACACCCTGAAAAATGGGAGAACAGCAAAGCTGGGTGTGACTGTAAAAAAAAAAGTCGGGCAGTCACAAGGGGAGAAGCAGCGGGATGGGAGCTAAGATGGCAGGCAGCGCAACGGTGAAGGGGCGGCCAAAAAAAGCTCAGTGGGTGCACTGTTTTTTCCCTGGAGACCGGCTGGGACACGCGTTGAGCAGGCTGGAGCTGCGGCGGTGGAGGCGCCCGAGCTCACCGGGGCGGGCTTAGCGGGCAGCAAACTGGCGGACGTGTCAAATCCAGAATGCGCCATTCCAGGCCCTTGAAACCGGTGGGAAGCGCCGATGCGGGAGCCGCCTTGTTGGGGCCACCGACGCCGCGACTTGTCTACTCTCGCCCTCTCTAGCGCCGACCACCGACCGCCACTGTTAGTCTTTTAGGTTCAATAAGCACATCCCTTGTCTGGGTCAGTTAATCATGACTGTGACTTGTGAGATGGCATCAGATGAGAGGCAGATGCTGCGGCATTTGCACGTCTACGAGTGTCGGATTCATCGTCTGCAGCAGGCTGTCCTGCAGTCACGGGGGTCACGTTGCAGCCCCCCAGCTTGTCTTATCTGGCCGGCAGTGTGGACCAGTCAGATAAGGTAATCTGCACTGTGGACATGCAGCAACACTAGCCATGCAAATGACATTGCTGGGCGAAGAGCAACCAGTGGTTCGCCATCGTATTAATAATGAAAACTGCTCCATGTTATTAGGTATTAATTTTATTAATCTGGTCCTGGAATAATATTATGCCTGATAATTTCCCTGGGTGGGAGCTACCCAGGTCCTCTTCGGGGAGTTCTCCAGTTCCAGCGTTCGGCAGGGTCGACTCCGTACTGTCGGGGCCTAGTCTCGGCGCCCGTACTCGGGACCCGTTTGGCATCTTGGGTTCGGAAGCCTGCCGCAGACCTAACGATGCAGGCGGAGAACCAGGCTGAACAGAACATGTAGGGATGCTTCATATTTTCTATCGCTGTAACTTGTATAGTCCTGACGAGTGTGCACTGGATTCTCTCTCACCCGTCCTGATGCGAGTGATTTTATGCCACCGCAATCTGTGTTCGGCCGGAGTGCAGTGACTCCGCCCGGAGGACGCCCGCCCAGCACTAATCACCGGGCCCACTGATCGAGGGGACGCATTGGGGAGCGCTAAACCACGTCGGGGCTACGGTGATCCCGGCTGCGCTTTCCCGCCCTTTGCGAGGCACCAACAAAGTTTCCCGCCGGGCAACGCTGATGCACCCAAGGAAGCCACGACCGCCGCTGTGCATGTGAAGATTGTTGGGCAGTCGACGTCGCACAGAGCAACTGCCAATCCAGCCGCTGCTGCTCAGTGACTCCGGGGACATTTTTAGGCAGGCCCACCCGTAAGCTAGCGGTGCCCACTCGGTGCTGGCCAGGCCCATCCCACACGACTCCTTGCTCGCAGGGGCCGCTTCGTTGGCTGCCAACGTTTTTTTCCTGGCCAGCTCGCGACATCAGCTCCGACCGGACCAGCTGCCCTCTTCACCACGCCCCTTCGCATTTCCCTTTCCATTCTCGTTCTGCTTTCTGTTCATCTCGCGCTCGTCATTCTCGAGCAGCTTCTGGTTGCTGTTGTGAAACACTTCTGTTTTCATCCTTCCATCATCTGCACATAGACGGGGTTGCTGACAGGTAGGTGGTCAGCTCTCGTGGCACTTTTTTTTTGTTAATCAAAGCGTGAACATGACTGACAAAAACGTCAATGCCAGCAGCAGAATAACCACCACCATGCCGTCTATCGAGGCTCCTTCGACCAACGGCGTCCTCTCCGCCAACGACAACATCACTCGTTTCAACCCTCCCAGTCGCGTTCTGACGCCTCTCGAACACACCCTCTTCCACAACAAGACACGATGCTTCGTATAGTGAGTCGCGACAACACTACGGGTGTAATTGTCCGGCTTTGCAGCTGACTGGGAACAGTGGTATGCAGCCTCGAGCCGTGCAGGGCATGCTCGACTTCGACTTCATCTGCAAGCGCAGCACCCCGTCCGTCGCCGCTATCATCTACACCTTCGGCGGTCAATTCGTCAGCAAGATGTGAGTTGGGACAAAGGTGCACTGATTGTCAGTTACCATGCTAATGGCGCGGGGGAAAACAGGTACTGGGGTACCAGCGAGACTCTGCTCCCGGTGTATCAGGATGTGAAGAAGGCCATGGCCAAGCACCCCGAGGTTGACACGGTTGTCAACTTTGCCTCGTCGAGATCGGTCTACAGCTCCACCATGGAATTGATGGAGTACCCCCAGATCAAGACCATTGCTATCATTGCAGAGGGTGTCCCAGAGCGGGTAGGGCGCGATTCCGTTCATCTACATCGTGGAAAGGAGTACGTGCTAACGCTCGTCCTCACAGAGAGCACGTGAGATCATGGTTGTCGCCAAGGAGAAGGGCATCACCATCATCGGCCCGGCCACCGTCGGAGGTATCAAGCCCGGCGCCTTTAAGATTGGAAACACTGGTGGTATGATGGACAACATCGTCGCCTCCAAGCTCTACCGCAAGGGTTCGGTGGGCTACGTTTCCAAGTCCGGTGGTATGTCGAACGAGCTGAATAACATCATCTCTCAGTGCACCGACGGTGTGTACGAGGGTGTCGCCATTGGCGGTGACCGGTACCCTGGAACCACCTTCATCGATCACCTGCTGCGCTACCAGGCCGACCCGGAGTGTAAGATCCTCCTGCTCCTCGGTGAGGTCGGTGGTGTCGAGGAGTACCGTGTCATTGAGGCTGTCAAGAACGGCACCATCACCAAGCCCATTGTCGCCTGGGCAATTGGTACCTGTGCCAGCATGTTCAAGACGGAGGTCCAGTTTGGTCACGCCGGTGCTTCGGCCAACTCCCAGCTGGAGACTGCCGTCGCCAAGAACCAGGCCATGCGGGAAGCTGGCTTCTACGTCCCGGACACTTTCGAGGACCTGCCCAAGGTGCTCTCGGAGCTGTATCAGAAGCTCGTCGCCGAGGGCACCATCAAGCCCGCTCCCGAGCCCGTGCCGCCCAAGATCCCCATGGACTACTCGTGGGCGCAGGAGCTGGGTCTCATCCGGAAACCTGCCGCCTTCATCTCCACCATCACCGATGACCGTGGCCAGGAGCTTCTGTATGCCGGAATGCCCATCTCGGATGTCTTCAAGGAGGACATCGGTATCGGTGGTGTCATGTCTCTGCTGTGGTTCCGTCGCCGCCTGCCCGCCTACGCGACCAAGTTCTTGGAGATGGTGTTGATGTTGACGGCCGACCACGGTCCCGCTGTGTCGGGTGCCATGAACACCATCATCACCACCCGTGCCGGCAAGGACCTGATCAGCTCTCTGGTCTCCGGTCTGCTGACCATTGGTTCCCGCTTTGGTGGTGCTCTGGATGGCGCTGCCGAGGAATTCACCAAGGCATTCGACAAGGGCCTGAGCCCTCGTGAGTTTGTCGACACGATGCGGAAGGAAAACAAGCTGAGTAAGTGCTACCTTTGTTCGTTTCGCGCCCGACGACGGCTGCTAACGTTCAACAACCAGTCCCCGGTATCGGCCACAAGGTCAAGTCCCGCAACAACCCCGATCTGCGTGTCGAGCTGGTCAAGGAGTATGCGAAGAAGCATTTCCCCAGCACCAAGCTGCTGGACTATGCTCTTGCCGTTGAGACAGTCACCACGTCAAAGAAGGACAACCTGATCCTCAACGTTGATGGCGCCGTGGCCGTCTGCTTCGTGGACCTGCTCCGTAACTCGGGCGCCTTCTCTGCCGAGGAGGCTGAGGACTACCTGAAGATGGGTGTGCTGAACGGTCTGTTTGTGCTCGGCCGTAGCATTGGTCTCATTGCCCACTACTTGGACCAGAAGAGATTGCGTACCGGTCTGTACCGCCACCCGTGGGACGACATCACCTATCTGCTCCCGACCATCCAGAAGGGTGTTCCAGGCTCGGAGGGCCGTGTCGAAGTCAACGTTTAAGCGCTTTCCTTTTCCGTTCCTTTTCTCTTTTTTTTTCCCAAGGGGCCGGTGTTACAGCGTCTTCGATATCCGTTTCGGATCTCTATCAGCTATCTATGGTCCAAAAATTCTCGTGGAGTGATGGCTCAATGATTTTTTTTCTTCTCCGTTTTCTTTTCCCCTTTACATCCCTTTTTAATCTCGTGAACGTTGCAATATGATTACACCGTGTAGTCTACATATGTGGCACGACCAGGTGATGGGCCAGGATGACTGTACGCATGTTCCAGGGAGTAGAATTTATAATAAGGGTTAACATGAAATGCAAAAAGTGTTAATTAGTTTACATCTAGTTTTTCTCGCCTGAAGATGTAGATATCGAAGATCTGTAGTTGGTTCGCTATGAGCACGTGACGATCTCTGTTCTCCAATCTTGTATGAATTCATCCGAACTCTGGCCATTGTTGGATAGTGCTTCGAATCCTATTGTTAACCAATACTTATCAACATCGTCTGGATAGTGTCTGCAGTATTCAGGAGGGGCTTGCTGTGCGTATTGTTTTCTGAGTTGGGAGCTCTTAGGTAGACTGGATGAATTTAAGCGCCCTTCCCATTGGCCAGCAAAGGGACCCATCAACTGGACTTTTTCCGCCTTCCAGGACTCATCTGCGTTACCTCATACCTACCTAGGTACTTCTAGGGATATCTGCAATACTGCTCGTTATTCGATTTCATTTTTGTGCTTCTTATTCAAGAAACGATAGTCACAATCGCCAGTGTTTGCGTCTTTTTATTCGATCAATTGACTCAAAGGAACTACTTCAGTCGGACCAAGTGACCTGATCTCATCCGAATAAAGCTGCAACCCAACCCAAGTCACAGATGAGATAGCACATTGGCTGAGATATCAATTTTTTTTATTCTCGAATTTGAAGAGACTCAAACCGGAGAACTCGACAAAAGGATAGAAAACACAGAAGAAGCAATACAAGAATAGAGAAGGAACAAAAAAAAAGAATAAGCCAAAAAAATGGTCCGCATCAAACATCGCTATCTTCTCATCGATATTCTCTATCCTGAGTTGTCGATCCCATCATCGACAAAGATTACATCCCCATCACTCAAAACTCATCTTCAGTTCCATGCCCCCACGCCCGATGCCCTGACGCCGGGGTTGCTGGCTAAGATGGTGCGCGAGGAAGTCGCAGAGATGTTTGGGGATTGGGGCGTGGGGAGGCTGGGGGGTGCGGGGGCTGGAGTCTGAGTGGTGAGTTATGTCGTGTTTTGATTCTATAGATTTGGATATTCATTTCTTTCGTGTCCTCTGTCTCTCTCTCTCTCTCTTGTGTTGGTCTCTTTTTGTGGGTTTGTGGGTGCAACTGCCCTGGTCTTGCAAGGATTGCTGTGATTAAAAATTGGGGGCTGTATTTCAGTCTCGCTGATTTTTCTGCATGTCAGCATTACTTGCATGGGCTAGCCCCATTTTCGTTTGAGCTTTTTTTTTTAAGTATACGATTTCACTGTGTTATGATTGCAACCTGTTGTTGGAGTGATATTTTGTTTCTCTTTTTTCCTTGTTTTCTTTCCCTCTTTGTTCCTTTCAATTAACAGACCAATTTTGAACTTGTGTTTATGTCATTTGCCTGATACAAACTACCCCTAAATTGTTCTGACCTCAGCCCTAGCTAATTGCTCACTGCATCGTCATGCTTATAATGCATCATACTAACTAACGGACACTAGTCAAATATCTCTCTCCCGCAACATCCACGGCCATCATCCGCTGCCCGCGTGCCTCCTTCCGCCTGGTCTGGGCAGCGTTAACCTATATGTCCCATGTACCCGGGCCCGGCCCGTCATCAGGTAAACGCTCTTCTTCTTCCTCTTCTGGCCCCCACCAACGCCTACCCTGCGTATTCCGCGTGGTTCGGGTCTCTGGAACAATGCGCAAGGCCGAGGAAGAGGCCATTCGGAGGGCCAGACGAGAGATTCTAAGGGCGAAGAAGGAGCAGGAAACTGGCGTTCTAGACGGCCTCGTTGGTAGTACTGGTAGTAGTAGTACTAATACTGCTACCGGTGCGGCGCATCGAAAACAGCCAGACAATGACCCCATCGCTTTTGCAATGGATGTTGATGATGAAGACGATGAGCTGCAAGATCTTGATGATGACGATTAATTGATTATCATTTTTCCTCCATCATGCTCAGGTATGTCTATCAACGCAAGGTGCATTATTGAACCTTTTTTTTTTCTGAATCAGGAATTTCAATCCTTGTTTATGATAATGGGTGCTGTGCTGTGGAGGTGAAAAAAAGTGGATTGGCTGATTAAGATGGTATTGGTTCATTAGGTATTGTGCATCGTACACTACTTCTGTATATGTCTTGTTTCCTGTGTTTGCGCTTTTTGTTCTTTTGTTTTTTCCCCCCCTTGGAGATACCCTATGTTGTACTGTACTATACATACATACACACATGCATTGTAACTAGATTAAATAGATTCATTAGATTTTTTTTTCTTCGTCATGACTTTCGTACAACCTTTACGCCACTGTTTGGTAGTGGTCCTCTGAAATCTTCTAGATCATCGTCGTCATCGTCTCCTGTCTTCTCGGAGGCATGGGCTCCTGCCGCCTGTCGAGCTTTGGCTTCCTCTTCGAGTTGCTTCCTCTCCATTTCATCGTATTCTTCCCTCGCGTCTATCCACCGCTCCTGAACGTCTTGGATGGTCAAATCGCCCCATCCTTCCCGCATGGCGACCTGCCAGATGGTGTCGTTCGCGCCTTCAGCCGGCCCGAACGCGTAGCCGCTGGCGCGGTCGATCACTTGCAGTAGATGCATCATGCTCTTCTTGTCCTCCACAGCTAGCGTCTCGAATGCGACCAGCCCGAACTCCTGCACAAGCTGGATTATGGCGCTGTTGAGCGCTCCGAACTTTTCGTGCGACAGCCGCGACGTCTCTGCTTCCAGGTGCGGCAGTAGGTAGTTGAGATCATGGACCTCGGTGTAGAAGTCAAGGTTGAACGGTAGAGGGGCGTAATTCGCCAGGTTGTCGATCTTCGTGAGGACATTTATATGCGGGAGGTCCATCTGGAGCATGGCTCGCAGCGAGAGCAGGAGTGCGGAAATGTACATGGAGGGAAGCGTCAGGTTGTAAGAGTCGACCAGGTGGATGACAGTCAACTGCAGTTGCGGTCAGTCAAAAAATGGCCATGCTGATAATTAGATATAGGCAATGTAAGAGGAAAGGACGGTGGGAGCAGACTCTATACCCAAGTTTGGATATCTGAAAGAAGATATTCCGCAGCGAGGAGTGATGTGTGAACAACTCGACTTGGCCGGGGCAGTCGAAAAGGACATAATCCTCTGTATGAAGAAGATACATTATCAACATCCTTATCAAAATTTAATACCATATAACAACGCTCATTACCTCCGAGCTCTTTCAGCCCATCTCGCAACCACTCGAAGTTATTCTCCAGCTCCTCCAGCGCATACAGCACACCCCCGTTCGGACCGAGGGTATCTTCTGCCATGATCTCCTCCAGCGTGACGAGGTCGCGGACATCCAGCGCGCATGGATACGAGGTCTGGTCGTTGGCCGGGTCGAGGTTCACGACGGAGCATTTCCGGCCGATGGCGGACATGAACTGATGCATGCCATTGCAGTAGGTGGACTTGCCCGACCCTGGAGGTCCGATGACGAGCTGTGCGAACGGCATGGCTGGGCGTTAGAAACACCCGCCAGGGGCGTAGACTGGGTTGATTCTCTGTCCGACAACGAATTGCAGTGAAAAGTAATCGGCCGTGGCGGGGAAGATTGGAGGGGCATCGTTGAATAGAGGCGATGATGCATGACTATCGTCCGGGGCGGTGGGAGGCGGCAGAAAACATGCCGCAGAGCACAGGACAGTCGACTCCGCAACAGCACCATGCTACAAAACAGTTCCAGTTTCAGCAACAACTCTACGGGTGGGTTTTGTCTTGTCCTGTTTCTGCAACCACCCTTTGCATTATGTCCTCCAGTAAGTCTCGTTCTGGGATTTGTCCGTAGAGATTGCTGTATTAGTTGTTGCGTCTAACTGCGTCTTCCTGAGCTAGATCAGTTTGTCGTCGCATCTCCGCCGTCGGATGCGATATCTGCCCTCAAGTTCTCCCCCGAACCAGACTCCACACGAATTGTCGTCTCGTCATGGGACAGGAATGTCTACTTGTATGACTTGCGCGACGAGAATGGAGCGGTCGGCGAAGGCAAGCTTCTGCAAAAGTTCGAGCATCGGGCACCGGTCCTAGATGTATGTTTCGGTGCAAATGAAAATGAGATCTATACCGCAGGGTTGGACTGGGATGTGAGAAAGTAAGGAGATCCATCTCGTCCTGCATACCAATTCGCTGACCATTGGCCTCTTCCCTTCTCTGTTGTTGAGTCCTGCTGACCCTGAGATTCTTGTTAGAATTGACGTCTCCACGTCGACGCAAACCGTGCTCTCCAGTCACGAAGCCGGTGTTAAGTCTGTCGTCTTCAGTAAAGAGCACTCGATCGTAATATCAGCATCGTGGGACTGCACGCTTCATGTTCACCGCACCAATGCCGACTCGACGCCGGCGGTCATTCCCCTCCCCTCGAAACCATTCTCCCTGTCCCTCTCACCCACCAAGCTCGTGGTCGCCATGGCATCGCGAGCATTACACATCTACGATCTCAAGTCCCTCGCATTACTCTCCGACCAGGCAGACGCCCCACCTACCGAGATCAACAAGGTCGAGATTGAACCGTGGCAGCGACGGGAAAGCAGCTTGAAGTTTATGACTCGTGCGGTCGCGTGCATGCCGGATGATGCCGGCTACGCTTCATCCAGCATCGAAGGCAGAGTCGCAGTAGAGTGGTTCGATCCCTCTGAGGAGTCTCAAGCACGGAAATACGCCTTCAAGTGCCATCGACAGACGGTGGACGATGTCGACGTCGTGTACCCCGTCAACGCTCTTGCCTTCCATCCCATCTACGGAACCTTTGCGTCGGGAGGCGGCGACGGCGTTGTTGCGCTGTGGGACGGCATTGCGAAGAGGCGGATCCGGCAGTATCAGAAGTATCCGTCGAGTGTGGCTGCACTAGCCTTCAGTTCCAATGGGAAATACCTCGCTATTGCCGTTAGCCCTGGATTTGAGGACGGTAAAGATGATATTCCTCCCGGTACGGTGAAGATCTATGTGCGAGAACTTGGGGAGACGGAGGCGAAGGGAAAGGGTGGGAAATAAAAGCAACAACCGGTATGTTGTATTCTTTTTTTTTCCTTTTTTTCATCTTTCTCGTTTCTGGCGGTCTGGCGAATTTGGCGGGTATCAAAATTGTTGTTTCTTTTTCCCCTCCAAGACTCTATGGATATGTAGTTAATAGAGATGCTTCACTGAAGTGTAACATAACGATTCTTATATACACAATCTTCTACATGGTATACTCTATCTATATTCATTTTATTGCATTTTCCCAAGAAAGAAAAAAAAAGGAAACAAAAGAACAATAGACAGAAACAGGACATGAGAGGCCAATTTAAGCGACGGCGGCTTTTCTCACCGTCACAGAACCGTCAGGCATACCGAAGTACGCCGCGACAGGTTTCTGGCCACCGATGGCTCCGGCGGCCTGGGCCTGGGGACCCGTCAGGCCGGAGAAGATGCCCACTTCCAGGACACCAGGGATCTGCTTGATCGCCTTGGAAAGGGTCTCGACTTCCCAGATGCCTGCTTTGCCGCTGCCGTCCTTGCCGGCTTTCACGTCCGACTGGGTCAGGAGCGGAGGGAAAGGTGCGTCGATGATGAAGAAACCCTGGTCTGTCCTAAGCGGGCCTTCCTTGGTCGCGGCATTGAGTCGGATGGCTGGGTTGATGCTACCCAGCTCTTTCAGTTTCCTCTGGACGCGATACACGGCGATGGGGGCCACCTCAATGGGGATGTATTTCCACGACGTCAGGAGGCGGGACTGGAGCTTTCGTGAATCTGGTTTTTTCCGGATCGCATGTCTCTCAGCTGTGCATTTCCACCATACTCTTTAAGAGAGAGAGATTGTTACTAACCGGCGACACAGATGAACTCCTTCGCTTGCAGAGCGACGATCTTTTCCTGGAACAAGCAAGCCCCTCCACCCTTGATGCAGTTCAGCTCGTCATCCACCTCATCTGCGCCATCGAACGCAACATCGAGCACTGTCCCTTCGGGTATCGCATCGAATTCTACCGCCGTCAGCCCTGCTGACGTGATAAGCTGTTTGGACTGGTGGCCCGTAGGCACGAATCTTGTCAGCGTAGTGTCGACGCCGAGTTCCTTGATCGCCTCGACAACGTAGACGATGGTAGTGCCGCTACCGATGCCCACCCATTTAGCGTCCTTGGGGTAGTGGTTTGCGACAGCAACTTTGGCAGCATTGCGCTTGGCTTCTTCGACGGTCGTCATGGTGGACAGAGGTCGCACGGCGGTCTGCTTGCAAAAGGTGTATGGAGGAAGATATTGAGGGTTGCAGGCAGATGGCGCGGGAGTGATTCGAGCAGTTGACGAGGGCGACAGGAATGCGCGGCTATTTCTGTACAGTCTAGGGGTTATATTAGGATTTCAGCAGCTCCCGGTTTCGCTCCATCCGTTCGTCCATATCTACTGTTCGGGAAAAATTGGGTGATTGGTGTGGGGATGGGATGGATCCAGGAACAGTAATTGACGACTCACAGGGCAGACCGGACAAAGTTAGAGGCGATAAAATATCTCATGAAGTCTACATTTCGCTGTCAGCCATTGACGACCCTGTGCAGTGGATCTGAAGCGTACAGTACATTCAATTAGCCGAATAACAACCGTTAAGACTAATTGTTCCGGAAAATGCTTCCAACAGACGACTATCTGGGATGGCGTGGATATAAATGCAGCACGAGACAACTCCGGAGCACTCTGGACCGCATCAATTCTGCCCCGCGAAAGGCCCTAAGCAGGGCTAAGCTGCCTGACGGGAAGGCGGGGCCGGTTTTTTTGTCGTCATAGGTTCCGGCAGTATCGCTCACCGGGCCGACTGGGTCTCCGGCGGCACGAGCAGCGCCTGCCGTATTGGGCACGCGCCCGCTAGCACACCGATTAGATAGGCAGTTGCAACTTGCAGCATTCAGGCCTCACATTCATCGCTCGCTTCTACTCTCCAGTTGAGGAGAGAATTCTTCGTGGTCATACTGCGGACAAGTCACCAGTCGTTCACGTCCTCTGTCGCCGCATCTGGCCTCTCTCCATGACCGATGCTTTCCCCGGTGCCCTGGTGGGGCCGTCCTCCAAGGAGAGGAAGTATGATCGACAGCTGCGCTTATGGGCTGCCAGCGGGCAGCAGGCCTTGGAGCAGTCCCGTGTTCTGCTGATCAATTCAGATGGTCCCATCGACGGCGCAGACACGACGGTAGGCGGCGTTGCGGGTGTTGAGACGCTCAAGAACCTCGTCCTGCCTGGTGTCGGAGGATTTACGATCGTGGACCCGGCCACAGTCTCTGAGTCTGATCTGGGGGTCAATTTCTTCCTTGAAGAGAGTAGCCTGGGCAAGTCCAGGGCAGAGGAGACGGCTAGGCTGTTACAAGAGCTGAATCCCGATGTTGACGGAGATTTCCTGAATGAGGTACTTGCTTTCCAGACTTCAGAAACAGTTACCTCGGTGTAATCACTGTGTGCTGACGATGTCGCCAATCATTCCAGGCAATTTCAGAGCTCCTGAAACGTCCCGATTTTCTTCCCCAGTACAAGCTGGTGATCGTCTCAGGCCCTATAAAACGGTCGTCTCTGGACACCATCACCGCATCTGCGCGGGAACTCGGAATCCCCGTCATTTATACCCGTTCTGTTGGATTTTACTCCGTCTTTTCGCTTCAGCTCCCTGCCGAGTTTCCCATCGTCGAGACCCATCCCGACCCTGAATCCACGCAAGACCTGCGCCTGGTCAACCCCTGGCCGGAGCTGAAAGAAGCCGCCGCGCGAATAAGCAATCTCGATACCCTAGACGATCACGAGCATGGCCACGTGCCATACGTACTACTGCTGTTGCACTACTTGGAGAAATGGAAGGCAGAGCACAATGGGAAACCTCCGGAAAATTATAAAGAGAAGTCCGCATTCAGGGACATGGTGCGGGCGGGAGCCAGAACGAATAACCCGGAGGGTGGAGAAGAGAATTTTGACGAAGCCGCTGCGGCAGTTTTCAAGAGCATCAATCCCTGGTCTTTACGGAGTAATATCCGTGAAATCTTTGAGATGGAGCAATGCAAGAACCTGAAATCGGATTCGGATAACTTCTGGATCATTGCATCGGCGATCAGCGCCTTCTACACGAAGCATGGCGTGCTACCACTCCCAGGTTCTCTTCCCGACATGAAAGCTAAGCCATCCGACTACGTCGCACTGCAAAACATCTACAAAAAGAAGGCGCGTCAAGACATGGAGGAGGTCCTCGAGACTGTTCGAGCAACCGAGGCGCGACTAGGCCGACAGACTCCGATTACGGAGAAGGAGGTGGAGACTTTCTGCAAGAATGCATCCCACGTCAAAGTGATTCGGGGTCGTGATATTCCTCGGATCGACAAAGACTCGACGCAGACGCTGAAAGCAGTCCGAAACGCCTTAGGAAATCCAGAGTCGGTGATGCCGATCTATATCGCTTTTGAGGCGCTGGATATCATTGTGGATGGGATCCAGAATGGACAGTTGCCTCAGGGCTCGCTGGATGATGATGCTACATGGACGACGACGATCGACCGTCTTTTGAATATCATCGCAGAAGGTGACGACACAGTCATCAACGACGAGGTCCGAGAGCGCGTGACCAAGGTTACGCAAGAGCTTCGACGCACCGAAGGCGGCGAGTTGCACAACATCTCGGCTCTGACGGGAGGGTTGGTGTCACAGGAGGTGCTGAAGGTATTGACAAGGCAATATGTGCCTCTGGATAACACTTGCGTTTTTGACGGCGTCGGCAGCCGCAGCGAGATGTTCCGGCTGTAGTTCTCTAACCTACTGCGTATCTAGATAGCAGTTTAGAGTAGAATTCAGATATTCTACTGACACTTTATTTCTGATGGTATACTGTTCCTAGGCGTACAGGACCAGTACATGAATACGTACTGCATAACGATGTTACTTAAAGGGGCCAAAACCCCAACATACGCAAATACATATCGCTAATCATGTTTTTATTCACAAGAAATCCAAACTTTCATTTCTTTTCTCATCACCATCAATGATGTAGTCATCAATCAATTGATGAATTTAATCACCTTGTAATTCCGCCACCTTCAGAATGAATCTCGTACCGGGGTCTGTCAGTGTACAGCTCCGATATAGGTATAACTCCTTCTGCTGCTCTTCCTCTTCTTCCTCCTTCTTTGGTGGCATCTTCTTGTTGGTTTTGTGGATGTGAATCGTTGCTGTAGGGCATGTAGTTAGTGCCAGTTTGGTTGATGTTTCGTCTTTGTCGATTCCAGAGTGAAAGTAAAAGGAAGAAGCAGCCTGCTGCAAGAATCAAGGAAGGTCATTGACTAAATCCCTGAAGATCCATGGAATTGGATGATATTATTCACCCAAAGCAGTCAAGTTGTCAGGACCCTAGATTTATTTCTTCGTTTAGGTACTGGAATTCAATATCTATCGTATCGATAGATCTTCCACGACACTATCAAATGAGCCGGTTTGGGCCTTCCTCGTGACTTCCGGATCGGTCTCGATGTTGTTCCAATCCTCTTTGCGGCTTACCTTCTTCAGGGTCTCTCTGGACACACCATCTTTGCTTGGACCTTCAATTCCTCGTTTATTGCTTTTCATTCACTGATCTATATCAGGACTTCATGGCCCAAGCATTGGATTTCTCTTTGCGTTGTAATTCATTAAAATGCAGAACACCTTTGAACGAAAGAGCCGTTGTTACTACTTGCTCGTTCGTTAGCTCTTTTACATCTAGGGTTTGGTATCAGGCTAACTCTCTATTCCAGGCATATTTTCTGTCTCTCTTGTGCGGATCGTCTCGGCCTCTCGAAACCGGTCTCCCAAGCACGACACTGTCCAGCATGTCAAGCTGCCTTGCCAAACCCAGACGATGCAGTCTCCAGCGTCCTGAACCCGACAGAAGATTACAAGACGAGTGTGCTAAGCGGGCTGGATCCAACTACAATAATGGAGTGTGCGGGGCGAGCTCTTTCGTTTTGGGCTTATCAAACGACGCAAGAGATGTATACACACTAATCTATGTGAGAAGACCTCAATGAATTGACGAGCGTATCTGCTAGTTTCTACCAAGAATATCTCAGCAAAGGCCTCACAGAAAAGTACGGAGCATTGAACGCAGAAATGGAAAAGGTCATCCACGACGCGAATACAGAAATCTCCAGCCTACAAAATAGGCTTTCCGGTCTGTGCTTCTATCTTACGTATTCTTCCCGGGTATTACCTGTCTAACAACTGAGAAGGGATGCAGCTGAACCAAGAGCAACTCCACAAGAAGAATGAGGAACTCATTGCCATGTACCGAGAGAAGTGCAAGAAGCATACGCAAATGACGAATCTCTATAACCTGTTGAAGAGTCGCGCCATGAGGTCTCAGATGCAGACCGCGGCATCAAATTCAGTCTCTCGCACCTTGAATTCCCTCCCAGGGACTCGAAACGCGGACATGATTTCTATGAACCACGGGAGACCAGTACAACAGTCACGCCAGATGCCGTCTTCTTCTCGTCACTTCAGTCCTTATCAAGATCAGCATGGCATCGAGCAACTGCACAGACACCAGAGAAGTGCCAGCGGGAGTTCCAGAGGTGGTGGTGGATTGGCCAATACGGCAGCAATGCCACCTCCAAAACGACAATTTAATACTAGTAAGCCGTTCCTTTCTCTGTTTAAAAGGAAGGGGAAGGGGGGGGGGGGGAAAAGTAATGCTATAATGGCAAATACATGCTGATAAAATATTAGCCATGCGGCCCAATCCAACATCTCAACACCGAACACGTCTCCCAGCGCCACCGCGGGCAGTCATACGAGAAGGGCGAGAGCAGTTTGAAAAGGAGAATATAGGCCTTTTCAGGGATTACAGCCTGAATCCGGGCTAGTTTCTAGTCCACCTGTTGCAGAGATTCTTGGAACTAAGGCTAGAACCTGCTGAGGTGATTGATATTGGGAATCTCTGAATCATTCGTAGTCGACTCTGATGATGGACGTTGATTTGAGCAGGACGCGACCTAAATATCACATAGTTCCGTCTCTACTAAAAGAAGAAGAACATTGTACAAGTTCTGCGGAATATTGCAGACGTTGAATCATAATCTACGCTAACATACCTAGTTTTGATAATACAGGAGCAGTCTCTATAAGACAGTCAAGGGTGTAAAACCGGAAATGGAGAATGACAAGGAGGAGAAGGAGCAGAAGAAAGAGATATGATGCCCAAAGATATCTTCCCCCACCAAATACATAACCATCAGCCTATATGACATGTATTGAAAATGAAGATGAAACACATCGCTATGGTACCCACAACCGTACGAACCCGGCCACCTCCTGACGACACGTAACACAGCTGCCGAAATTATTCATCGCCAGACTCACCCGGCAGTCTTCACATACGCAGAGACAGCGGCAGGGCCAGGTGATGATGGACCGTGGGTTGGTCTGGCAGATGACGCATTGCGGCCCGTCGGGTCCGAGACCTGAGGCCCCGGATTGCCACGACGTTGGTTCGCGGCTGCGAGAAGTCGAACTTTCCAGTCGTCGAGAGAGGATCAGGTTCTCCAGTATCTCCGCTTCTTCCTCCGGGGCGGGTCGGCGTTTCTCACCGTTATTGTTAGGCTGGGAGTTATCCTGACTGGGGAATCGTGGAGGCATCAAAACTCGTGCTCGTTCCCTCTCGACCTCCCTCTGATAGCGGCTGCGTGTCATGATCCGACCATCCTTCTCAGCGGCCAAGTGAGCTGCAAGTATACGCGCTTCATTCTTGGTTTCCCGGTCACGAGGGTCGAGGAGTCGGGCAAGAGAAGTCGTGTCCAGGAGTGACTCCTGCACAGGCGAGCTTTCACGTGAGAAGCGCCTAGGAAATGGGTTCTGTTGCGTAGGTGTGCGGCGGCCGTCTGAGTCGTCGTAATCCTCCCATTCTGAATCGTTTGTCGTGGTTGAGATCACGCTGGTGGTGTCTTCGAGGTCACTCTCAGAAGGAACATAATCGGCGCTCTCGTCCTGGTCTCCCCACGAACCCCCAGCCTTCCACCAGTTGTAGAGCTTAGTGTCCAGACGACTCTCGTCTGCCTCGTCCCAGTGAGACTTGTTCAGCGATTCTCTCTTTCGCATCTCCTTCTCCACGTCAAACTCGTTATCTTCGGGTAATTCCAGCTCACCCTCATCCGTCAAAATCCAGAAGTCCAAGGACGCCGGTTGTTCTTTGGTCCTTGGCTTTGTAGCTTTTCTACCAGCTCCGATAAGTTTGCTCAGCCACCGGGGTCGAGCAGTGATGCCCACTCGGTCCAGGAGCTTGCTCAGGCCGAGGGCAAACCATCTCAGAAGCAAGAAAAATATGCCTTTGAAGAATGAAAATCCGTGATAACATCTAGTGGCCCCTTGGAATGCCCCAACGCCACCAAGACCAGATTGAGAGTGGATTGGACGAGAAGAATTGCTCGGTTTCTCGAGTTTCTTTTCGCGACCATATCCAGACTCCCACTCATCTGATCGCTGCGGAATATCGAAACTAAAGGTGTCGCCGGCTTCGAATTGCGCATTAACAGACTCAGCCCACAGTCTTCCACGGGAGGGTTCTCTTCTCCGTGATGCTTCAATTTCTGCCAGTCGATCTTCCTCCAACCAGGTCATCCGTCGTGCAACCACGCTTCTTCCTTCATTCAAGAAAACCGCTTCGCTAGCGGCAGTCAAAGCCGCGTAGCCCACTCTCAGAAGCATTGTATAGAAGTCTTCATGTCTATTGAGACGAACATTTCGGATCTGGTTCGCACCCTGCATGTTTCCGTGCGCCAAGGCAAATCGCTCCCGCCACGAAGATGGTCGGGGCAGATCGGGAGGAAGAGCAAAGGCCGTGATGAGTACTGCAATTCCATATATGCAAAGACAAATGAGGATGCCGAGTAAGATCAATAGATGAGGGACGAAGCCCACAATGCAAACTGTTGGAAACTTCAAAACCCCCGTGTCATTGCCCAAGGACGAACTATCCACGAAGCCCCATACCATAGCGGCCATGAAGCAAAGTCCCCAGATAGTGGTATTTAGGAGACGATATCGGCTTTGTTTGCCAAATACATCCAGAACATTTGATGCCAGGCTGTTGCAGCAGGAGATAAGAACAATGAGAAGGAGCTCAGGTGTGACATTCATCCTCTCGAGGACTTGTGCACGAGTGAGCAGATGGACTGGAGATGACGAGCCGCCCTCTGATGTCAACTGTAATTCTTCCTTGGTGGAACTTGATTTCGGCAAACCAAATAGCCCTAGACCGATAGACTGGCTTATCATCGTTTCTGCCTCTGCAAACGCGAGAGAATGTTCAAAAATTGACATTCCAGCTTCCGTCACAACGGTCCTGCCTTGTAGCGCACAGGAAAGCGTCTCAACAAAGTGGCTCAAACACAAACACATGAACACTGGCCACAATAGGGTAAAGGAGCCGTAAGGAATTTCAGAGCTATCACTTGGTCGCGCCATATGGACCGCGCTACATGACTGTTCGTCGGTCTCCCAAGGTAGCAGGGTCGAACTTAGCGCGTAGAGGAACCCCCCGTTTCCAGCATAGTCAAGGCTCATACGTTTCCCAGGACGGCCATAACGAATGGTTGAGTAGTCAGGAGAGGTCTGACAACGCATCGCTCGAAGTACGCTCAAGATTTGAGACGCGAAGAGGACGATCGGAATGATGCGGAGAGCAAGGCGCTTGTCCCACCTAAGACTGAGGTGTCGTCTCGTCGATGCGTAGATGGTCACACGGTTCAGCACCAAAGCCTACAAGAGGTTAGAGAGATTCCACATATAAGGAATACAGGAAAAACATACTACAGAGAAGCAGGCCAGAGACCATCGACTCGTCATGTAACTGAAGAACCCACTGAATCTTCTCATGGTTTGAAACACGTCTGCGAAGCTCAGTGTTCCTTCACCTAAACCAGCTTCTGCCACACCTTCAGCACCATTATTCGCGGCAGTGGCAGCCGCAGCCGCCAAAGCATCACCATCACGCCCTGCTCGCATATTGCCTAACCATCCGTCAACCACCACATTATCTAGACCGACCAATCGTGCGAGATTCCGAGGTAAAGTGACGAAGGTGAAGGCCTCTACTTGATGAACTGCCTGGAGAGGAAGCTTCAGTAGGGCCCGAGGCGACAATGACAGGAGGGACTGGTTGGTTGCGAGGGTGGCGGACGAGTTCAGATGTTGAACGGAGGCTGATGGCGCCGCCGCCGCAATTGCAGTGCTCGACATCATCCCGGTGGGTGGGCCGTCTGCCATCGCGTTCGTTCGAGGGCGTAGTTGAAAGGGAAATCGAGGAGCGGTAGGACTTCTTTCACATTCGCGTGTTATCTTCAATGCCCTAGTGATTAAGAGCCATCCATCGGGACCACAAGGGCAGTATCAAGAAGACTCAGGGCCAGACACCTCGTCGGGTGTCCTCCCTCGGTCATCTCTTGCCCGGAGAAAGCCGCAAGGTTCAGCTGGACTGTTTGTCCCAGCTGTGTCGCAAGAAGAAAAGGCGGCAGTGAGGGCTGGACGCCTTCTTCTATTGCAGAGGAAATGGCAGTCGATACGAATTAATAGGAGAAGGCCGTCCGGTCGATATCCGTGTTGGCCCGACCGTTACGACTGCCAAGCCGCCGGAAACCCCACGCGTCACTCGGAGCACGAGACACCCCGGCCTGACCAATCAGAGCCCACAGCCAGCCTTCGTGATCTACATAACTGCGATCTCGACCAGAAATTGGGAATTTATGCCCAGTGCAAGCCAGTCTTGACATGCTGGCTCATTATAATTCCTTTTCCTTTTTTTTTATTCTTTTGTTGTTTCTCTTTACTGAAGCAGTGCTACAGTGCCTGTTATACGCAAATTGGACCTGTTTATAGCGAACGATGAAAGGAAATGAACTTTGTCACACGCTACCTAAGTCATTTACCTATGCGTATGTACTTATTCTGCCAATTTTCATTCTTGATTCTTCCATAATAACCATTAGTTATCACATGCATATAGTACTCCATACATACATGTTTGTGGATCCAAATCAGGAGACTAGACTGCTGAGAAGACGTTTGAAAAAGACTCTAAGGGAGAATCTGGGCCTGTTCATCCCTATTAATCTCCCAGATCATATTTGATGGTCGGCAGGCATTTCGACAGGAGATGTATTTTTGTCTCTCCGAACATCAGACGATGATAGTGTAGACGCCACGGGCCATTGAGGCCCCATGCTCATTCCCTTCGGCTCGTGAACAGGCGGAGTAAACATATAAGGGACTGCACTCGCTGGAGGAGGGGCGTTGTCATCTTTTCGTCCATAATGTCGAAATAAGAAAAACCCTGCAAGACAGCCAGCAATGACAGCCAGAGAGATCCCAACCCCAATTCCCGCTTTCGCGCTTGTGCTCAACCCCGAGGATGTGGCTGCGACTGTTGGGCTGGAAGTTGCCCTCGTAGTGGTCGCCGTAGAAGAAGTGGTATTAGTCAGCAATATGGAAGTGGAAGTTGTAGATGGGACGCTAGTCCCTGATGTCGTAGTCGAGGGTTCTGAATCTAGGCCCGCTGCTTTTGTGAGATTAAAATAATGGCTCACGGCTGAGGGTTCTGTTTGTCCGCTGATAAAAATTTCGAAAAAGACGTTCGACTCGGAGAGATTTTTGGACGTTCCAATAGTCCATTCATAGGACGTGAGGCCTGCGACATTTTCTAATAGACACCATTCTTAGCATCATGGATGCTAGAAGAGCAATGACTCGAGAACTCACGAAAAATGTATTCAAAGGTGTCGTTTGGTCTCTGCTGGTACATCACCAAGGAAATGAAATCAGACGTTTGTGATTTCCATTCTATTTTCAAAATATATCCCAGGACAAAAACCGGGTCGTCCGTATAGACACTGTTGGGGCCTGCAGGAGGAGGGCTGACAAAGGTGATCGGGCTCTGGGCACCACCAACCGCTACAAAAACAGAGAGAGCGAATAAGAGGAAATTTATAGCAGAGGAAGCCATGACGAACTCAAGAATGCTTTATGGTGGACAACATTCATGATGACATTCAGGTTACCAATGTCTTGAAGAAGATAGATACTGGGTCTTTCAAAGGACTTCGCTATGGTTACCCAGTTGTGACTAACTTAGGCATTAATCTCCAAGCGATGTACATGGTACACCCCACGACATACTGCGTAGTATTCTCAGGGGTGAAATATCCCTATGTATGGTAATTTCAACAACTTTTCAGGCTTCTCTGCATTATTAATCGTTGTCCTTGTATACGGAACACCGCTATTACCATTCACGGTTGGTGTGGGTTGGTGCTACTTGCGGCGCAGCTACCAATTAGAGACAAATGATCTATCACCGGGGCCCCCAACACAATTGTTTCCTGCGCCAAAAGTTAGATTATTGTATTAGGCATGACTCGTGTTGGTGGCACAGTCACTTGTCTGGTGCTGTTGGCGCCCGTTAGCCGCCGTGACACAGCGAGGTCGCGGCCAGCGCTTTCTGGCCCCCATTGGGAGACACGAAGAAAGGTACCAATGACACCATGACAGCTATCGAGCCCTAACGAGGTCTATTTTTGTTTTGAGGATTTTATGCCTTGAGATCCCTCAAGGAAAACGGAGTCCTGCAAAAATGTCTTGCTTTCTCGCTTTGGTGGATCTCCTGGAACAACACATTGGAATTTCCTAATGAATGTTGTACTCTTGCGCGCGCCAAATCAGCGCTTTCTATTCAGCACAGGCCTATGCTTCCTTTTCCTATTCCTTGTGGCGTTTCTGTATGCCCCTGCAGGTCTCAGATCAAATCTGTTGCCAAAACAACCTGCCTTGAACAATACAGTGCTGCCGTTGAAGTCAGATCGTCACTGCGCTGCCATCGCGGATTCTCCAGATGTCGTCGTTGTCGTGAAAACAGGGGCAAATGTCATTTATGATAGGCTCCCCACTCAGCTCTTGACGGCCTTGAAATGCTGCAAAGACATTCTCATATTCTCTGATCTGGAGCAAGAACTTGGTCCGTACCATGTCTATGATGTGCTCCAGGATGTCAGCGACACCGTGAAACAGTCAAGCCCGGACTTCCACTACTATCGGACCTTGCAAGAATACCAGCGCAACGGCCTGGATATCCGATCCCTGAGAACCACCGCCGGAGATGCAGCCTGGAATCTGGACAAATACAAGTTCATCCACATGTTGGAAAAGTCGTGGCAACTGAGACCAGGCCATGACTGGTACGTGTTTGTCGAGGCTGACACCTACCTGGTCTGGTCGAATTTGTTGCTCTGGTTGAAGCGTCTCGATCCATCGGAACCCCTCTATCTCGGATCGCCAACATATGCCAATTTCGAAGCATTTGCACATGGAGGAAGTGGCATTATCCTGTCCGGCGCCGCGATATCCAAAGTCCTCGATAACGACCCGGACTTGGCGGCTCGTTATGATGTGTTGATGATGCATGAACATTTTGGTGATTATGTGCTCATGAGGGCTCTCAAGGAAAAGGGCATCGAACTCAGCATGCGCTGGCCCATGCTCCAAGCAGAAAGGCCGTCGACCATCCCCTTCGGACCAGGGCCTGACAATGGGGTTCGACATTGGTGCCAGCCTATTATCACCATGCATGGTGTCACCCCAGGCGAAGTGGATGCTATTTGGCAATTTGAGCAGCAACGGCTCGATGTGACGGTATGTACCAATTACTCTATCAAATTGGCCGTATTGACTGAATAAATGTGATACAGAAACCCCTTCTCATGTACGAACTTTACGACTACTTTGTGGACCGCAATCTTACTACCGAGCGAGATGACTGGTATAACCTCTCGGACGATGCCATGTATCGAGCGCCTGGGGTAAAGGGCGATCGACAAAAACCCCAAGAAGAGATGTCGGCTCTTGAAAAGCAAGCCTATCGGTCATTTGAGGACTGTGGCAGAGCTTGTGAAGAGCATCCTCGATGCTATCAGTTCGTGTATCACGACCAAGAATGCGGTTTCTCCTTCTCTTACCGGCTAGGAAGAAGGCGACTGCCGGAAAATGGGTCGGACAAGAGGTACAAATCCGGATGGCATCTCGACAAAATTGCGCGCGATCAGGAGGCCAACTTCTGTCGTTCTCCGCAATGGCTGTAACGGCAGAGAAGGGAATAAACAGCCTTTTATGACTTTCCGTGAGCATCCTTTTACTTAATGCAAAGGCATGACTGTTCATGATGATCCAACAATGTCACTACAAAGAGTGTCTTTTGTTTATGAGCTTTATTTCTAGTACGATATTCCCTGGAATGTATCATGTGTCTCATTATTTATCTACAAGGGCTAGTCCCTGAAGTTCCCAGCAATAGGTGATAATTCTGCATAGCTTTTAAGCGACTGCTCTTCATTCAACTGGCAAGTTCTCACAGACGGGAATTGAGCACAGCAGGGTCAAGATGCATAAGCCATTAACTGGCAAATTTCCGCAGCTAATTGTTCATCATCCATCCTCCATCTTCGCATCATCTGGTCTTGCTGTTGCCTTTATACCCCGAGTGTTTGTATAGCCTATGATCCAAAATCCTTGCATTTTCTCCTGGTAAAGAGTAAGCTGTGTTCTAAAATAGAATAATTGAAACCCTAATGCTACTCAATCTATATATGAACAGATATCTCTCCATCTGAATCGTTAATCTCAAGTCTGCTGAATCTGTTTCTGGCGTTGGTTTCTCGTCGCCGAATCAAGGCTAGTCCCCTGTCGTTGACACCTGACCATGATGTCGAGACAGGGAAACAGTTTTTCCTCGAAGGACAAGAAGAGCTATTTGACGAAAAATGGACAGTCCTCACGGGACATCTCTCCTAGAATACGCCAGGTTCCACGGAATTGCCATTGATCATCAGGCAGTTGATCCCATCGATCTTGCTACTCCATTACCTGAAGTCGAAGGCGTTAATCATGACTTCTCAGATCCCCAAGACGCACCAATTCTGGACTTCTCTGCCTCACTGAATTCAATTGAGAATAAACTGCGAAAAGAGAAGCTTGAAGTGGGAAAAAATGCCGCGATTTTTCTATCGTCTGTTCTGGCAGAGATCGCGTCTGGTGGTGGTGGTATCACCGACGCTGAATGGGACGCGTCTCTTTCAAAGTATCGCCGTGTCAACGATCTGAAGCTTGAATCTCCTCTCTTAACAGCAGAATGCGTAAATGAAATAGCTAATTTCGGCAAACGGCCTTCTCTCGATACAATCTTGTCAGATCCCCTCCCCCTTGAGAAAGAGCAGACTGAGAATGATGAGGGACTTTCTTTTCCTGATTACTTCTTGGAACTACCGGACGAAATCTGGGCTGAAGTGAAGTCTGAGAAGCTGGACTGCTCCAAGGACACCCTCCGATTGCTGCATGAAGTGCGATTGCTTGATGAGAAGACTTTCGCTAGGGAGACAATAGAATTGTTCAACAGGGCAGTGGATTTGAGCGAGGTAAGGAATCAAGGGCTATTATTATTATTTCCATTTGTTGCGTCTAGCTAATCTTGCATTCGATTAGAATCGCCCTCCAAGACCAATATCTCCCCTTTATCTCGAACCAGAAACCCAGTTTACGACGTCTGTTCGTTCCTCACCGGCTGCTTCTCTTTCACAGACGTCGAACATCGAGTTTCCTTGTACAGATCTAGACAAAACTGAGGCAGAAGGACGATCAACAGGGACAATTGAGTCTTCAGGATCCATATCTAATTTTGATAGACACAATTGCACAAGGAATAGTGACCCTTCTCTGGAGAAATTGGATGAATTTTCCAGCGTCCCTTCTGCCAACGGGAGATCACAATCAGGGTGTCAGGATGAGCAAAGGAAAACTTCACGCACGAATACCCCGTCTTTCTCGTCCGAAACTGCATGGGAAAACAATAATAATACACGGGCCTCGGGAGACTCAGAGAAGCATGCAGAGATTGACGTCAACACTTCCCCAGAGACAGTTCCGTCAACTACTGCTGCGCTGCAAGTTGATAACACTCCTTCTGAACTTGTATCAGTTGCAATGCAAGCTGTGGAAACTATCTCAAAAAGAAGGTCCTTAAGTCTTGTTGGGCAGGAAACCAGCGAAGGCGTACCGTCTCTATCACCAGAATTCAATATATCCACATCAACAAAGGAGGGTTATCCTAGTGTTAGCCCGTATTTTGTACGCGATATGCAGTACCACAATTCAACCGGTACAATTTGTCTTTCGGGGACAGACACGAACCACGACCCATCTTTGGAGTCTCTCCAATCGGGCATGAAAGCTGTCAACACGAACGAAGCTAGCCAGAATAACGATTGCGTGGAATCACTTGCGAATGATCTCATGACAGCTCCTACGATTGGCAATTCTCCGTTGCCATTAACGGAGCAGGAATTACATGGACGACAGTCGGACGACATGGAATCCCTCGATCCGGGCAGGTCTGTTGAAGAGCCAAGCCCTAAGAGACTAGGTCTAGTCCATAGAAACTCTGTCGTCAACCCCCTGGAAGAAGATAGAGAAACTCATCAAGGAAGCCAAAAGAAAGACGCCAACAAAGAAATAACTGTCAGAGAATCCGGAGAAGGGTCGGATTCCCAGCAGATCAGAGGTAGATTCTGTAACATGGGGAAGTCCAACTTCATGTTTTCATCAGCAATGTCGACTCTGGGCACTCTGTCCACATTCATGGAGACCAGAGGAAGAGAAACGAAGAGAAGGAAAATTGAAAGCAGCCCCTACTTTGACAAACCGCCGTCTGATAGTGTGGCGACAGAGAGTTCTACCATCCAAGGACAGGTTCATGAAACTCACGATAATGAAAAGATACCAACAGATCCTGATCCTGATCCTGATTATAATTACTTGACACCTCTGGTACCCCAAAATGAGCATCAATTCAAGACACCTCTGCTGCTCATTGTATCTGCTGTGCTCTTACAGTCCGATCGCCATCTTGTGCGGAGGCTTGAAAATTTATCGCCAGCTCCGAAACTCATATTTAGAGATTATACGAGCTTTTCGAATCGTGGTGTCAGATCAAAAGAAATAATAACTGAAGAAGAGGAACACGAAGCGGATATCATCGTCTCACCGCAAACTGGAATCATATTGACCACGTCCCAAGAAACAACGCAGGTATACCTTCCGGGTCACAAGAAGAAAGCTTCGTCCTCCTCAAAAGCAGATAACTCGACTAGTTTCGACTCCCCTCTTCGAGAGCGAATTGCCCGTGTTGCCATGCGATACGAACTGATCTACGTCCTCATTCGTTTGCCTGTACTGGAGACCAGGAAAGGTCCTGCCACGGGCGTTGACAGGACAAGTCCAGATTCAAAGTCACAGTCACGGCCAGAGCCTATTGCAACCGATCCTAAAACCCTCTCTTCAATCCGATCTTTGACAGCCTTTTGCGCCTTGCTTGGCCAGTTTTCAACCGTGATTCCGCTCTTGGTGCCAGCGTCTGAGGCAGAGCTCGTGGATTGGATCTGCTCTATCGCGCAGAAACACACGCTCAGCACTGCAGGGGTATTTCCTCCAGCAGAAGAGTCTTCTTCGGGAGTGATCTCATCAATCAGCAGCGACCATTCCAAGGAAGAATCCCTCCCATCATCCTTCTCCCGCTTCTCCTACCTCGACGAAGAAACCCAATGGGAGCTCTTCCTCCGTCGAGCCGGGTTCAATCCGTTCGCTGCGCAGACGGTGCTGGGGATAGTGAAGACAATTTACCAGAGGGATAATAAACAAGACACAGGGCCCACTGACTCCAGCATATTCCCAGATATTCCAACCACCACCAACGCTTCCACCGTTAGAGAGTCGATGCCCGGTCAAGCTCCAGCTGGACTATCACTATTCATCGAACTCTACCCCTCAGAGCGAGAACATCTGTTCGGAAAGATTGTTGGAGAAAGAGTCCTGCGCCGTGTGGAAAGGTGTATTGTTCAAGACTGGCAATTGGACTGGGCGCTGGATCTGGATGTAGATATTGATATGGACATGGATATGGATCTGAATAGCTAGGTTATGTAGATTAGATTGAGCTCGTAGAAGCAAGCCCTTCAAGAAGCAAGTTTTTATCATCTGCAGTTTCTAGCGATTCAAATCGTGTCTATCATCATTCGTTCATTCGTCCATCTCATCACTTCACTTCATTTCATTGCAGGTTCAATTCAAACCGGAAACCATCATAATCCATCCAGAGGCACATAATAATAACCCTGACCAAAATTCGAGCCGTAGCCAAATCAATCCAGAGACAAAAAATGCGATGAATCAGTTAAAGATCTTCAACTCCCCCCTCAACGACGGCCACGACGGAGTCATGTCCTCTCCCTGGTGAGAAGGCCCCGTCCAAGTCCCGTTCTCGCACCCATTAGAGATCTCTCGACATTTGGCCTGCCAGATCGGACAGAGGTTGTACCCCGTGGGTTGGGTCTTGTTCCAGCAGTCATCAGATTGGGCCCAGCAGTTGTTCGATGACTGTTTGTACGCAGGTGTCAGCTTGGTCACATTTCTTTTCCTTTTTTTAATGGAGTAAGGTAAAAGGAAGAGACTTACAGCCCAGCAGCTGTCTTGGTCCGTGTACGAAGGCACCTCAAAACCGCACCAGTTGCCATTGACGAAGATGCATCCTTCTGGTTTAAGTCCTTCCGTCTGGACGAGAGTGTCTCGTTTTTCGATCTCCTCCGCAATAACAACTCCACATGAGCCGACATTCTGTTGTGAACTTGACGCGCTGGTAGTTGGTAACGGAGTTACCACCTGCGTAACGGTAGCAGGAGCAGTAGAAGAAACAGCAGTCACACTCGCTGCCGAGGGAGCGGTTGCTGATGAGCTAGCCCCCGAGCCAGCTCTGTAAACAGTCGGACCAACCATCGGATACGGCAGGGACAGCGGCTTTTCCCAGATATTGTAGGTCAATCCCGGCATGGACAGGTTGTAGGTACCCTCGTCGATGCGAACAGTAGACGGCTTCGCGGTCCCATTCGACTGGATGAAGAGCTGCGCACAGCCGACAAAGAACTGCGGATTGGGCGGATTCGAGCTCGCCGCGTGAAGCGCCAGAAGCTCTGTTCGCGCGAGATAGTACCCTCCCTCAATGTCCTCCGGGATCTGAACGGAGATGTGTCCATTGTTCTCGATCATCTTCGTCGTGCCCCATGTGTCTGACGTCTCGTCGTAGACGGACTCCCCAATCTTAAACCATCCGTCTCCTGCGGCGTTGTTGCTGGCAATGGCGGAATCGACCTTCTTCAAGTACACCGCAGCGGGGCCCTTGTGTGAGGGATCGAGAGGTGCAGAGCTCACGTTGTCGGGATGTTCGCGGAACTCGAAGGTCAGGATCGACGAGGCCTTGGCTGGACAGACTCTTGCGACGCCGATTTCTCCATCGATTCCTTTTGCTTGTCAGTTTCGATGTTTAAAGAACAAAAGTAGGGAACGGTGCTCTTTTCCCTACCACAAGCAACGTCCTTGCTACTGACAGGACTGACGAAGAAATTGGACGTAGAACCGTTCTTGTTCATGCGAATGCAAACACCATCGCCCTGATTGACGCCATCGACAAAAAGAGTGGTCATGACAGTGTGGGCGTGTGATGTTGCCAGAAGACTGAGAATCCAAACAGCCAAGGTAGCGGACTTGAATCCAAACATCTTGCTTTTCTTGCAGAAAGACGCAATCAACAAATTCCAAAACGAATGCAGCAAATAAGACGAGAAAAGAATGACAGACAGCTAATATGAAGATGCTCCAATGTAGAAAGAGAACTAAACACGAGCCAGGTGCTGCAAACTAATAGGATCAAGGCCTAGCGAAGGACTGGACCATCAAGGCCGTAAGAAAGACTTAGGTCTCGTAAGGCTCAAAGAGTGAATATGACACAGAAACAATAACATTCAAGGAGAGTATTGTCGTGAATGCAGGTAATACATATAGTGAATGTTACTAAGACCAGGCAAAAGGCGACAATAAATACATTCACATTCTAGGCACCTATTCAATGGCTCTCAACACACAACAGAATGCCAAGAGGTTGCATTTTGCTTTTGTTTAATCTTAACTGTAAGAAGAGGTCAAACTGGGACTGGAACTACCTGTAGCGCTGTACGGATTATAGCACACAGATTTAACTATAGCAGAGGTAGTAGTCAGCATTTTAAGTTTCCAACTTCAGCAAGGAGTTAGTTTCAAGTTTCAGGTTGCAAACTCAGCCAAGTCAATTGAAGCGATGAACCCTGTTTATTCCTTATTACAGGCGTGCTTGCAGCCCTGCAGTAAATCGGTTTCATTCGCTGCGACAGTCCTGCAATTTGGCGCCGAACAGCGGCAAGGCCGCCGCAGTCCTGGACCTTGATAGGCACGCGCATCGTTCACCAGTTTTCTTGGCAGATCAGGATCATGATCACTCCATCCTCATGGCAGGGTGGTAGTATGCAGCAGAACAAGCGCCAGGGTCGAACACTTGAAACGATAACAAGAGCCAATCAACCATGGAAAGTTCTGTTGAGAGGAGATTCATATGTCTGGGATTGCTCTCAGCTACCCAGACTGAGCGCTGAAGGCGCATCAATCTTCTGACTAGATAGGTAGATATAGAAATACATCGATGGAAGAATAATGAATATGCAAAATCGCTATAAAGACGACATAGAAAAGACGTAGACGCATGAGACGTGTGTTCAAGAAGGCAACGTTCCGCGCATAGACCAAGAACTTGATCCCAAAATCTTTGGAAAAAAGATTCCCGGCGAACTCCTTTATTTAAAATTTTATGCTTTTCCTTCCCCTTTCTATTACTGCATGGCGACGGCGCTCGTGATATTACATGGTATAGTACAGTGCGGTCCGGTCGACGGTTCCCGAACGCGACGGAAGGAGTCATATAGGAAGTGAAGGCGAAGGAAGATCATTTACTCGTTGATCTTGGCTAGGATCCTATTCAAATCAGTCAGAACAGACGCTCAAAGGGATGCAGACAGTTCGCTGGACATACTCAGAATCCCGGAACAAGGTGTACTCCTCCTCGCCAACCTTGACGGGGGTGCCACCAAACTGCAAAACATCAGAATAGTCAGCATCATTTCTCGCATGGGTTACACCTCAGTCACCCAGTATAACCCAATTCCACAACCGCGACAGCAGGCAACGCACCTGAGGAATCAACACCTTGTCGCCAGGAGCCACGTTCATGGGGATCTTGTTGCCATTCTTGTCCAGAGCACCAGGTCCAACAGCGAGGACCTTGGCCTGGTTGATTTCCTTCACGCTGCTCTCAGGGAGGAAGATACCGGAGGCGGTCTTGGTCTCCGGCTTGATGCGCTGGACCAGGACACGGTCCAGGAGAGGAGCAAGGTTCTTGATGTTGCGAAGGGCCTAGATAGAGCACGTCCATGTTAGATTGAGCTCCAAGACGGAAGCAAGTAAAGCAAACTGAGCAGCATTGTCACGCGGCAACAAGGAGCTGGAGCTTCAATTGCCGCCGAACCGGACGGAGCTGGTATGACATACCATTGCGACAATGGAGGAACTGAAATGGGATGCAGGAGCTGCAGGGAAGGATGTCCGGAATAGCAAAAATAAGGTGCTTGAGTCTCACTCGGAGAATCGTTGCAACTGGGAAGAAAGCTGAAGCAAAGAAACAAGCAACCTGGAAGAAGATCTGGACTGCTCTGTTTTCCGGGGAGCGAGAAATTTCCAGAATGCCAAGACCGCGATGTCCGGCGGTCACGGGAGGAAAAGCCGAGGGCTATCCGAAGCGGTTAGACCAAAACACGACAGTGTCAGTACGGAGTAGATAGAGGATTCATCGGAAGCTGTGGATTGATAAATTGATCTTCCTGGTGAATGGGCTTTGATATTGCCAAAAGTGAACGACTTCGACTTCATGGCTATTTGCTGTCTCGTCAAATCTAGGATTTAGTAAACAATACCTCCATCTATATTCAACCTCCTCGTCTAATTATTGTGATCTGACATTCATCTGGGTGCAATTGCAAAAAAAAAATTAAGACTACGATAGTCGAGAAATCCTACTTGGCTAGAGTGAACGCCTTATGACAGATTCATTTGACTGCAATATTGCACGAACGCCAGCATCCATGTTATCCAAACCCCATCCGAAAGCCGCCTGTCTGAAACGAAATGAAACGAATCACATGTAACAGTTGTGTTTTTGAATTCACCATCGTCTCCCTCCTCCGCCCCGGCCTCGGCCAGCGCCAAATCCTCCCTGTTGATTGTAACCACCACTAAAGCCCATTGATTGCTGGTTGCCCCCCTGTCCTCCAAATCCCTGTCCTTGCGGCTGTCCGGAGAAACCAGGTTGGCCTTGCTGTTGACCGCCAGCGCCAGGCTGCGCGCCTCCCATCATGGCCTGAGCATGCTGCATGAATGACATGGGATCCATTGACGATGGATCCAATCCCTGAGCCATCATGCTCGTCAGCATTCCCTGCATCATCTCAGGAGACATGTCCGGCATGCCCGGCAATCCCGGAAGACCTCCAGGCGCTGGGCCGGGCCCTGACGTAGGAGCTCCAGGCGGCGCGCCAGGAAGGCCTGGAAGACCACCCATGTTGAGGAAAGCTTGCATATCCTCCAACTGCTTTTTCTGGTCGTTCACCTCCTTCCGTAGTTCCTGTTGCTTCAGACAGTAGCTTGCCCACGTAAACTCGTCGAAGCCATAATTGAAATAATCGGATAGGTCTGTGCCGGGTCGTCTCCACGGCTTGTCATCCTCCGTTGGGAAATCTGAGTCGAGATCGGTGGACAATAACGGTTTGCCCGTAGCGTGGTGGACAGGATTCGCATTGACATCTATTGTCGATGCGTGTACCGGAGGATAGGCGGACCCTGGTTTTGATGGCGCGGCAGGTTTTGCTGTAGCAACAGCAGGCGAAGCTTCGGCTTTGGGAGCAGTGGAAGGTGTAGAGGGCTTCGCGGCAGCGGCCGAATCTACTGAAGCCGACCGCTGAGGCTCGTTGCGCAGGGTAGCATGGCGAGGATGCGCACTTGTCCGTAGTCAGGTCTTTGTTCCCTATGCAGCTGATTCAAGGAGATGCTTCACTTACACCTCGGGCGCAGCGTCTGCAGGAGCTTCAGTGATAATGTTGAAGTCATCCTGCGGTCAATTAAGTAATGTGATCGTGAAAAAGATGGTGGGAGACTTCAACACAAACCTCGTCGTCCTCAACCTCCTCTTCTACAAACTCCTCCTCAGCTGGGTTCTCAGTGGGCGCGTCTGGCTGTCCGTTGCCATTCTGCGTCTGAGCAGTGGGCAGTGAGTCACCGGGCTCATAGAGATCATCGTCTTCTTCCTCCATATTGAATGAAAGCCGGCGGCATTCAATTGAGAGAACAGTGGGGTTGGTGTTTATGCGGCGTGATGCTGGTTCCCTAGTTTGGCTGCGGGAGCTTGAGCTTTAAGAGCCCCAGAATTTAGCGTGGAGGTGCCACCAACTGGCCAGTAACTGCGCACCGCGCTCACAGGAATCCGATCGCAGACGTCACTGAGATTTGTTTTTATTCTTTTGCCAGCACAATGTCTACATTAAAGTGTTTTTTTTTTTAAAAAAAAAATTCACCTTCTTATGTTTTTTACATCGTTTTTGTCATGGTCGTCTTGGTTCACTTTTTCAGCAATCCTTGATGGGATAATAAATGCCAAATGAAAATAACAACCCTTCTGATGTCAATAACATCGTGGTTTGCAGTCATAAAATAAATAATTATGTTAGAAAAAAGGAAAACAAAGGAGAGAGTTGTTTCCTTTGCACAGCAGGCTTTTTGAAATTTATTTATTTATTTAGTTACTGCGGGTACAGAGTAGTGAAGCATAAAGAAAAGCCCACTCCCACATTACAAACATTCTAAGATAGACATATAATGCCAGAAACTATCTCAGACAGATTAATGTGATAATAATCTGCTCAGATATTTTGTTTATCATGTCTACAAAACGCTGTGTTACCACCGCCATAATCAGAGCTGTCACGTGCCTGACTCGGCGGATAAACTGTTAGCGTCATTTCGAGCTCGCAGATGCGATCGACGCATCCAAGTCTGCCTGTCTGTGTAGAAAGCAACGCAGAAGGCGTCTGTCTGAAACCATGCCTCCTCCGCAAGAGCAGCAGAGTGGCACGTCGGCTCCGCGATCTTTCACCAACCAAACCCTCTCGGCAGAGGATTTGCTGAAGTCGCAAACCGTCGGTCTGGTCAACCTTGATGAATTTCGCAAACGGAAAGCAGAGGTCCTAGAGCAGAAGGAGCGCGAGGCGCAAGACAGGACTTTAGGGCGATTCACAACCGGTAATTCAAGAAGCGTGACACCCTCAACAGGCGATGTGACTGACGGGTGCGTCAAAGGTTTCTTTCCGTCATTGCCAGCCAAGGCCTCTGCTAATGGACCAAGTACAGTGCGCTGACGCCCGGGAGCAATTCCTCGGAACGACCACCCAAGAAGAAGAAGCCGCTTGCTAAGAGCAAGCTCTCGTTTAGAGATGAGGAGGAGGGCAATGATACTGGCGAGGATTCCGCTGCAACGACCCAGGAAGCCCGTGAATCACGTTCTGCATCCAAGACGCCTGGGGAAGACA